TATATGTTATTCTGGGTTATAAACAATAATTCTGTACAGTTTCATCAAAATCCGTTCAGTAGTTTTTGCGTGAAAGATTAACAAACATGTTCACATCCAGACATCCATACAAACTTTCGCATTTATAATATTAGTAGGATAGTAGGATTTGGAGCTATCAAACCAAAACTGTAGAAATTAAATAGGAAATTGGTTTTAGTCAAATCCCAATCCTTAGTAATCCAATTCCTTAAAGTAGGCATCTTTGTAAAACTGTTTATCCTTATTAATACAACCTGAAAAGCAAGGATTTTCAGTGTTATTCGCTGTAGGCCGAAATGAGAACGTTTATTTGACAAGAAGTAATACATTTGCACGAACATTTTCATGAATATACTTTAACATTCATGAGCCTTGCTGAAGTATTTGAAGGAATACTAAAGGTAAACATTGTAGATTAAATAAAACTCATATAAACGATATTTTGCCGTGTCTCGTCTTTTGTAGCTTTCGATTTGTTACAATAGAGTGTCAAGTGGTTACAACTTTGTAAGATTTAGTTCTGTCAGCGACCAAGAGATGGCGCTATCTCGTTTTACATCGCGGTATTGTACGAGTTTTTGTCTGACTAGCTATAAGAAACTGAAAACATTTACGATCATTTGTTTTGAAACTCCTTACATGTTTCAAATTTTTTTTATGTTTCAAATTACAATTGAGTTTGAAAAGGCGAAAATAAAGCCGACACTGACAAGGAGTGTTTTCTTTTTTGCTTCACGTAAAAAACCCGCGGGTAAATTATTTGAAAAGAAAATGTACTGTGTTTGGTACGAGTAAATAGCGTAATAAATACCTAAATCCAAATAATATCCTGTTGAAAACCTAGGACTTTGTAAATCAGATCAGCGGCTTAGGACGAGTACCCACGTTAAAAGGGATAATCTCTGATCCCTACAAATATTTACATACTTTTCACCTATGTGAATTGGGTATTTTCCACCGGTTTTGTAAAAAGGTTACCTACTTTTTTCCTAAAAAATAAAAAGAAATGTGCAGTGTTTTTGGTTTTGATACTTCTAGGTTATTGTAAGGATGACTCGGATTTTTTTATTGTTAATTTTTCTACTTACTTGGCTAGGGCTTTCACTCATAAAATGTTGAACACCTTTATAAAAAATATAATAACAAAGAAAGAATTTCACGGGCACTAGGTAGTAAATCAAATTAAATCGGATTAATTACTTTTTTACACTAACTTTGAGAAATTTACGGTAATATCGCCAATTTCCTTGTTTCACTCAAGAGTAGGTACCTATGAAATTGAGGAAAGTTTTGATTGGGAAGTTAAGTTTCCTTGTTCACAGAGTAAATTATATAATTTTGTTAAAGGTTAATCTGTAAGGTGTAAGGGTCAATTTGCTAAACACTTTATCAGAGACCGAGTTATAAACCGGTGTTTTTTCCCGGAAAATTCTTAACTTTTTATTTTTGTAGTATTAATACCTACTAAAGCCTGGTCCGCTGTCGCGACTGTGCGACGCGCGCCCGCAGTGAGTGTGCGAGCGCGACAGTAACATAATTACGTGCGAGCGACAAGGATGGGCAGCTTGGGGTCATTGGACGGGATTCTACGTGCTCACGGACCAGGCTTTAGTATCTACTAAATAATTCCCAAAGCCTCCCCAACCCGTCTGGCGAGCGTGGGGAGTGTAGGCCAAATCCTCCATTTGCCTTTTGTAAATTAGAGGGTCGTGCTCCTGCAATGGAGACTAAATGACCTGATGATGATGGAGACGATGATGATGATGATGATGATGACGACTCAATAATGTTATACCAGGCCTGTTCATCTCCGCGAGTTTACATCGAAAACAAAACACGCACGATGGCCTACCTACAGGATACTATTCGACAAGGCCTCACATACGAGCGAACATTGACTCACGCACGCGTATTCTTGTGTATGATGGAACAAAATAAAGAAAATGGTGTACTAAATACTGTGCAGTATTTAACTGCCTAAATAATAATAAAAACACAGAATGTACTTTTTTAAGTTGCCTCAAGACACTGAGAGGTAAATAAGTAGTTTATTTATTTATTTATTTATTAGGTACACCAACGATAGGTACAACAATACACAATATGTTAAAAAATACGCAAAATATTAAGCTAATTGCACTATCACTTAGAGGTATACACAGCTTGCAAGAAATATAAGTTGCTGCTTAGTTAGCATAAATTTTAATGATGTTATATAAGTTAAATTATTATGATATAGAGTCGGTTGCTGTAGCCTTGAATTTGGGTAGGGACATGAGTTGATAATTCATGCTAAATCATGTATATCCTCCGCCATTTTCCGCAGTGTGACACCTCACGTCACATCATTTTACCGAAGTCAGCCCTATAGCTTCGGCGCAGTGCCGATCACTGACGTTTGTCAACAAAATGGTGCTCGACTCTTGAGACAGGCTAAATTACACCATAATAATTATTGTTAATGACATTGAGCATACATTTTTTCAAATACCTTTGCGAAGTAAAACTTCTGTACGTAGTACTTATTATTATTCTGTGGTTATACCTTATGCAATTCTATGAAGGCTCACGATTCCGTACTATTAGAGCTGATGATTTCTAGAACTGCATCAATTTTCATACTTTGAAGGCTGCTCCGATTTTGGTGAAGCAGCTTAGAAAACTCTCGATCCAGTAATTTTAAAATACCTACATCTTGTTTTTTTTTGCTTGTATGTAGCATTACTATTTCACAGGGATTTTTGAATCTTCCGATAACTTTTATCTAAGGAATAACACCCGTATTCACAAATACAATATAAGTGCCACTTGTGGTCTAAACTGAATAAATATTTTTGATTTTGATTTTGATTTTTGAAACATTACTATGAGGTCTCATACATAGTTTGCACACGATTCCAAAAACCTATTCATAGTTAATACTTGAGTGGCGGAATGACACAAAGGAAACAAACACAGAGCTCTATTCAACGCTGTGCGTTCGACTTCGCATAGCGTTGTTGCTTCTTTAGCAAGCATCGTTTGTGAATACGGGTATAAGTTTGGCAATTGACAGTTTCAGAATGAGAAATATGTCAAAACTAGCTGACCCGGCGAACTTTGTTCCGCCTTAATGGTAATAAATAAGCAGACTTTTTTTTTAAATTTCGAACGGGATAAAAAGTATCCTATGTCCTTCTCCTGGATCTAAACTATACCTCCCTGACAATTTTCAGCTAAATCGGTTCAGCCGTTCTTGATTTATAAGTGGAGTAACTAACACGACTTTCTTTTATATATGTCACCGTAATATTGTGAATTCCGTCAGATTATAATCTGACGTAGTTGGATTACAATCTAACCTAACCTAACCCACTGTTAGTTTACAATCTCACGCGTTATATTGTAAGCTGACGAAGTTTACAATTTCGCGTTGACATATATGTATATAGATTACAAGTTTATTCTTCAGTTATAAGATATCAGACGATTGAAAAATCAGCCCTTTTCAATTCATATGTTTTGCTTTGTTTTACTTGTGCGTCATCTGCTATGGTACGACGCTACATAAAGACACACAAATAAACCTTAACACCCTCTTTTCCGTGTGTTATAAAGAAACAAAGTCAATTTCTCTTAGGAACGGCACCGAATTGCCAGGTCTGGGCCAATCAGCCGACAATCAGATTGGAATCAATTTTCGTCAATTACTAGCGGCAGGGATTGTTAAACTTCACTGGCTTCAGGGCGGTTTACACGGTACGACTTTTGATGTTTGTGAACATTTATGCAGTATCGACATAGCTCGCAGAATTGCTAAAATCAAGGGCACATAGCTCGTAGGTCGCGGGAAGAGCCTGTATGCGGGCAGCGCAGGGCCGTGCATTGTGGAAAACCTTGGAGGAGGCCTTTGTCCAGCAGTGGACGTCATTTGGCTGAAACGAACGAACGAACGAACGATGCAGAACAAAACAGAAAAAAAATGCAATCACACCTGATGTTAAGTGAGATGGAGTCTAGGATGGTACATACCTGCCCTGTAAGTGTCTATTCACTCTGAAGAAACCTGGATTATAGTGTTCAGGAAAGACAGCTCTAACTCTACTCCTGTTAGTACTCCTTCACGTAGTAACTGCTGGACGGGTGTTGATGAAACTTTAGTATATTATAGCTTATAATAATATACCTTAATAGCACATTGGCTAAAATTCATCATCATCATCATCATTTCAGCCACCGGACGTCCACTGCTGAACATAGGCCTGTGGTTGAATGATGATGATGAATTTCAAAATATAGTATCTACGAGTATTTCTAAACCTGTAAACGATCTAAAAAAAAATCTGGTCCGTGAGCACGTAGAATTTTGTCCAATGACCCCAAGCTACCTATCCTTATCGCTCGCGCGTAATTATGTTGCTGTCGGTCATTGGACAAAATTCTACGTGCTCACGGACCAGGTTTTAATACTCACACCCGTATTCACAAACTTTACTATGAGGTCTCACAGTGTGCGTGGACGCACAGTGTCACACACGAACCAAAAAAGAGCTCTATTCAACGTTGTGTGCTCGATTTGCTGCTTCACTTAAGGAAACATCGTTTGTGAAGACCTTAGATCATAGATGATCTGAGGTGAAGACGGATGTTACTGCGGTTTTGATTTATTTGCGAATTAAATTTTGATGGGTGCTGGGAATAAAACCACAATCGACAAAACACAATTTTACAGGAGAAGAGATTTAGTGAATATTTTGAATAATAACTAAACTACGAGGCGTATCCACACGGTTTGTATATCTAACGATGCGTTATTTTTTTCTGGAGTAACATAATTAATGTTTTCTTCAAAATGCTGCACAATAATCGAGTCTCTAAAGGATATAATACAAGAACAGTCACGGAACCAATAAATCATAGTACACATTACGTTACATTAACGTGGCCACTGCGCACACAATCGTCCTCTATAAAGGTCCTTTCAATTCAACATACGCCACGCTCGTTGTGTCACGTCTTGTTGACAGTACTAATGCTACCTCGCTTTTTAACAGCTGTAAAACAAGACAACACCAACTAATACTTACTATACCAGTCCATTATCAGCTGTTTACTATACACGTCAACTTTATGCCCCTGATACCGTCTTTAGTGATATAAAAGATTAAGTTTAACAGTCGAAAATTTAGTGCTATGTGTGGTGAAAATGGTGTACGTTGTAAATGGAGGGGAGAGTGGTGGTGAGAGGAAGGAGAGAGAGGCCAGTGTGTGGAAGGAGGTGTTGTTTTCTATTATTGGTGAGTGAATGTTTTTTATTCAAAGTCAAAGTCAAAATTTCTTTATTTGTTTAGACTAATAAATAGTACTTACTTTATTATTATTATATATAAACTGTCGGCCGTTTGGTGTAGTGGTTCGAAACGGACTACTATTCCGGGGGTTGCGGGCTCGATTCCCGCACAGTACAAACATTTGTGTGCATGAACATATTTGTTTGTATTGGACTGGGTGTTTTCTATGTATAATATGTATGTATTTACAAAAAAAAAGTATTTAAGTATGTTTATATCCGTTGTCTAGTACCCATAGTACAAGCTTAGAGCTTAGTTTGGGACTAGAAGCGCAGTGTAAAATGTCCAAGGATATTTATTTATATTATTAGTATTTATATTCTGAGTTAGGTCCGATTCGAACAAATTTTTATCCGAGAATAACTCTTGGTATAACTGGCACATTGTGTTTCACACCCGTATTCACAAACGATGCTTGCTTAAGTGAAGCAGCAAATCGAACGCACAGCGTTGAATAGAGCTCTGTGATTGGTTCGTGTGTGACCCTATGCGTCCACGCGCACTGTGAGACCTCATAGTGATGTTTGTGAATATGGGCATTAGTTTGAGAAATGTTATTATGTCAAAATGTCGAATAACTGACGATTGAATCTAAGATTAATATTTACTCTTGTTTGGTCGAATCCACCCTTAATGGTATAATCCTTGGATTTATTTATAAACTTCGTATTACCTGTCGAGATATGGTACATTTTGTATCTGCACATAAGTCTGTGGTATCTAAAAGTAGCTGCCAGTAATTCCATAGGCTACCATCATAATAAATGATAATGTTATGAATTATACCTATACTTACTCTGGTATAACTTTTCTCAAACAATCACAATAATAAAACATAGACAAATCAATTGAATAGAAATAGGGGCAATAAGAATAATAATAAAATATTTTATTTATTCATTTCACTCAGATGTACACAAGTTATAACATTTAAATGGAAAGAAGTTGTTAAATTATTATGAGCATGACCTTCTGATTACAATAAAAATAAAGGAATAATATACGAGTCATTAACAAATGACACATTTTAATTCCTTAAGACAATGGTTCCCAAAGTTGTCTGGGCTACGAACGACTCATCTAATACAAGTTCCCAAACTCGGGACCCACCTATAGGAAATTAACCGTTACCAATATGCCTAAATAAAGGACTCGGATCTGTGGGGTGGTGTGTCGTTCTACAGGCAGGGCCCACTCAATGTTTGCTCGTGACCCATAGTTTGGTAAACCCTGCCTTAAGATATTCTAAAAATAACACTAATCCGATTTCGAATATTTCTGGCCGTTTCTGGTCTCAAAATATGCCGCTTTTCCTCATATTTCAAGCTGTGTTTTGGTCTTTTTCAATAATTCCTGGCTTTGTGAATTGTGCCAATATTGAGTGTTCCTATACAGCCTATCGCAGTGCCAGAAGCAGAGTAAACTAATAAAACATGTTCGGGACTAACATTCCTTCCAGCTGCTTGCCGACCGATGGGACACGTCTCAGAGGCATAATTCATAATCACAGTATAGTTATACACAGCAGGTTCAAATCAAATTAAAAATTCTTCATTTTTAGAACGTATAAACAACTGAACGTAGGAAGATTTAATGAAGGTTACTAACAATGGCACTCTTGTGGTGGAGTTTTGGGCTGACACTGTGTAGGTTTGTTGTCGACAAGACAAGAAGCTTATCTTCTAAGTTTAGCTTCTCAGGTAGGAAGGCCTTTTCAGAGAGGCGTCAGTTAGACATTGGTTAGTGCAAGTAGTGCTGGAGCGTCTTTCCAGCTGGTTACGAATCCGATGGGACATGTCTTAGAGACATAATTCATATCACAGCATACTTACATGCAGTAGGTTCAAATTCAAATTCTTCATTTGTAAGTTAGGCCTTTTCAGAGAGGCGTCAGCTAGACACCGGTTATTGCGAGAGGCGCTGGAGTGTCTTTCCAGCTGCTTACCGATCCGATGGGATACGTCTCAGAGGATGTCGCCAGACGTGGCCATTGTAGCCAACTCTGGAGCGAAAATGGCACTAATTTTGTGGGTGGTTCTCGCGAACTGCGTTGTCTGTTCGGGGATGAGAGGAAAATTCATACCACAGAGTATTTGCATGCAGCTGGTTCAAATCAAATTCTTTGTTAGTACCTACCTATGTAGGTAGGGCTTTTCCAGCCTTTGGTTCCCATTCGTTTATAAGCATATCTACGGCAAACTAGACAGCGACGGCGACACTACAGCGATCTTCCGCGTTCCGTCCTAATCTCCAACCAATAGTGGTCTGAAGAAACACGTGAAACTTTTAATGGGTTAACTTGGCGACGCTTCAGTCCCATTCGCTAAGCAGTTCTACATTAGTACTTACGACAGGCAGTTAGAGCTACCTGCAGTAGGTCAGTGTTTTTCAACCTGTGGGTCGCGACCCCCTGGGGGGTCGCGAAGCCTCTATAGGAGGGTCGCGAGAGGTCGTAAAAATTACTTCAGTAAAATAAAACTTTTAAAGACAGATTAATCCGAAATCTAATTATGCAAATATTGTATGGATTGAAGTATTCAGTCCTACAAATAATTATCTTTGCAACACAAAATGCATGAAAAAAAAGCGAACGGTCGGGGGGTCGCCAAAATTTTTTTCATACTAACAACTTGAAAAACACTGCAGTAGGTAATATGGAACTGCAGCAGGACAATCATTTGCGAAGAGAAGCCATTTTCAGAGTTAGTAAACAACGAGTCGAATCTACTAGGACTCGTAATGATTGATACTCAAAACTTAATTGAAACTTTAGAATAGATTATTGAATTTTAATCACTAAAAAGTATAAAAAACAGTCGCTTTCCACTATCTGTCCCTATGTATGCTTAGATCTTTAAAACTACGCAACGAATTTTGATGCGGTTTTTTAATAGATAGAGTGATTGAAAAGCTAGGTTTATATGCTTAGCACCCGTGGGACGGGTGGGGTCGCTAGTGTGTAGATTAATCACAGTTTTAACCCTATACTTGGCAACAGCGGTTTTGGTTAATATTTGTGATTTCCACTATAAATATTGGATTTATTACGAGTAAAAATCATGTAAAAAATACGAAAAAAAATACGAAAAAAAGTCTTGGGTAATATAGTTTTGGAAATATAGTATGTATCTTTAAGTGCACATTGCCAGCTTTGTAGTAAATTAAAACATGGTTTATTTGTTAGAAGAATTTAGTTATTTAAATGAAAATTACTACAAAACCTTAAGCTATTCCTTATTTGAAAAATAAAAAATAATTATACTTCGTCGCTGCATCCTCGAGATTTTCATATTTACCAGGTAGTCCACTTCTCATTGTACTAGGCATCGAACATTTTAGAGCATACAATACAAAAAAGTACTTGTTGTGACTCGATATCCGGCGGTAGTGGGGCACGCTTACGTCACACTCCTCCAACCGTCGAGTCGTCATTCGCTTCGATAGTGCGGGCATCGTAACATCGAAATTTCTCGTTCGTGCCGCAAAAATTAAATTAAATTAAATTGGAATAAGTGTGTGCTTCGTGTGTGTTTAAATGTGAAAAGACCATAAAAGTAAACATTTCGATAAAATACACAGTTATTACGTCGTCTAGAGCGACGCGACATTTGGAGGATAATAATGGCTACCTGTTGGGGAATCAGGAGACCGGATCAAGGCCGCAAGTAAGTGCTCCGCCAACGAAAGTGCCTGCCAAGCTGCAGTCTGCGAGGAATCGCGCCGTATTGCAAAAAACATCACTCATCGTGAATCACAATGATGACTACGACCACTCTGGCAAGAGTGTACCGACCGAGAGGCAGATGAGTTTGGGGAATATTTAAAACAATTATTTTGTTTTTACCCAACTGTAAAAGGAATGGCAAAATGTTTTCGACTATGTTCAATCTGTGCTCGTACATAGGTACGTAATATATTGGATCCTAATTTAACACTGAGTTGTGCTGTGATGTGAGTTGTGCTGTGATGAAGTTCATACCGTGTTCATGGAATCTTACCTTAATGCTATTAAGGTAATCTATGTATTTCCTAAGAGTAGTGATGCGATTACTACCGAAATACCAAAATCGTAATAAAGAACCTCGATGCGATTGAGGTCAAATACGAATCTCTTAGAGTAGTGATGCGATTACTACCGAAATACCAAAATCTTAATAAAGAACCTCGATGCGATTGAGGTCAAATACGAGTTTCTTAGAGTAGTGATGCGATTACTACCGACATACAGTTCACAAGAACAAAAACTCGCTGCGTGCCTCCGCACGGCGCGCCTGCCGTGACCACTGGCCCCTTCAATCACCAGCTTTATAACCAGAAGCATGCAGCAGCCTGGACAGGCTGTTCGCTTTTTGGGGTGATTTGGGTTGGTTGGAGTAGGAAGATAACCACGCAAGAGAACCAGGAGGCTAAGTGCGGCTTCTAATTAATCAGCTGAAGTGGCACCGCTACTGACTTTCGACCTGGTTCGAGATTTTGGAACCATAACCAGCATTTTGCGCGCCTGATTTTGTTGCTGCAGCACTAAGTTGTCTAAAAAACAATGATTCTTCAGTAAATGAATTAAAAGTCATATCAGTATATTATAATTTACAGCTTTCAATATTACTAACTAATAACATATCCCTTTTTTATGCGATAAAATCTATGAAAAAATCATAAAATAAAGTCAACGAGAACCTGGCAATGTGTCTTTAAAGATACATTCAAAATTGAAAGTAAATTATTACGTATCTGACAATGTGCATTTAGAGATACATTCGGACAATCCGCATCGTACAAGAATAATTATACAAGTTTTGGGATGAAATAACAGCACTATCATCAAGAAACATTTATTTACTATCCATATTACTACAAATAATCACCAATATTCTTTAAAAAAAACACCGAAAATAATAAAAATTATCAGCCGGTGCGTAGACGCCTGTCAACGGTCTAACATTTTGCATATTACTGTTAAATCTGTGCAGCCTGTAGCGATTCTATACTGTGTAACACAATCTATAGTATTTGGGCTAACGTTATATTAAAAAAACATTTGAAAATGGTTTTTGGTTTCTCCCCCATATTTTTGTTTTGGTCAACGTATCTTTAAATGCACAATGCCAAGAAAAGGGTTAAATCTCAGCTCAACATTGAATCAACTTCTAAAAGCAGGTACCGCGGGCCTACCGAATGTCTCTCTTTTGTATTTATACTCGTAGTTGATTCAGATAAAGGTCAAGCCATTCTTAGCCATTAGATTAGCCACTTCAATTGTTACGGCTACTTGGTTGTTCCTTTAAAATATACTAGCGGCTGCCCGCGACTTCGTACGCGTGGACCCCGTTTTACATCCTTAGGGGTTGAATTTTGCCAAATCCCGTCTTAGTGAGCACCTACGTTCTAAAATGAACCCCCATGCTAAATTTGAGATTCCTACTTGTAGTTTCTGAGATTTCGTGATGAGTTACTCAATGACCTTGGCGTGGCGTGGTGGGCGTATGATGTAGCGGGCGGCCGCTGGTTTAAAATAAATGATTATTTTCTAAATTATCTTTTGGTATGTATTACATAAAATAATATACTTGATAAATATCGAATGTTTATTTACATGACTAATGTCATAACAATGAAATCGCATGTTGCTAAGCAACCATAAAGAAGGTCAGACATGACACGCCTCCGCCGCGATTCCTGGCTGCAGCACTGCTGGCACCAGTGGCGCCGGCAGCAGCTGGTCTAGATGGCGCGTCCAGGTCAGACCGCCGTCCGTACGCACGACATAGTGCAGCTTGCCCAGGCGCTGTACCACTGTGGCAAATGTCCACTTCTGAGCGGAGCTTCCGTAAAGTCTAGCCTGCACTCTGTCTCCACAAACAAAATGTCTTGTATTACTATAGGCCAATGTGTCATTAGTTCTCGATGGAGAGGTTGATGGGGTTTTGAGCATAGTATGAAGTCTAGTCCTTACTTCTCGGCCAAACATGAGCTCGTAAGCTGAGTGTCCACTAGCGCCAGGGGTACGCCTCAGTCGGTATTTAATCACTAAGAGTTTATCCATTAAGTCGCCTCCAATTTATTACATAAAATAATATACTTGATAAATATCGAATGTTTATTTACATGACTAATGTCATAACAATGAAATCGCATGTTGCTAAGCAACCATAAAGAAGGTCAGACATGACAGTATGAAACTTAGAGTTGTTTTTTGAACTAACGAAGGCACATCAAGTTAAATACTGTAGCATCTATGTAGTCGTAATAGGCACTTTGAAACAAAAATGTTTACGTTAAATGAGCAAAGCTAAGATGTTTCCTCATTACACAACTCGCTGTATATTCCTTAACATCACCTACATAATTTTCTTCGTGCAACTTAAATTATGCGCCACAATCTGAAGTTTTGCTTTTGTGACAAATTCTGCGTGGAGCACAAGCGTATTTAGCATTTTCATTTCAAGACTATCTTACGAAAAGTCTTTAAAATAACATGTATCTACATTTAGGCTGGGTTGCATCTTACTTTAACTTTAACAAACGTCAAAAATCTGTCAAACTTCATACAAAAACACCGGTTATCGTTATAGTTGATGATGACGGCCAATGGGGCAGCAAGGTTCTGGAGTGGAGGCCACGTGCCGGAAAGCGCAGCATAGGACGTCTACCCACAAGATGGACCGACGACCTCATAAAGGTAGCGGGTAGGCGCTGGATGCAGGTCGCCACCAACCGGCCATTGTGGAAATCATTGGGGGAGGCCTATGTTCAGCAGTGGACGTCCTCCAGTGTGGCTGAGATGATGACGACGATGATGATGATGATCGTTATACAGGGTGGAAACGATAAGTGATCTCACTCGATTATTTCTAAACTATACAAGATATCGAAAAACTGGTTACTGATCCTGAAAGCGCTTCACGAGCTCTTTCAAATGATACCAATAACAGGTTACAAAATAAACGGAAACTATCTGAAAATTTAATGTTTCCAGCTTCCATACTAAATGTATGCCAACCCAACTACACAATATTAGAATTTAGAAGTGTATTTTTTAAAAATTAAATAATAAACTTAAAATAAACTCATAAATTGCATTTTTATTTAAAATTACTTATAAAGAACATTATTTTTAGGCTTTACTTGCTATAATATTATCCAGAGATGAGTGCCATGACAGTCATAGTACTAAATGTATGGAAGATGGAAACATTGATTTTTTGGATAGATCCAGTTTATTCTGTAACTTAATATTGATACCGTTAAATAGAGCTCGTGAAGCACTTTTAAGATCAGTAACCAGTTTTACGATGTCTTGTGTAGTTTTTAATATTATGAGGCTGTACCAAATGTATGGAAGTCGGAAACATTGAATTTTCGGTTAGGTCCAGTTTATTCTGTAACCTATTATTGGTACCATTTGATTGAGCTCATGAAGCACTTTCAGGATCAGTAACTAGTTTTTTGATATCTTGTATAGTTTAGAAATAATCGAGTGAGATCACTTATCGTTTCCACCCTGTATAAAGTTAGATGGTGCAACTCAGCCTTACACTTTTCCGTTTAGGACATTGTAGGAAATATTTTTCCAAGTTGGTACACTCTTGTCAGAGTGGTCATAGTCGTGGTCATCATGATTTTGGCAATAATATGGCGTCATTCCTCCGACTGCAGCTACTTATACAAGTAGGAGTTATAAAACTATTACATATTAACTAAATGTTTAGATGCTTACGGTGCCATCTAAGATTGGCTGTAGATACCGTAAAGATCTGATCACCTTTTGAAGGCGAACCCTTATCGTTCGTTGGGTTCCGTGTCTATAGTGCCCCTTGATAATGTCTACCATTGTCCGTTTGCCAGGTCCAAAAACACAAAAGCCGGACTCAGTGCTTAATTTGGCCGGACATAAAAACCCTAACAAAAGCTGGACAGGCCGGACAAGTCAATAAAAAGCCACACATGTCCGGCTAAACGGATACCAACCCGTCCAGGGTCGGCCAGCGCGTAGAGAGTGTAAGACGTAGGTCAAATGCTCCATTTGCCTCTGGTAAATTAGAGGGGGATGTGATGCTGCAGTGGAGAATAAGTGACTTGATGATGATGTCTGTCTAACAGTCAGTTAGTGTGCTTTTTGACGTTTTTTCTTGCTGTTCAACTAACGGAAGTCTTACAAAGATACAAAATACAAACATAGTGTTTAATCTTATAACCTAATCCTAATGGTTGACTAATTTTGAAGCCAATTTAGTCCAATGGCGGCACCGGACGACTTACGCGATTCCGTCTTTACCCAGTTGCGACCTGTAATTTGATTACTGAATGTGAATGGGTCAAATCCTTCAGACAAAAGTGATTCACGTTTTTACTACTTTGATCAGAAATTAAAGATCTTGATTGGTAAAATTGGACGACAAAGAAAAAGTGTTGGTTAGAATCTTCAAAAGAACCTGACCTAACTTTTTAGTTGCGGTCCAGTGTATTGTATTGTTTGTCGGCCGTTTGGTGTAGTGGCTCGAAACGGACTACTATTCCGGAGGTAGCGGGTTCGATTCCCGCACAGTACAAACATTTGTGTGCATGAACATATTAATTGTTTGTATTGGACTGGGTGTTTTCTATGTATAATATAAGTATGTATTTACAAAAAAAAAAGTATTTCAGTATGTTTATATCCGTTGTCTAGTACCCATATTACAAGCTTTGCTTAGTTTGGGACTAGAAGCGCAGTGTAAATATCCAAGGATATTTAATTAAAAAAAAATGCTATAGGTACTTAGCCCCATTATGAAGGTACATGCATTACTGTCAACAGCACTAATATATATTTTTTTGACAAATACTAATTTGGATCTTCATCTGTCGTCAAATCCTTACTTGAGAAATATTAGCTATTCAGACAAAATTACTGTTTATTCCCTTTCCGTAGCAAAATTAATATTTAGTTCAGTGATTCATATGAGAAAATATAATAGACTTTCAGATTTTAATATAGTTTAGAATAAATAAAGTTACTCTAGGATGTTTTTAATTCCATCTAGCTATCACAGATTTAATTTAATATCTGTGATCACTATACACACTTACGTGTGGTAGTTTGGCTTTACGACTCACAGTTTACATTCGGATTTAGAGATATGAGTCACAAGAGGTAGTAAAGATAATACAGTAGACGTTTTGTTCTAGTTAAAAATAACGAGGACTCATTAGGAAATACCTATTTATAAAGGTCATTCGCCTTAAGTCTGCGATACGACAATACAATGTGATAAATCGGAGACATAAACAAACTGAACTTTGCAGTTAAATAAATCGTTGTCCCATATTCACCGACTTTCTTCTTCTTCTTCCTCGTCTTCCTTATCCCGTTACGCGGGGTTGGCTTTGCCAATTATGTGTCGCCATTATTTTATTTCTATCTAGTTTCTATCTAGAGCTCCATGCTTACCAACTTTTTGCTCTCAAATAAAAGTCTTTAAATACTTTTTAAACGTAGCGTGGGACGCATGCTCGCTCATACAAACCGGGCGATGTGGAAATCACTGGCAGAGGCCTATGTTCCTATGTCCTCTGAACTCCTGTGGCTGAAATGATGATGATGATGAAACACTTTTGATGATTCATGCTATTGTTCCAGCCAGCCTGCCCTTCTTCACCCATGGCCTCGAGACCACAGAGCTGGCCTCGTCATCCCACTCAGGGCACTTCATGAGCACAGAGGATGGGGTTCCATGGAACGCCACAGCGTACATTCTCGCTGCGCTGGTCAGCGCGCCGGTGTACTGCTATGTAGTGGATAAGTGTGGGAGGAAGGTGGGGATCTTCTTGGTCAGCCTGGCGCAAGGGGTGAGTATTGAAGAAGTAAAAGTCAAAGCTTTTTATTCAGTACTTAGGCCGTTTCCAGGGCGCTTATACAAATAAATATTACCTTACTAGCTGACCCGGCGAACTCTGTTCCGCCTTAAAAGCAATAAATAAGCCATCACAATTTTTCCTTATTTGCTCAACGTTTAGACCTACCCTGGACTACGACAAACATTTTAAAACCAAAATCAGCTCAATCGGCCCAGCCGTTCTCGAGTTTTAACCAGACTAACGAACAGCAATTCATTTTTATTTATATAGATTACCACCACTTTCGGACAATATATGAGCTCGTAACTCAGATAATCAATTAGATTTTGCCTGCGACTCCTATTGAAAAGTTTCAAAGGAAGATGCATATTATTTTGTAAAGTTAAGTTATCCAGTGTAGAAATAGCTAATGGAGAGTAAAGGCTGACTTAATAATGGTGTTATAAATAAACTTGTATTTAACACAATTCAACATAGTTAATACCAATTATTGTGTATCTTAAACTGGGCACATGCAAATGGTTGGTTAAAAATTATCCAGAAATTAAACAGTAGCATAAAATTAGTATTTGATTATCTATTCGGTAAGTCAACTTGTTCTAATGTGAGAACATCGCAAAACTTTAGTCTTCGTGACTTCATGAAGCCATAATCTACGATAACACAAAAAATATTTAACGATGCTATCAATGAATGCGACAAAGTAGGCACTTAAGAAAAGCCATTGTTTGGGAAATTCTATAAAAATCTGTTCATTCCAGGCCTCCTGCATCCCCCTATTCCTATCACAAGACTTCATCACTGTGATAGTTTTACACGTGGTCGCTGGCATATCCTCAGGCGGCCTCTTCACCGTCCTCCCGATCTACGTGCGAGAGATCAATTCCCTTACCACTGAGGGTTTCTCTCTTTCTTTGATGATGGTGATGACAACAGTGGGATATGCCATGAAGCTGGTCATGAGTATGGAATACCTGATGTATGTGATGACGGCGGTGGTAGCGGTGCAGTTCCTGTCGATGGTGCTGCTGATAGAGACGCCGAGCTATTTGGTGATGAGGGGGAAGGAGGAGGTAAGGCGATTTATGTTTTTGAGTTAGTAAATATTACAAAGATATACCAAGATGTCTCGCGGATGTACCTGTACTTGAAAGATCGTATTTAAATTTATAACACAACATTTAGAACTGTTGAAAAGTGTACCTTCTGAGGAACACGAGGTCTTTCGATAGACTACTACGTACTTACCTTTTTGTTTTTAAGAAAAATTTTATATTCGTTTATGTTGAGATGTTGATAAAAGTGGCCTTATGAAATTCATAGTAAGAAATCTTTTTGAATGGATGACCACTGCCTGATTCTACAGTGTTCAGGAGTTTCTCCCAAAAAAACTTGCATATTAGCAGAATACAGTCTTTCTTTATCTATCTGCAACCATTACCTACACCTATTCTTGCAAATAAATATCTTTATCTTTTAATACATATTTACACACGTATCTTGACACATGTCTGTGACCGGCGTTTAGTAAATAAATAAATATCTTACGTTCAATGTCAAATATTATAAAACTATCTCTGACAGACTGCTAATAACTGTGAATCAGCTAGTACGGGAGATCGTATGATATAGGTAAAATCCTCCTTATTCCCAGTAGTTAGTTCCATGGAACACATGGAATTTTCAGAAGCTTATGGATGAAGATGGACGTATTTTAGTTAATTTTAGTACCCTCACGAATCACGACCGTGACTAATACAATTTTATTAATGAATGGAAATGGAAGTGTTTTTATACAGTTTTGTAATATAGCTCAAGGAATTTATTTATTTGTTAAGATCATCGACACACAATCTCTTTTAAAACTCTCTAGATCCAGCCAATATTTTAAATGATTCCTGTTGAATTTGGTCCACATTATCATCCACTCACGACTCAGTAATTCACGATCATCATTAAAAGTAGTGCGTTGGAATTTATCGATATGGAATATTTTTTACAGTTCTAAAATGGCGTCTTAAGCCCATTTTCACCATCAATCCCTAATTTTTAAGTGACCCCTATGGTAACACTCAACAGGAATTTTGTTTTCATAACGGGCATTAATCTTTAGTTATGGCTTACTAACTAAAGTTTTATTTCAGGCAGCCAAGCAAAATATAACAAAACTCAAATGCTTAGACAGCAACGGCGAGAATGTGACAAAAGAACTAAATAATCTGAAGGACGAAAGTGAACGAGCTAGGTCTAAGGGAAATCTATCTGTGATAGGGATATGTAAGTATTACGCATTGCTTTGATTGTATATGTCACAATCTTTTACAGCAAATATATTTTTACATCATTATTCAAAGTGATGTAACTGTGAATATTATACAGGGTGTCCCAAAAAGTAGTGTCAAGCCGAAGCCCACAGGTAGAGAAGAGAGAAGCGATTTCGGAGTTCGGTCACGAATGTTACACTGTCGCTCTGGTGTCTTTTTGTATGTGTTACTTTTTTATGGTATTTGACCGCAATCGCACCTGGTGTTAAGTGAGATGCAGTCTAGGATGGTACATCTGCCTTTCTTCTTCTGCTCTGCTACTTCGCTTTGTGCAGTGATTTTGGAATTAAAACTGACTACATACAATGTTTTATTGTCTAAAGCAGTTGATCCAACCCACTAGAAAGAAGAAAAAGTAAACTTGAAGCTTCTACGATTTAGTGTAAATTACTGGGGTTATTTTCGGTCAAATATATCTTCAAACGTCTATAAATTACCTACACCTGAGGCTAGGTTTTAAAACAGCTGTCTAGATCTAATTTGAATATTTATGACCTAGGTACAGACGATGATACAGCATAGGTACTAGACTCTGACTCTTAGGTTGTTGTAGATAGATGTTATTTTGCAATACAAGTTTATAATTTACTAGCGGCCGCGACTTCGTACGCGTGGATCCCGTTTTACCCCCTTAGCGTCGGAGCGCACTTACACGGCCGTAAAGAAAATAGTATTTTATTAACAGTTCTTAGAGTCGTAATTGCTTACAACTGATTAACTGACATTTCAATCCGGACGAACATGAATGACAGAAATGTCAGTTAATCAGTTGTAAGCAATTACGACTGTAAGAACTGTTAATAAAATACTATTTTCTTTACGGCCGTGTAGGTGCGCTCCGACGCGCTCCGCCGCGTGCCGGTCAATGGGCATCGTACCTTAGAATTTGAATATTGCAAAATCCCGTCTTAGTGAGCACCAACGTTCTAAAAGGAACACCAATGCAAAATTTGAGACTCCTAGCACTTGTAGTTTCTGAGATTTCGCGATGAGTGAGTGAGTCAGTGACTTTACGCATTTATAGAATTTAGTCCAGTCAATAAAGCATTATAGATGGAAAACTGTAGAACACAATTTCTGACTTCAGGACTTTATTTAAACTAGTTAGGAGGTGAACATAGCAAAAGTCCCCGCCCTTAGCCCTTGAGCCGGCGGGGAGAGGGGGGTTTAAAGGTGCCACTTTTCGGTTTTTCGCTTAATCCTCGGAAACTATGCGTCCTAGTGACATGACTACTTTGACACAAAAAAAGCATATTCAATTTGCTACAGATGAGATAGACAAGTTTTTCTATAAATTGTATAGCTTTTGCGGCATCTGCTCTAGAAGGTCTGTAATATTGGAAATTTTATTTTTGTCTTACATGTTCCCACCAGGAGAAAATCGGCTAAATCAACATTGAGCAATCATTCTAGACATGCGGGAGCATGTTAAGCCTAGTTCCAGCGAGGGGACTACACCGTGCGTATATTTAGACGAATCACTTTGAGCCACTTTTGAATCCTCATCACTCAAAAACTACTGTGCATTAACACTTCAAATTTGGCTCATGTGTTGAAACTTACAAGATATACATCAGTTTCAAATTTCATAAATATGCCTCAAACGGTTCTTTAGATATTGACGTCCAAAAATCTACATGTCTGACCTATAGACCAAATTCTAACCACTTCCAGATGACCTCGAAGGTTCAAATTTGGCATCCAGAAAGGTAGTTATGTAAATACAAAGGAACAAATAAAAAACCAGTAAATTTTAACATTTCACATGTGATAGATAGATAGTAGTGCTCTAAATATCGATTTTTGAACGTCTATACCTAAATAACCGTTTGAGGTATATTTATGAAATTTGAAGCTGATGTATATCTTGCAAGTCTCAATACATGAGCCAAATTTGAAGTGTTAATGCACAGTAGTTTTTGAATGATGAGGAGTCAAAAGTGGCTCTAATTGGTTCGTCTAAATATACGCACGGTGCAGTCCCCTCCATGGAACTAGGCTTAACATGCTCCCGCATGTCTATAGTGTTTGCTCAATGTTGATTTAGTCGATTTTCTCCTGAAAGGAATATGTAAGACAACAATAAAATTTCCAATTTTACAGACCTTCTAGAGCAGATGGCGCAAAAACTATACAAGATATAGAAAAACTTGACGGTCTCACCAGTAGCAAATCGAATAAGCTTTTTTTGGTTCATAGTAGTCATGTCACTAGGACGCATAGTTTCCGAGGATTAAGCGAAAAACCGAAAAGTGGTACCTTTAAACCCCCCCCTCCCCGCCGGCTCAAGAGCTAAGGGCGGGGACTTTTGCTATGTTCACCACCTAACTAGGCTAAATAAAGTCCCGAGGTCAGAAATTGTGTTCCACGGATTTCTCTCTACACCGTCGTTAAGGCATTCATTGACTGGACTAATTATAGATTTTATAGATTGTGCTGTCGACTTTACACTAAAATATTGGCCCTTAAACGGGACTATTCCCACCTCTCGTTCCCACCACTACAACTCCTGTGTAGCCAGAATCTACAGCTTGACCGCCACAAAAATCCAACCAATGAAGTTCAAGTTTGTCACGGGGGAAAGTTAAACTGTCATTGGACCCGCAACGAAATTAATCAGAAGAACATAGGAGGAGTTCGAAATATTGGCTCTTGTTAATTATTATTAGTTTCAGAGGTTGATGAATTAAATAATGCAGTTTAATCTAGGGATAATGAAAAATGCTGTATCGGATAACAGCTGAGGCTCGGGCATTAAGGTATTAAATTCTAGCTTGGTTGTAATAAATCTTAAATAATGCAGTTTATCTAGATTTGAAGAGACGGTAATTAAAATAGTATTAATATTGTGAACAAGAAAAGCTTAGACTTTCTATAAGTTAGAATAAAAAGTAAAATAGAAAATAATGTCACAAAAATAGGAACTTGATTTAAATGTTAATGAGCAAAGAACATCAAAATGTCTTTCTAGCTAATACTTCCTAATAAAATTTCGCGAAACCGTGAATTTTCATGAGAATTTCCTTTCAAAATCAAAACTTGGAAACTTCCAGAAACGTGGCAAATTACATCACCATACATACATGTGGAATTAAAATTCCTTTGGAGCCAAATTTCGTTAATATGCAAATATGGAATCACTTTGAGCAAAACAAGGCACTCGGTAATCTTATATTGACGACACATTTCGTCGTCAATATTTTGGGAGTTTTGGATGTTATTTTCCTTGGTTATTACTGGGGGTTAATGCCCTTAATTTGATTATTTAATACTAGCGGCCGCCCGCGACTTCGTACTCGTGGACCTCGTTTTACCCCCGTTAGAAATCATATTTGTAGATGAACGCCATCTATATGTCTCTATATCACGGCATGAATATATACGAACTGGAAAAGCTCTTCAAGATACCAGCGCGCGTCCCTTCAAAAAAAAAAAGACAGATTGTCCGGCGCTGTAGATTTTAACCAGTGACGATAGATGGCGCTTTTTAGACATGTCTTATTTATTTATTGTTGTATTTGTCACAATATATCGTTAAAAATTATAGCCTATATGTTAATCTGGGTTATAAACCATAATAGGTACCTACTGTAAAGTTTCAACAAAATCCTTTCAGTAGTTTTTGCGTGAAAGAGTAATAAACATCCAAACTTTCACTTTTATAATATTAGTAGATGGTAGGTTATAATCTGGGTCCATATTGGCTCACCTAAAGTTATTTACCCGAAATTGTTCTTCCTAACGATTTTAAATCCGAATGATCACTCTTCCTAAAATTTATCATCCTAAAGTTTTCATTCATACTATTCGTAGTGCTACCGGCGATGTTCATAACACTCATGTTTCCGAAAATTGTAATTAATAATATCATTTATGTAAATATATTTAAACTCCTACTGTTTTTTATCATAACACTTTTATCCCTAAACATTACCATAATATTTTCACAAATACCATAGAATAATAATAAATACTACGTACAGAAGTACGTTCTTCGCGAATGAAACGTAAGGCCACAGTTCTAACCTAACCTAAACCAATAATTATGAATAGGACCGATTCGTTTCTGGAACTTGACTGAATGACTGGAGCGGGACTCTGGCTTCGCTCGCTCGGCTCATGCGTTGTGGTCACAGTTCTAACCTAACCTAAACCAATAATTATGAATAGGACCGATTCGTTTCTGGAACTTGACTGAATGACTGGAGCGGGACTCAAGTATACGTGTTAATGCCAACAAACTTGAACTTTAATATATCGTCAGAGAAAGAAATCTAAACAATAAAGATATGACTTTGAATAATAGTGTAAAATATGGTTATGTTTAGAAAATCTAGGAGAACAAATAAAAGTATAATAGATGTTTATTGCTAATGACATTATGAAGTTGAATGATTCGGAATTATGAACATTAGAGACAGAGTAGTTAGGAATTGTGATTGTTAGGATGAAAAATTTTAGGAACAACATTTTCGGACTTCCAATTTTCGGAGTTGAAAATTTAGGTGAACTTTGGCGCACCCTTATAATCTTAATCCAAGAGTAATTAATAGACGTGATCTAATCCGATTAAGTCATTTCTTACTACTATATTTTCGAGTTATTTGAAGTTTTGGGTTAATTTTCTCCTTTATCGATAAGACGTGAATAGCTTGCCAATATTTTATTTTAATTACGATAAAAAAAAATACAACGGTAAGACACAGTAGTGTTTTGTGTAGTGTAATGATTGTGAATCGTATTTCTAACAGTCATTTCTCCGTGTAATAATTGATCGACACTGCCTTTCGCTTAGTGATATTTTCTAAAGATGCTATTTTCCACAACAAAGGCTTAGGCTGGTTTTAGTGTCACGCGGACTGTCAGTGCGGATCGCTCCGCGCAGCCGATCTGTATGAACAGCTAGGGAGCGAAGCGGTTCCTCCGGACCGCATTACTCTAAAACGCTCTCTAGAAGTTCATACAGATTGGCCGTGCGGAGCGGGTACGCACCGGACGGTCCGCGTGACACTAAAACCAGCCATACTACTCGTTCTTTAACTCTCTTAATTTTATTTTACTTCCAGTCAGGAGTCCCATGTACCGCGATCAGACGAAGATAGGCGTGATCCTGTACACCACAACAGTGTTATGCGGCAGCATAGTGTTCTTGGACTCAGAGAAGGCTTTGCTACAGCTGGGTATATCTGACCCTGACAAGACGCTGGTGCTAAGCTGCCTGTTTGCTGGCAGCTTGTTCACTATGCTGCTGATCAGCTTTGTGGAGAGGAAGGTGAGGTTTCCATCAAATTCTATAGTCATTCACTTACTATTTTAGTTGAAATGGAACGCGTATGTTTAAAATCTTAGTATCAGAATTAACCCTTAATTGAATACTTCCAGTACCTCGTCCCCTTCGGCTTCTTCACCATGATGGTGTCCATGGGGGTCCTAGCCGTGTTCACACAGATGGACCTGACCGTGACGTCATTAAGATGGCTCCCCGTTGTCGCGCTGGGAGTCCTGAACTTCGGGTATGGGGTGATGTGGGCGCTGCCTTATGTTGTGATGGTGGAGATTTATAATTTTGAGGTGAGTAGCTATGTAGGCTAATCATGTAGGTAGGCAGGGATCTCATTTCTCATTTGGTGGAATGACCAGGTAAAGGTTGCGAGAAGGACCTGCATGCGGGCAGCCAGGATCGGTGGATTTGGAAATCCTTGAGGGAGTTCTTTGTCCAGCAGTCTCTCTTTTATCAGATAACTAGCGGCCGCCCGCGAGTTCGTACGCGTTGATCCCGTTTTACCCCATTTGGGGTGGAGTTTCATAAAATCTTTTCTTAGCGGATGCCTACGTTATAATTACTCATCATGCCAAATTTCAGCCCGATCCGTCCAGTGGTTTGGGCTGGGCGTTGATAGATCACTATATCAGTCAGTCAGTCAGTCAGTCAGTCAGTCATAGATGTACTTTTTTGTGTATGCAATAAAGATTTTAAATAAATAAAATGAACTACCTACTTCAGTAGTAGTTCATTTCATTTACTAACGTTAACCTCCAAGATCCTCCAAGTCTGTTATTTTAAGGTCATCATCGTGAACCGTATTAAGTTGGCAACTTGTAAATAATAAAGCTGATGAATAAAGACAAATAATATGTAATGTTGTATGAAATCAAGGAGATTTATGAACGCGTAGAAATAAATGAAGATTATCATTGCTAGTTAGCCAAATAAAATGTGTATCACAGCCAAACGATTCGATTTGTTATATGTACCCAATAAGCTATAATCGGATCAGTGTTGCAGAAGATATGCCGAATCATCCCGAGTCGGTTAACGCCATAGACTTCTAAGAAGACTATTAGACAAGCCCTTCGGAATAAATATTTAACTTACAGAGCCTAAAATGCGGCAGTTTACTTACTTGTACTCATAAGTCTATGCTTATACATAAATATTTTTATGTGAACAAAATGCGCAAGTAGGTAAATGTTTTTTCGGTGCAGTTTCTGAGCACTTTCCATATTTTTCTCAAAGCGTTGGTACTTGGTAGAGACCAAAAAATAAGGAGACGTGTAAAAAAATCTCTTTGGGGCTACCTTTTTATTATATTTATAGATGTCAAATGTCCATAGAAAGAAGATATTTAAAAAAAAATGTTATTGAGTTTTCTTGGTGTTATTATGTAAAATGTAAGTGTTAGTTTTCTGACTGAAAACTCTGAAAGCTTTTCTGGTTTAACGGAAGATTGACCCTCTCGCTTGCTAGCGGTTGGCTACTTGATAATACTCGTAATAGTACATAAGTACCTTATTTATCAGTAACTTTAACAATATATCTATCATTTATCGTGGCCTGTCTAGTAGAACATAGATTTCGTTGTTTCACGCACACATGCACACTTGAGTGACCACGTACTGATTGTGGAGGTTTGTGAAAAACAAATACGAACGAATAGACATCCAATGAAATAAAAAGAACGTTGTGTGCATTAGATAAACACTGTTTCTAATGTGACCACTGAATCATGAACTTTGAATTTTATGTATTTCATTAAAATATACTCAACATCAAATAAACCGCACCTTCCGCGACGCGAACTTTAAAGGTTTTCTTCTGACATACATACATATACCTACCTACCGTAGCACTTTGACAACGTGTGACTGCGGTTTTCCAAACATGAAAATCATTATGCAACTACATTAGCAACTTTGTTCAGTTCAGTATTTTGAAAATCTTGTTTTATACTTTTTCAGCGTCGTTTTTTTATGGTTATAAATCAAATAATGATCTTACGTGTCCTCTTTAACAGATGGATAGTGATTAATCCCAACTTAACAGTTTTATAGCTAATAGTAGTATAGTGTATTAGATTGATGTTGCCCGGTTGGTAGCGGCCTGCGTCCAGCGCCTCCCTGCTACCTTTTGATGAACATGGAAAGCATTGGGGGAGGCCTATGTTCAGCAGTGGACGTCCTATGGTTGAGATGATGATGATGATTATATTGATAAAAATGAGATTTGAAGGAGGTAAAGTTACTTCGTTTGGCAGGCGGGTTGGAGATCGCAGTTTAAAAGATTGATGGCAAATCCCTCCACCATAGTGGAGGAGGCTCATAGTCCAGCAGTGGACTGTAAAGGGCTGTTGATGATGAAAGTTACTTCGTATTTTTTTCCCAGTTTGGTTGAATCAATGACTGAAAAAAATATGTTTCTTCTATACATTTGAGGTTCCGATATTTTAGACATATTTTGCAGTATATAAATCTATAACGCTGTGACTGTAGTTGTTACAACCTATACACCATAATAAAGTAAGAAGAAGAAAAATAAAGACGCTCTAAATATTTTTCAAATTAAAATCCTATGAAGATAAGGCTTTTTTCAGGACAAATACGTGTCGTAAATATCCTACTAATATAATATTATAAATGCGAAAGTTTGGATGTCTGGATGTCTGGATGTCTAGATGTTTGTTACTCTTTCACGCAAAAACTACTGAACGGATTTTGATGAAACTTTACAGTATTATTGTTTATAACCCAGAATAACATAATAGACTATAATTTATGACGATCTGTGACAAGCTAAATTTCACGCGGATGAAACCGCGGGCAAATGCTAGTATTCTCTTTACTATGGAACAACTGAAGGGTGGTAATGAAAAGTAGTCGAAGAAACTCAGTTAACGTTTTCAGACTTCTAAATCTTACAGGAAAGACTACGTAGTTCTTTACTCTATTAAGTAATTTGTTTCAGATCCGAGCAACAATGATCGGCCTTCTCTTCACTTACGGGCAAATAATCAAGCTAATACACATCCACACTCACCAGTACATTGAAGATTACATGGGCATATATACTTTGTTATACATATTTACCAGCATCAACATATACGGCGGGGTATACTCCCTATTCGCTATCCCGGACTTGAAGAAAAAGTCGAACAAACAGATTGAGAAGCAGATGAAAAGGATACCTTTACTGAAATTCTGAATTATTGTTATAGAAAATAAACTAGTCTATATTGGCTTTATTTATTGAAGAACGACCTTTACTTATGTATTTTGGAAAAGCGCTTTTATTGTAACCACTAGCTTTCCGCCCGCGGCTTCGCCCGCGTGGAATTTTGTCTGTCACAGAAAAACTTTATCGCGCGCGTCCCTGTTTCAAAAACCGAGATAAAAACTATCCTATGTTCTTTCCCGGGACTCAAACTATCTCTATGCAAAATTTCATCAAAATCGGTTGCGAGGTTTAAGCGGGAAAGCGTAACAGACAGACAGACAGACAGACAGACAGACAGACAGACAGACAGAGTTACTTTCGCATTTATAATATTAGTTGGGATTTAATTTTAACATCTATCGTAATTCGTACTGCTGTTTACTTTTTTTTAACCGACTTCAACAAAAGGAGGTTCTCAATTCGGTTGGTAAACATAAATGTGGATTATGGACTAAAGCTGAAGCACATAATAATAATACTGGACCGACTTTTTACCTATCTGTGGAAATTCTTGGGGGAGGCCTTTGTCCAGCAGAGGACGTCATTTGGCGATATATTTTTGCTCAACACTTTTGATTTCTTTTCTCGTCACATTATGATTATTACAGGTGGCAAAATAAATAAAATATAAACCCAATAGTCTGGCCCAAAACAACAAGACCTACAGAGGCTCAGCTGTGGATTTCAAACAATCTGTAAGAAAGCCTATATTTCTTCAAGATTCATTGCCTCGAACAACAAGCGAAGTAGATGAAAATCTAACTTCGATGTTTGAGGTAATTGAAATCGCAAATGTAGGTAAGAAAAAGATAATCTAGATATTATTTCCATTATCTGTACCTAAATAAAATTATTACTTTTTTCTTAATCTTACGCTCGTATTCAGAAACGATGCTTGCTTGCTTGAAGCAGCAAATCGAACGCACATCATTGAATAGAGCTCTGTGATTAGTTCGTGTGAGTAGTAGGGAATTGGGTTCTCTGGCTCACGGTCGTTCAACATAATCGGAGTTTTAGTTTTCAGTCTAAGTGAATCGTTCAACTATAGAGCGCTCTCGAGAGGCGCTTTACAGCGCCTCTTAAGCGCGCAACGAGTTGACTGATTCACCTAGACTGAAAACTAAAACTTCGATTATGTTGAACGACCGCGATCCAGAGAACCCAATTCCCTATTATCACACTCACAAACTAGATTAGTGTATACCCTAGTACCTCAGTAGTTCTAAGCTTTCAGTGAACGTAATAGTAAAACTTTTAAGACAACTAAGTGAACCTATGAGCTGATCTATGCATACTATGAGTAATATATTGAAAACTACATTAGTAACTGATATTAGGATAGTTATTAGCTTTCAGAAAGAGTTAATAGTAAAACTCTTAAGACACCAGTGTGGTAGTTTCATGAGGTGCAGAAGATGAGTATACCTAGGTAGGTTAGTAAAACTATTCTTAGGTACTATGTATGTAGTTTGAAAACTAAAACTTCTTCTATTTAAGACTACAATTCAGAACTCGAATTATATTATTTCCAAATATTGCAAACTTTTATCATAATTACAAATAAATAAATAAAACAGCAAAGTAAAACTAATAAATATTTATTGTAGGAGTTTTTACAGATGTCAAAATAATATTAAAAATACTTATCACTTGCATTACACATTTTCTCACTCATTTTATCAATTATTTCACGGGCAGCTTGGTATATTTCATCCTTAAAAATGTTTTGAACGATATGCTGTCCACATATTTCAGCGTTACATTTACAAACTGGTCCTTCGCTTTTAAACTGGTCTGCATCATAAATTTCTAATTTGATAACTTTTCGCCCAACGGCAGGAATTTTGATGTACGAATATGTTTCGTTTTCTTTTGTTCGCTTTCTTGATGCACCCGATCCTTCAGCAACTTGTTTCCCATAATTTTCTTGCACTTGATTAGGTACATTGAAATTGAACAGAGACTCGGAATCCTGAAATTAAGAACAAATACGTTCACATAAAAATGCTTTTCATTAGAATTAAGTTCACAAAGTTTGATTTGCATTGAACTTACCGACATTTTTGTTATGATCTTGATTTAGCTCTACTCGTACAGATAGGTGCCTGCAAGTACGTGTGACTATACCTGACAATATTTTGAGACTAATAAAATATTGACGAAGTGGTATATTACTTACATATTCTTATTGTTTCTACAACATTACTCACATATAAACTGTTACTCTTTGTAAATCTGTTGCAAGGTACCTAAGTGGTAACCTACTTCTTTCAAATTTATCATCCCATATTCTATAAAATAAATTAAACACACGAGGAAAGTCATATGATAATACTAGTATAGTAAAGATATCGATTATCTTTCTAATAAGGAAATTTTGCTGACATGCACCACGCGCTGCGAAGATGCGCACACTCTCTCACGAATACCATATCGAGTAAGGTTCCTACGTCTTACAACAAACCTCCACTAATGCACATCCTGAAACTATTTATAGATCTTGACCCGTTGCCCCCCAATCATTTGTGCATATTATTTTGTGTGTGAGATCAAGTGAGCGAGTTTTCAACTAACTTCAGTTTTTAAATATAAGAGTTTTAAAAGTNACTCTTTAACTGTTGGACATAATAATTGATAAAATAACTAAATGTATCAATGTAGGTATATTAATTGATATTATTTTTTGTTTGCGCAATAAAGCACCTATTACTACATTATGTTAATTTCCAAGCAAACCCGGGAGTTTTTGGTAGTTATTTATATGAAAATATATTTCTGATACCAAGTCCTAACAAATAATAATAGTTACATTTCTGTTGGTTTTACGCCCAGATTCCGTAGAAAAGTGCCCATCATCCTTTGATTTATTACTTATTAATCAATAAACTTAAATGAGAAAAATTCAATAAAAATAAAGAAAAGATACCAATTGAAATAATTATAAAATTATTTGTTTTCACCCGGTGTAAACACCCACGGGTGGAATGAAACGGGTTTTTATTGGGTTTTTACCCTCATGTGGGTTTTTACCCGGGTGGAAACCCATCTCTAGTGGTAGCTAGCCAGGCGGACTCAGAACAAGCCCTACCACCAACCAAAGCTGGAAACATTGAATTTTCAGATAGATCCAGTTTATTTTGTAACCTATTATTGATACCGTTGGATAGATCTCGTGTAGCACTTTCAGGATCACTAACCAGTTTTTGGATATCTTGTATAGTTTAGAAATAATCGAGTGAGATCACTTATCGTTTCCACCCTGTATAATGATTAAATCTGTCGTCCCGCGTACCGCGGCGGAGCGCGGTGAAGTGTGATAATCGCCTTACTATGGCGGCCATATTAGCATGACACACTGGACGCAGCTGCGCAGAGGGCGGTAGCAGCGCGTTGAAAGCTGTTTTCGAATATTTAAATTTTTGACAACCACCCGCGTTGCAACAGCTTTGAAACTGCGCTGCTTTCAGTGTGCCTCAGCCGCGCTGCAACTGACCCGCACTGCTTCTAACCCGCGTTTGGTCTGTGGAAGCCTATAGCCAACAGCATATTTCTGTATTTTGAAAATCATCTTTTTGTACCTAAAACTTTATAATAATAAAAATATTCCTAAAATATACTTAATAATTTAACAATTATATTTTAATAGATTGACATTACAATTTGACGGCAGCTTCTGCTTTAAAAATCTGTAATTAATAAATAATGTGAGGCAAAAACGACGTTTCGACGTTCAAGGGTGGAAAACATTAAAACAATCGGTCAGTGGTAAGGTATCTTTATTACAAATACTTAGAAGGATACCTAGTATTTACACGATAACAAAATGTTACAAAATTTCAATCGCTGGTATCTATTCTCCAAATTAAAGTTCACTTTGCAAGCCGCATTCACTCATACATTTAGAATCAAACGTTATGAAAAATTTAGCAAACAAACATTTTAAATTATTGCTTTTCAACTAAAATATTATTAGAACAACCTACATTTTAATAATAAATATTTACCACTCACCCCCGATATTACAATAGGGAAAGAATAAAGAAATCATAATAATCATTAATCATTAGGAATGTGTCGACTAATAGTTAACACAATTGTTTTGTTTGTACAAACAGAATACCCTGATCAAAAATATAATCGAAAGTCATGAATGTTAATGAGTCAGAGTTTATTCGTAGGATTCTCTGCCATTCGTCTTCCCAGATGCAACAATGGGAGTAATAAATGGAGTGGACAGGATGGGTAGATACAACAAAAATTTTAAATTGAAGGGCCGATCATTCTCACTCATCGGGGTGTTTGCGTGTGACGACTGACGAGTGACAGATAAGACCCGAAAATGGGACTAGCCAGGTTGATAAAATACTAACTACACGTTAATACAGGGTTATATTTTTAATTAACTGCGGAATGACTTTGCTACTCAAATTGACAACTTTACAAAGGATTAACAATAAATCAGCCGTAGTTTAGTAATAAATTTAGGTTTGCTATTATAAGCAAGTCAAATAATATTGTAAGTTTTTAATATCCGCAAAGCTGTTGAAAAGAAGTAGCAAAACATTTGATGTGAGACATACTTTTTTTTTGTTGCAGCAACTCAGGTAAGTTGATATTCTTAAAATCTTAATGATCGTCAGTCAGTCGATAAAATGTGTTAAAACAGAAACATTCATTGCTATCATTATAAGAACAAATCCAGTAACATGGATCAAGTCTAGTAATAAAATTATGCTATTGAGTCAATTTAATAAAATCTGACAGAAACACCAACAAGGCAAACGGTCACATATTTCATAATTATTAATATTTAAGTAATATTTATCATTATGCTCAGACTCAATGTTACGACGTTAACCAAGATTGTCTTGATGCGAATAAACCGAAATATTATCAATTTTAACAATGAAATGGTATAGGTACAAATTTATTATTTTATTCGCAGAACAGTCAGACTGAGTAACTTTGCATGAAATAGCAACTTTCATTATCTATTTCTCAACTACATATACTAAAATACACAAACAGGACAACGACATATCCATCTGCCTACGATACTAGAAGACGCAAAACATTTCAACAAGGTATTATGACGTAACACACGAATACATACATATTATAGATCGGTTCATCCACGAAGACCCGCCCCACCACATTTTGGTCGAGGGAAGCGCGGGGTGCGGGGAGTTTGATCCGAGTTCAATCCGAGTCATTAACATGAGCAGTGTTTTGAATACTAAGGTCCCATTATCAAAGAACACTCTTATGGTGCGTCCACACTGGGCGAACGGGCTCACGCGGCAAACTCGACATCCTGCTTACTCAAGAGCAGGGTGAGCAGGATGACCAGCGTGCCGCGCGAGCCCGTTCGCCCAATGTGGACGCACCATTACACTCAAAAACAGATGAAAGCCGAAATTGTTCGAAATATTAAACTCCACTAATATAAGCTTTAATCTTGAGTATCAATAGAGTTCTGAGCATCCTTTAATAATACTGGTTTGTTTGTTTTTGCCGCTTAATAAAGTTACACAATCTGACTTGTTCCTTTAGCCGTGAGTACATTAAACAGACACAGATACATTGAAGAATATAACAATAACTAGATAAATAATTTTAATTATATTAATATAATAAAATAGGTATGGTTCAACTTCATTATTATGATGTATTATGTAATTTATGAATTTTATTGTAACAAATAACTCAGCTGGTTGAGGAAGCTTGCCTGTTAAATGTGAAGGCATCTGGGACGGGTAAAATCATTTTAAGATAATATGTACGTACTTTGATGCGATGCGCTCAGGCAACGGTCACCCGGCAGGTTTTCAGTTCAAACTAAGACGTAAACAGTAATGAGCATTGTAATACGGGCGATCCACAATGCTCAAACATTGATTTACAGAAAAAAAACTACGCCATAACTATTGGTTGCGAAAGGACGCTTAGTGCAAGTCTCCATTTCGGCGTATTTATATGTGCGTTAGATACTCCATGCAATTTCATAGACAGATACATATTTTATAATAGAAGGTGTGCGTTCACCTTTAATTTATTATAATTACTATGCATCAAAATGTTGCTTTCCGCTGAACTGCTTTCCACGGAATCCCTATAGTACCTACCTATTTTAATGTGATCTTATTATTTAAAAGTACCTGTCAATAATAAAATTCTAAGTGTTTACTATTGCTTTGTTGGTTCACTTTTCCACAAATGGATTAAAAATCTCAATAACTAAAGTCCGGTCGCCGAGCAGATAGAATTTCGTACAATGACCCCAAGCTACCCATCCTTATCGGTCGCGCGTAATCTATACTTATAATAAACTAGCTGACCCGGCGAACTTTGTACCGCCTTAATGGCAATAAATAAGCAGACTTTTTTATTTCGAACGGGATAAAAAGTATCCTATGTCCTTCTCCTGGCTCTAGGGAGGTACCCTGACAATTTTCAGCTAAATCGGTTCAGCCGTTCTTGAGTTATAAGCGAAGTAACTAACACGACTTTCTTTTATATATATATATGAAATATATTTTCAAAATAACTATCAGGGGGTGATTAGTGATCGATACTGATGCCAAAAATGCAATCAGTAAAATTTTTGTCTGTCTGTCTGTCTGTCCGTCTGTCTGTCTGTCTGTCTGTCTGTCTGTCTGTCTGTCTGTCTGTATGTTCCTTATAGAAACAAAAACTACTCGACGGATTTTAACAAAACTTGGCACAATTATTCTTCATACTCCTGGGCAGGTTATAGGATACTTAGGAATTCCCACGGGAACGGGAATTAGCGGAAAAATCCTTTTGTATGAAAAATCTAAACCACTTAAGTTAGACGCTTGAAATTTGGCATGCAGGTATCTTAGTAAACTTAAAGCTTAGTTACAACAGGATATTGCAAAATTCCCACGGGAACGGGAGTTAGCGGGAAAAAACTTTTGTATGAAAAAATCTAAACCGCGTAATATAGACGCTTGAAATTTGGCATGCAGGTACCTTAGTAAACTTAAACTTAGTTACAACAGGATATTGCAAAATTCCCACGGGAACGGGAGTTACCGGGAAAAAAAATTGTATGAAAAAATCTGAACCGCGTAAGATAGATGAAGGCGGGGTAAAACGAGATCCACGCGTACGAAGTCGCGGGCGGCCGCTAGTTACATAATAAATTGCTGTCGTGACTGCGACAAGCGGCCGCAGTGAGTGTGCGAGCAATATATTTACGCACGAGCGGTAAGGATAGGTAGGCGACCGGACTTAATTACATATTATGTTTTAAAGTCTTGTAATTTAACACCAAAGAGTGTTGAATAGGGGTCNGTGTTGAATTGTGTATGATATTCTTCATTTTATGTGTAGAACGAAAAATATTGTGCGTATTTTTGTATAGCCTGTGTGAACAGAGGCGGAGTGCATTTAAATAGAAGTTAAAAATTCTTGATCAATAAGACAAGTCAATATAACCTGGTCTTGGATTAGAATAAACTTCCCGTAGGATTCAACCACTGGGATAAATGATGTCGATATACTGGTTAAAAGGACTTAAATCAGCCATTTTTATTGCTTACAAATTGATTAATCGTAAAATTTTAAAATTATGATTCACTACCGACCCGCCCCTGCTTTGCACAGGCACGTTCACCGTACAACGTATTATGCTGAAAAACCTTCATCTTGAATTACTCTATTAAAAACACATCAAAATCCGTTACATAGTTTTAAAGATAAGAAATATCCAGACGATACGGTATGTGACAACAATGATGGTGCCAATTAATAAAATTAAAACGCATCCCCTAACCAACCACGGCAATGGTAGGTTAAATGTCATTTGACATGGTTAAATGTCAAAATCTACTGGCGTGCCAGTGCCGCATGGAGATACCTAAATGTAAGTCAGAAGTGAATCAACAATAATTCGAATAAAATTGTTCAGTTTTCATAAATTCAATAAATAATTATAATAAAATTTAAATTCTTATTCATACTCACAATGACAACCGGACTTGTTATTGTATGTTTTTATCCGCGTTGGCGTACTCCTCTTTGTGCTACGTTATCACCGACATACGACAGTTACGGCTTCCTAGCGGCACGAGTGTCGCCCGCTATCATGATGGACGGTTCCATAATGAGTAAAATAAATAAAATAATATCTTATTAGTCAAATTCAATAAATTATTAACAATCACGGCATATAGTCGAGAACACGGCTTAAAACTGTAATTCGAAAGGTTGCGTGTTAACTATTGGTACACCTCGATTGGAAAGAGCCGCTCTACTTGGGGCGCTCCCGGCAGAGCTGCGTCACAACCGTCAAGCGCGACAGCGCTCTTACATAACACAAATGAGAAATGACAGCAAAGGGAGACTACAAACTCATCAGAAATAATGGTACTTACTCGATTATTTAACTGACACAATATAAAATGACAACCATATTGAATACAGATTTCAAACAAATATTAATAAACATCCAATCATCAATTCGTTGAGTCATCGTGTTTATGTAATATCTTTTTACTTTGGGACACACAACTTGCAATGATACTCATGTACACACAAAACTGTTCAGAGATAGGCAAATTTAATTTACGAGAATCAGGCACAGGCTAACATGTAGTATACATTCCAAATAGTGCGAGTTTTACTAATAGTTAACAACAATAAAATATCTATCAGTGTTCCCAATACATCACTGCCTTGATCTAATTAATGTATTTCTATAGATATTCAAAAAATTTCCAATAATCACTGGCAACAAAGGCCGGGGCAGTGAAGAGTTCCTTTGGAACTAGAATGCTAAATTCTATTCTGTAATATTATCTTAAAAAGGTTCACTTAAACGGTAAATACAATAGTAATTTACAATTCTTTAGTTAAGTCTATGAAAAATCTTATAAAATACCTATTCAAGTGAATTCGTAGTCTATGATCGTAGTTTTTTAAAAGCCCTTTTAAGAATATGTAGGGTTTCCTAAGCAATAAGCCTAACTATAAAGTTTTATATAAATATTTTTTGCAAAATAATACAAATTACTAACAGCATTCTATGTGCTAGAGTGGTATTATTGACTTATAGGCCATAACAATCAATGTCATGCATAGAGTGCATAGCACTGACACGGTATAGTTAAAATCATTTGTGTTCGGTACTTCCTACAATATTGGAATGTACACTATGAAGATGGTTAAATTTTTATATGCCTTACAATTTTTCTATATGGTGGCGAAGACGACGGCAAGCTTGAAATATATAGCGTGGTGCTCCGAACATAGGCGCAACCGCGGCCTGCAACAACATAAGTTCTAGTGAATTATAAGCAAATAGGTCGGCTCGTTTTTATAATATTGCATTTAAATTCTATGTTTATAATATAAATGTTATCATTAGAACATATAAACCACGGCGAAATATATTTGTAAGCAATAAATATTTATTTTACCGCTATACATATAATTCAGTTGCTCTTTGCAACGGTTAGGTTCGCCTACGATTTAGAATTAAATTCTAGAAGAATAGATTCTGCTAGCACGACTCGCCAGCCGACGGCAATTTGAGGATGGTCATAATCGTTTTGTCTGGTAAGCAGTATATTTTAATAAAAGTGAATCGCAATGGCGATTTTGGAAAATTCATTTTCGCCTAAATGCATACGGTTTTGTCAATATCCAAGAAATCAATAACGATCAAGCAAGCGAGGTAAAGTGGATCGATTTGAGAAAAAATCCAAGTTATCCTCCTGGGCCGAGGTCAATAATTTGATTTGAAATTATTTTCAGAAGGAAAATATAATCATTGTGAAAACGCACAGCAGCTACAATTTATTGAACAGTGAAAATGCAGAATAAACAGTTTATTCAATTCATCTTTTTCTACGAATTCCTACTATTCTTTAGTTAACTTCGTTATTGATGACCTGTACATATACGCTAATCATTAAGAAAACAATGGTTTTCTATTGTCTGAATTTGATAGACACTGTTCAAACCATGGATACTCGCTCTTGCAAGAATCGAACTTGCGTCAGCTCGCTTAGTAACACAGCGGTCAACTATAATAACTATAGCGACTAGCCGTCTAACGCATAAAAACAGTTTCGCCAGTTATTTGTAAGCCAGCATGAGTCTCGGGAAACCTGGGAGTTCGGAGAGAGACTAGATTCTGGGGTTTCAGTAGTTATTTTTATATTTGAACTAGCTTTCCGCCCGCGGCTTCGCCCGCGTGGAATTTTGTCTGTCACAGAAAAACTTTATCGCGCGCGTCCCTGTTTCAAAAACCGGGATAAAAACTATCCTATGTTCTTTCCCGGGACTCAAACTATCTCTATGCCAAATTTCATCAAAATCGGTTGCGAGGTTTAAGCGGGAAAGCGTAACAGACAGACAGACAGACAGACAGACAGACAGAGTTACTTTCGCATTTATAATATTAGTTGGGATTAGTTGGGATGAGTATCTTTAATCTTTATTGCTCGACTTGGCGGGGGCACTGCCGTGTCCCCAGATACATAATATCATACATAATATTATCCATTACAATTTTTGAATCGATTGATAACTTCGTTAATAAAATTCGTTTCAGCAAAAACAAATGTCCAAATTCGCTTTGCTCGTAGTTTTTCTACCTAATCGAATCAGAAATGTGGTGATCCGTAGTAGAACCAAAGTACATAGCTCGTATAATTGCCAAGACTCGTAGAACTAGCGGGACAGAAAAGTTCTCAAATGGCGACCACAGACCGGAAAAAGTATAATAGACGCGGGCCTACTCGCTGGACCGACGATCTGCCAAAGGTCTCGGGAAACACCTGGCTGCGGGTAGTGCAGGACTGGTTGTTGTGAAAATCCGTGGGAGTGATCGTTGTCCAGCAGTGGACGGAATTTGGTTGAATCTAATTTCGCTTTGCAAAAAGTTTTTGCTTAGTCAATCGCAATGCACATATTGACAAAAGTCATTTGCCAACCACTGTGGAACCTTCGCGAAGGGCTTATCTAAAAAGTATTGTATATAATAGTAATAGTGGACTTTTTAAGATAGGAGTGTAATATCCTATGTATGTATATTTCAACCACCCTCGAAATATGTCTTTATGTAATTTATTTGTAAAATTCTACTTCGCATAAAGCTGAACTTAAATTGATTACATTGTAAAATGTACGAACGACGACAACGAACCTAAATACTGTAGTAGGTATTTCGTTTTTCGACAAAAATTTAGAATCTTATGTGCTGTCGACTCTAAATATGCTTGATAGAAAAATGTTTCTGTTCTAAAATCATAATTATTATATTTTCGCATAGCAAATAAGAATAAGCAATACTGCACTATCATTATGGCACAAAAGGACATCAAAATACAACTCCCAACTCTTTTGTTCACACTCAACTCTTAACATTCGCATGTGCAGAACGCCTGATGTTATGCCAGTCATCGTACATTATATGAGCAATCGCATTCGCATTGGCCCAAAATGTTTAATGGGGTATCTTGTAACTTTTAATTGATTTTATTCATTATCTTTTCACATTATATTGTTGGGTATAACCTTAAACAGTGACTTTTCATTACCTATTTTTCCAGTCTTTTGTTCAATTTGATACTAACTTATTAGGAGCCTGGAATAGTTTATCTACAGACCTACCGCAACAGCTTCGGCACATCGGCAATCTGATAATTTAATATAAGTTTAAATTTAATAATTACCTTATTTCCCCTTGGCATTAGTAGTTGTCGGTTTGGCAGGCTGTGGTATTATAGTTATTTCGTCGTTGATCTTGAGCGGCTTGCCACTGGCGCCTTTAGGCGGCGGCGCGCTGGCCTTGCTTTTGTCCATGACTCGTTTGGCGACTACACTGTGCGCCGAGTACACGTGGTTCTCGAATTGCTTGTACATGCCAAATGTGGCGGTGCAGACTGTGCATTTGTACGACAGGTGGGCTGGCTTTAACGTTAAATTGTGGTCCCTGGCTACATGGTTGAGAAGCTTCCATTGGTATACCTGAATGAAAAGTTATAAATGAAAAACATTTCCATAGTTTCTGCTTATTGATCATGATTACAGACTAGGATTACGATCTTACCCTGCCACAGACAGGACATCTCCCAGCATCTTTCCCTTTGTTGGCCGCTTCCTGCATTGAGCTGGTGACTAACCCATGCGAGCCTAGTAAGTGCCGTTCTAGTCCCTGATCCGTGAAGAACCTGGAATACGAGATAATTTCATATTATTACCTCGGTAATATGACTGTGTGCTATATGACGCGGTATAGTGTACACTATTTAAGTCTCAACAACTGAAAATAACGATGTCTTAAAACTTAAAGTATCGTACAAAGACCTTACCTAAATTGACATTTTTGGCAATTAAGCGGCGGCCGATTGTAGATCATTTTCGGGTGAATTTTGACTTTATGTATCCATTGCATATGGTTCCTTAATTGCTCTAAGTCTTTGATGTATCCGTCGCATATTTCGCAGATCACGAACGAGCCCTTGGACTGCGCGCTCGGGGCCTGCTGCGGCAGCACCTGCGGCGGCGGCTGCCGCGGCAGCGGCGTGATGGATATCGACGGGTGGTGGACTGACTTTGGTTTCACGGGATTCTGAAATTACAAAGCATATTTTGATTGAAATACAAAAGTAAAGAGAGAGGGTTTATACATCTTGAAAAATTAGAGTAAGTTGGAATATAGACGGGGTATTCGTATTCCGTTCTGTTTAAATTCTCAAAGGCTTCTTACTTCGCAAAGACGCAAATGAATAAAAGATGTCATGATATTCACAAATTCTGACAAACAAATACTTCACTTCCATTGAAATTATAAATGCACAACACTTTAATAGCCTACAAAGATATTACAAGGCTCAATGAGATATACTTCTCGCACGCCGTCGAGAGTATCTGAGTATCTACTCTACTACTATCTGAGTATGTACCACTAGTACTGAGTCGCGCTGAGACCACTCCGTGCGTCAGGATCGCATGCATTGGTTAGGGTTGTCTCTTTAGTAAACACGATAGAAGTTTTTACAGGACCGGAACAGGACCGGAATGCATTCAATCTTCATAATAACCTCGGTATAAAAAAAATTGCTTCCTATTGTCGTATTTTAAAGACAAGTGAGTGAATCTCACCGCGCTGAAGCGTAATTAGACTGCAAAGCATCAGCGAAGTGTGTATCTTCGTGGATAATATCAAACACAAGTTAAAATAATAGTAAATCTTACCGCTTAAGCGAAGTTAGACTGCATAAGTATCAGCGCAGTGTGCATCTGCATGAGGATAATATAAATCACCATATATTAAAATAATGGAAAATCTTACCGATGCAGCGAAGTTACACTGCATAAGTATCAGCGCAGTGTGCATCTGCATGAGGATAATATAAATCACCATATATTAAAATAATGGAGAATCTTACCGATGCAGCGTAGTTAGACTGCATAAGTATCGGCGAGGTGTGCCTAGGCATGAGGCCGCCGCCCCGCAGGATGGGCACGCCGCGCGGCGGCAGCGTCATCGGCGAGCGCCCGCGCCCGCGGAAACCGCCTGCCGCTATGCCCAGGCCCAGGCCCATGCTCATAGGCGTCCGCACCGCGGTGCTTCCGTACGGACTGCGATTGAACGTGCTCGGGTAAGACCCCACGACGTTGTTGCGCGGTTTTGCTATCTGTAATCACCAAATTACACATTGTAGATTCTTCACGGAACAAATTGCGCTTATAATTGAATAGTGTTTTTGTTCTGTGAACGTCGTTCATTAGTTATTGGGGTTATATCATGTATGGGTGCAGGCATGGGTTTATGATTATAACATTTTTCAGCAGTACGAGGGGCGGCTGAAAAGTTTTAAGCCTAAGTATCTTCAAGTGTTATTATTGACTCGCACTAAATTTAATTAATTTGCCAATAACGTCCTTAGTATATGTACAAAATTTCATTTCATTAGCGTCATCACGTTTTTAGTAATTAATCCGTAAACATCATCATGTCTCAGTCATCCGCGCAATGTACGAAATTGAAGTACACAGTTGTCATAAAATGCCTCACAAAGAAGAACAAAACGCTGACGGTAATATTTGGAGAGATGTCGACAGTTTATGGGGAGTCTGGGCCTTCATTTGCCACCATGAAAGATTGGATCCGATAATTCAAGCATGGCAGGGAGTCGCTAAAAGATGACCGCAAGTCAGGGCGGCCAGATTTCGCCATTAACGAATAAAATAATGAAAAGTTAAAGAATCTTGCTCTAAAGATCCGCGAATTAAGCTGTGACAGATAGCTGAAGCCATAGGCATTAGCAAGGAACGTACACATGAAAAAGGGGTGTCAAAAATGCTCACGCCACTCGACAAACAGCATCGAGTCACAACTTTGCAGGAGTTTTAGGACATCTTTTGCCATAATCCTAGCAAATGTTTTTCTCACATTATCACTATTGATAAATAAATAGATCCGGCAGTACGATTCAGAGTCAAAACAAGAGTCAATGCAATGGATTAAAAAGGGAAAACGCCGCCGCGGAAATTCAAAGCGGAGCGATCGACACCGAAGCTCATAGCCACTATTTTTGGGATTGTGGAGGAATTTTATTCATTGATTACCTACTTAAAAAAAAACTAAAATAAACGGGGATTATTTTGCTTTACTGTTGATAAGAGTGCGTCAAGTGGTTGTCGAAATAATAAGAGGCAAACACTGGCGAAAGGATATCTGTTATTGCCAGACAATTTGCCCGTGAACACCGCGCATGTTGCAAGGCTTGCCCCGGGTAAAACTGGATTTCAAGAAATTAATCGAATACCACACAGTTTAGTCCGGATCCTTAGCTTTTTTTTTTTAATTCTCAAATTGGAAAAATGACCTCCAGGAACGAAGATTTTTGAGTGACAAAGAAATGAAGGCGGCGCTAAAGGCTCATTTCGAGGGCAAAGATTGCGAATTTTTTTTCAGTGGGTTAAAAGCTCTTTTACACAAATGTAAGAAGTGCGTTGTAGTAGAGGGAGATTAAGTAGAAAAATATATTTTTTATACTTTTCTATCGGCATTTTTAATACCTTAGGCTCAAAACTTTTCAGCCGCCCCTCGTACCTAGGTATCTCAAATCACCAAAAAGTAAATTGATCATCAACATCACTGCAACATGAATCTCTAAAATTATTATATCGTTTAACTAACAGAAACCATATCAATAAACAACATACAAGTAGCGCTTTAGACTAAACCACATAGGAAATTGCTCCAGATTAATCAATATTAACAATGATGAAATATTGCCTAAAACAATTCGTGCTTTCTCCGCATATTTTCCACGTTCGTGAGTTGGCGCACGCAGAGCGCGCGACCCACATGTTTCCCACCGTTTGAATACATTTAGTCTTATTTATAAAAAAAAAAACAGTCATGTTACTTCGCGCATATTTTGAAAGGACAGTGCCAGGGTCTGGACCAAGTGCTGCCCAGAATCAACCCATAGTGCATTTTGTTCCTCATGCCAATACTAATGTGTAAACCGAAGCGCACTGAAATCTATCCCTGGAGTTAAGAGAAAAAAAGAGTTTTGTTTTGAATTATTTACATACAAAATATCATCGATATATACGTACTACGTATAAGATTTCGTGATTTTGGCATTAAATAACACTCGCTATGTTAAACTTAACCATACTGCATCCGTACACCTTACTTTAGTGCGACTTAGACATTCTTTATAAGCGATCTAACGCTGTTGCAATAGTTTGGTTAGTTGACAGAAATCATTATTTCCAAAATGAAGCAAAAAGTTTTAGTTCTCTATCCTTGCGAAAAATCAATTTATTGGTGTATTACAATCGATTATTGAAGTTATTGTAAGCTAAAACTTCTTGCTCCATTTTGGAAATAATTAATTTCGGTCAACTAACTAAACTACTGAAACAGCGCTTGATCGCTTATAAATAATGTCGAAGTCGTACTAAAGTAAGGTGTACGGATGCAGTATGGTTAAGTTTAACATAGCGAGTGTTATTTAATGCCAAAATCACGAAATCTTATACGTAGTACGTATATATCGATGATATTTTGTATGTAAATAATTCAAAACAAAACTCTTTTTTTCTCTTAACTCCAGGGATAGATTTCAGTGCGCTCCGGTTTACAAATTAGTATTGGTCTGAGGAACAAAATGCACTATAGTTTCATTCTGTGCAGCACTTGGTCCAACTTCCATACATGGATTGGCACTGTCCTTTGCTGCACAATATGATATTAAAATATCTAACATACCTTTGGTATTTTAGCTGGTGGTTCCCAATCCACAGGCGGAGCTAAATTCGTTTCAGGTTTGAATTTCTTTGCACAGGCTAGCAGATGTCGCGCTAATTTTCCTTTCCCGTTGTCCTCAAACGGACAGTTTGAGCACTGATGGTATGACGGCGCTCTCTCCAGTCGACCTTTTACGTTATGCTCTGCTTCCATATGATACAAAATTTCATGCGGACTTCGAATTTCAAACGAACAAAAATTACATTTGTACATGTTATTTTTCATATGTGGAATCTCTAAATGGTTAGCCATGGCGAGCATCGACTCTGTTTTGAAACTGCATAGCTCACACTTCTTTTGGGGCTGCACATAAGGTGCATTATTTTCTTTACTAAATTCTAGATTTTTCTTAAGTTGTGCTATAGATGATTCTGTTGCTCTAGTGTTTTGACCAGACTTCTTTTCCTTGTATAATTTGCGATTTTGTTGTTTCAACAAATCGGTTTGCACAAATTCTTGGACAAGGTTAAGACCAATATTAATGAAAAACTTTCCTAGTGAGCAATCCATAGAGCTATGAACATTGGCCTTGCTTGAACAAATCTTATCAGCAGTCAACTCGGTCACATTTTTTATCTGGTCAATTGGTTCAGTTTTATCTTTCACTACAATTTTGTCCTCCTCATCGCTCAGTGCATCATCAGACTCTGAAGCGGACTCCCCGTCCCACGATGCATCATCGTCATCATTCCTCCGCCTTCGTCGCTCTGCGAAAACAATTTAGCATTTATTTCAATGAATACCCTTTAACACTGTATTATGATCTGTGAAATTAAAAATAGCAGAAAATAAAGAAATACTAAACCTACCTCTATCAGATTTTTTCTTTTTCTCTTGTTCTTCTGATTTCTGCGTGGACTGGGCCTCGCTTTCAGAACCGTCATCCTTTTCTTTATCCGTGTCTTCTTCCTTATTATCTTTTTGCTTTTGCTCTTCCAGTTCTTTACCTAACTTGAATACAAACTCTCTAAAAGGTTTTAAAGACGGCTTTTCATATACATAAGGTACAATAAATGAGGGTGCTTCTACGACGAACATATCGTCTGTCAAAGATGGTAAAATAGGTGGTGTAGGCGTTTGTGATACCTGTGTGGATGTACTTTTAGTGCTGCTAACTGGTGTCACCGTTGTGCCACGCGCAACAATGCTTTGATATAAATGCTGGGCGTTGAGAACCGAAGTAGATGTTGAAACGGAAGGCTTTATTAACACTGAAGTATTTTTAGGAGGTGAACCTGAGTTTGTATCAATAATGACAACAGTTGGTTCTTTTTTATTATTATTCCCATGCTTCATTTGTTTGGCTGCCATCTCAACTAGTGCTTTAGTATCGTTAATTACAATTGGTTTGCCCTTACGTAATGAAGATTCGTTGAACGATATTTCTTCTATATCAGACTCAATTCCATTTTGAACGTCATCATTATATCTTTTACGTTTTATTGCCCTGCTGCTACGTCTAAGTGGCAAAGTTTCCTTGACAGTAGCAGATTTTATTTCGGAAGCCACTACACAGTCATCATTGTCACTTTCAATTTCATGTATTTCAGAAGTTTTAGAATCACCGTTTTGACTTTCAGATTCTCTTTCTATGTCTAATACAATAATATCACTTGTCCTGATATTTTCTGATTGGACATCTTGTGAAGTTTCATCTCCCTCATCTTCTGAACCAGAGTCAATGCTTACTGTGTCTTCGGCTTTGCGTTCATCAGATACAATAGAATCATCCTCAGCAGATGATTCATCGGACTCGTCATCAATCGAAGTCTGAAAGCAAGAAATGACGAATTAGGCCACTTTAATAATACTACAACGTTCGCCACAGCCGACGAGATGGAAAAGGCAGCAAAATGTATAAAATACGGAATAACATCTGAAACTACACAATACTGCCGCTACACTACTTCATTTGCTTAGCTGTCACCGTCAAGCCCAGGTGAAATCGCACAGCACACGATATCAACTATTTCTAGTTTCGTCCCTTACCCATACCCTTTTGATAACATTTATTTAATAATGAGCAAGAGCAATTATGATGCGACAGGAAAAAAATCATACTATGTATGCACACAATAGCATAATTTTTATAAGATTGTCAATGTTATTTTATAAACAATTATTGATCTCTCCAGAGCCGAAAACCCTGAAAACGTCAGCATTATAATTTTAAAACACCTAGGGGGATTTTATTATGCTATTTTGGTATGCAGGACATGAATGCGTATGAATGGCAGATTTAAATTAAAAGACGTCAGAAACTATGTAAAGTTTTAGACGAACATATTTCTTCTAGTCTGGTGGACGGCGAAAATGTACGAGGGGCGGCTGAAAAGTTTTGAGCCTAGGGTATTAAAAATGCCGATAGAAAAGTGTAAAAAATATATTTTTCTATTTAATCTCCCTCTACTACAACGGACTTCTTACATTTGTGTAAAAGAGCTTTTAACCCACTGAAAAAAAAATCGCAATCTTTGCCTTCGAAATGAGCCTTTAACGCCGCCTTCATTTCTTTGTCACTCAAAAATCTTCGTCCCTGGAAGTATTTTTTCCAATTTGAGAATTAGACAAAATAGCTAGGGATTCGGACTAAACTGTGTGGTGGGTGATTAATTTCTTGAAATCCAGTTTTACCCGGGGCAAGCCATGCAAAATGCGCGGTGTGCGCGGGTGAATTGTCTTGCAGTAACAGATTTCCTTTCGCCAGTTTGCCTCTTAATATTTCAACAACCACTTGACGCACTCCTATCAACAGTACAGCATAATAATCCCCGTTTATTGTAGATTTTTTTAAGTATCAATAGTCAATGAATAAAATTCCGCCACAATCCCAAAAATAGTGGCTATATAGCTTGGGTGTCGATCGCTCCACTTTGAATTTCCGCGACGGCGTTTTCCCTTTTGAATCCATTGCCTTGACTTTTATTTAGACTCTAGATCGTACTGCCGGATCTATTATTTATCAATAGTGATAATGTGAGAAAAAAAATTGTTCGGATTATGGCCAAAGATGTCCTAAAACTCCTGCGAAGTTGTGACTCGACACTGGTTGTCGAGCGGCGTGAGCATTTTTGGCACCCATCGCGCGCACCCCTATTTCATGTGCAAATGTGTATGAAAAATATCGCCGATACGTTCCTTGCTGCTGCCTATGGCTTCAGCTATCTGTCACAATTTAATTCGCTGATCTCTAAAGCAAGATTCTTTAAATTTTCATTATTTTATTCGTTAATGGCGAAATCGGGCCGCCCTGACTTGCGGTCATCTTTTAGAGACTCCCTGCCATGCTTGAACTATCGGATCCAATCTTTCATGATGTCAAATTAAGGCCCAGACTCCCCATAAACTATAGACATCTCTTCAAATGTTACCGTCAGCGTTTTGTTCCTCTTTTTGAGGAATTTTATGACAACTGTGTACTTCGATTTCGTACATTGCGCGGATGACTGAGACATGATGATGTTTACGGATTAATTACTAAAAGCGTGATAATGCTAATGAAATGAAACTTTGTACATATACTAAGGAGGTTATTGGCAAGTTATTTAAATTTAGCGCGAGTCAATAATAGCACTTGTAGATACTTAGGCTCAAAACTTTTCAGCCGCCCCTCGTAGCATAATATTTTCTAAGAATGAGATTGGCTACGCAACATACAGAGAAGTCCGAAAACGAAAAAAATTGATGATAATACAGGATGATAAACACTTTATTGGGAGACATTATCCAAGACTCGTTAAAAAGGTTTTTCATACAAAACAACGTCCCCCCCCCCCCCTCTCTAAAAACTAAACTGTTGGCTTGAAAAATCTGGGAAAGTTCATAGTAATACTGCTTTTCATGAACTTTCAAGGAAAACTATAACGGTTAAAATAGATCAGTTAGTTTAAGAGTAATAGTCTTTTAACTCATGTATTATAGTAAATTACTTAACTAATAATAATTCCTTAGCAGAAAATATTAAAAATTACTTTACATGAAGTAATTGCTTGCTTCTGAAATATATTGTATTAACGACGGACAATACGGAACCCTACATTGCGCGTGGCACGACACGCACTTGGCCAAATTTTTTAAATCTAATATTTTTTGACATAATATTACAAGACCAGTGGGCTGAGTGTGAGTTTTGTGTGAGCAAGTTTAAAAAAATCAATATCCGATATATATCAAGCCAGTTTTGATGATATATATCAACTTTTAAAATTTGTTACTGTATTTGTACTTTTTGACATAAGATTTTTATTTTTTTAGTTGATTTTGCCGTATTTAAAAGAATATTTTATGTTTTTGCTTTATTTGTCAGATTTTAAGTTTAAAAACATTAAAAACATGTTTATGTAACACATATGCAATAGTATTCATGAATAATACAATAAAATAATAGTATGGCTTTCATACAAAATTGATATATATCAAAGTTGATATATATCGGATATATATCATAAATATCCGATATTTTGATATTTATAATAAATATCGGATATTTTCGAACCCTGAAAAAATGTATGAAAATTTTAGTTTTTGAAAGTTTCCCGCTAGGGGCGCTGTTCAATCCGTCATACATTAACGCCCGTATTCACAAACATTACTATGAGGTCTGACAGTGCGCGCGGACGCACAGGTTGATACACGAACCAATGACAGAGCTCTATTTAACGCTGTGCGTTCGATTTGCTGCTTCACTTAAGCAAGCATTGTTTGTGAATACGGGCGTTAGTGTAATTTTTTGACGCGCTCACTAGTGAGCAGGTTTAATAAAAACTCACACTAGGCCCTCTGACAAAAAGAAGAAGAAGACTTTGACATTATAGTGTCATTCTCGACAATGCGCCAGGGCAGGGGTGGTAAGCATTGTGGTTGAAACTTAAGCAGGTGGCGTGACGTCACGGCACCGCCTATGTTTGAGTTCCACGCGAAAATATGTAGGTAATTTAAATAATTAATTTCTCAGCCGTTTCTTTATGGATTTCAAAATAACTTAACCGGCTTTTAGTTTTGGTCTATATTTAATCCCATTCAGAGAAATATTAAATGTTTTCAATTTCTCCATTATGTACAACACCTGGGCTTCAAATAATGAAAATGCATGACATTGAACACACTTAATTGGGTCCACCAAATAAATATTTCTAAGGCAAGCATTCAAAACAAATTGTTACTTGACCCACAATATTGTTTGACCATACATGCATTTTACCAGTTCTCACTTATTTCGAAAGAGGTATTTGCACTGACTAAGAATTTATTAAGCTTGTTCTAATAACGTGCCATGGAAAAGATGAAACTGGCATAAAAATAAGTGAAAAGAGAAAGAGTTATTATGATACATAACTAGCTTTTGCCCGCGGCTTCAACCGCGTGAAATTTCGTTTGTCACAGATCGTCATAAATTATAGCCTATAAGCAATAATACTGTAAAGTTTCATCAAAATCCGTGCAGTAGTTTTTGCGTGAAAGAGTAACAAACATCCAGACATCCAAACTTTCGCATTTATAATATTAGTAGGATAGTAGGATAATGGAAAACAAACTAAATACTCAATACGTTTATAGAAATAAGAATTTATTATGGAATAAATGACGCAAAAATAACATGTGGTCACCCCAGGAATGGAACAAGGAAAACACTACACACCTAGGGAAAGGATGGATCGCCGGGACTACTCCCAATAACATTATCCGAAGTTTCATTATGTTTCTCTCCCTCTCACACAAAGCCAGATGCCACCATAATCGTTGGGGACAGATGACGTGAAACTACGTATAGCTGGGATAACATATTGTGGTAAATAGATAGATATAATAAAGGTAAGCCATCCAAATAGACTGCTTTGCCCATTCTCTTTTCACTGTCAGACTGAATCCCGTACAGCCGCGATTATCATACCCTTTCCGCTGTCAACACGAGTCAAAGGAACCCGCCAGCGTTTAAATACGCGGTCGTCTCATTTACCATGGCAACGACCCCTGATTTTGATTTTGCGGAATAATAAATATTATAGCAAATTTTGAGGCACATCGTCGGCGCGTGGTTTTGGTCACTGTTTCTCTTTTTTTGCCCGCATTAAGAAATCATTTTAAAACTTGAACGGCCAAAGTTCTATGGGATCCTATAAGGGCCTCCGCTAAAACTCGCGCGGGTACACGGGGCGGGTGCCCCCCCACAGCGAGCCCGCGCCTGCCTGCGACGGCCGTGCCCGTGACGTGCCCGCGCGTCTTTTAGCGGAGGTCCTAAGACCTCCAACCTCATAGCATCAACGTGAAGGCGAAAACCACTCGCTGTCCTCCAGTGCCAGTGAGACGGTAACAGACGGTTTAGAAAAACCGGCTCCGATCTTCACTCGGTGCGTGCATAAACGTAATCATTTTCTACCTCTAGACGACCGCTCAGGTCAGAGAGAGGGGCGCATCGAGATATAGGAATGGCTCTCGCCCTGCCGTGCCAGCGCCACGGCATTGCCTTGCCGCGGGGGTTTACAACCACGCGAAAGTAATACCGCTTGGTGGTTCGGGGGCGCGATAACCGCCCCCACTGCTACATAACACAAGGTACAAAAACAGGTTAAAATATCTTTGCCAACCAAAATTGACCACTTGTGTCTGTCTTCGGAAAGAAAAAATTCGCTTAAAAGCCAAAATTGGTAAATGAAATTTAGTATTTCATCTTTAATTTGCTCTATACATTAGGATTGCAAAATAATATTATAGAAGTCCATAGATGATAAATAAATATCCTGCTACAAGCTCTAGTCAATAGATTTTTTCAATAGAATAATGGTAATGGCTATGTATGGGAGTGTCAATCGAAATATGCAAGTGTTTAGAGTTGTGTGGTATAGTAGGTAAGTGAAATATGAATAACAACATATAATTTGGAAAAAAGATTATTCTCATATGATCTTGTCTGCACAAGTTTTAGTCAAGCTGCTGTTTTATTCAAACATTTTGTGAACCTATGGGAGTAATAAATTTAAAACTACACACCTGTTTCCCACCTTCACCTTTGTCAACAATGTGATTGTCTTCATTATTTTGATCATTTATCTCCCCTGACTTCTCTTGTTCCACAACTTCCGTATTAAGTGAATTGGAGACTGGCTTTGGAGAATGCTCATTGCTGTTACTACAGTGATTATTTACTGAATGGTTGCTATGTTCTTGATCTATCTGCAGTTCAGGTGTGCCCTTGGAACATTCATTGGGTGGTTTGTTGTTGGATTCACTACTATTCTCATTGAGCAAGTTTTCTGTAACACCATTGCCCGTTGAGCAGTCATTTGTCTCGCTGTCTACATGATTGCCAGTCTCTGAATTATTGCTATTCTCACCATTGTTTTTAATATCATCACAGTCTGTTAAGGTAACTTTTTGGAGACTTTGTTCGTTTTCATGTGAACTTGGAAGGTCTACTTCCATGCCCTCCTCCATAGTACCATTTACATCCCCATTCATTTTCATCCCAAGCTACATTCCATAGGGTAGACCTGTCAAAACAGTAATAAAATAAGGTTATGTTTTCAAAACTATGATCATAATATGAGAAGTCAAAGTGTTTGAGCGTCATATTTTTTATAGTAGAAACGCCCCCCTCCCGCCGCTCTTCTCCCCCCCTGGTAAGCCACTGGCAATCAAAATGGCGGTTCCATGGTACCGCTCAGTAGAGCTACGTGTACCATCTCAAGATACCACCATTGCAAGGTCGCGTTACAACGTCAAAATAAAAAATGCAAAAACCATGCCATGTCAAGATGCTAATTCAACAGTAAATATTTTTAACAAATGTAAACAAATCTCGTAGACGAAACATTAAGTACTTTAAAAGAAAATAATAATCTGTCATTAATCTTCAGTTGGAAAACGAGGTCCATGAAATAAAAATTATTAACTTATTACTCCCAGTAAATACGCCGTATTATGTAGTTTTTACATACTTTTTCGTCTATCCTAAATAAGTAAACATTCGATGCCGGTTAAACTTCACTAATTAATCTAAAGGATTCAAAGAATATTTGATTCTTATTATCTTTAATTAATTGTAAATATATTTACCTATTCCAGACTATGCAGCTTTTGGAGAACTTTTCTGGTTCTCAGTCACTACTTTGGTTATTTCAATGGTGGATCCGAGAGTTTATTTTCTTCTATGAATTGACCCTTCACCTTGATGGCAATATTCTTGAAATTCTCACAATTCTCTTGCCCTATGAAACCCAGAACGTGCACTTACACTAAATTCACAATTAAATCACAAGAGAAAATTTTAAAAGTTAAAATTTTTATTAGACTGCACAAAACTCTCACCACCGCACAATCGCAATATGGCGACGTTAAAAGAGAGAGAGAGATACAGTCACGTGACCAACCAAATGGCGCAAATTTTCAATTTTCATTATTTATATATATATTTTTTAATATGACTCCAAAATCACAAAAAATATGCTAGCACTAGCTAAATGCAAAAACCTAAAACTATATTTTCTCCTATTTTTTGAATATTTTCGCTTTCTGACTGAACTCTGAAGTTTCGTAATTTCGTTAGATGAAGCCACAGACAAAATCAACATTTGTTTTTACAAACCAATTGATGTAATGATGAGCCGCACATTGCATCGTATTGGCAACGTGCAATTAATTATTCTATACAACAAAAGTTTTAGCATTTTTTATACTTTCACTAAATCTGGTTGTTTAATTTACAAATAATGTTCGTTAGCAAATTGTCTGAAGCCTCGTTCTCACTAGTCGAGTAATTTAGTAGAGTGGCGACTAATTTAGTAGTATCTAAACTCGTTTTAGTCGAGCCAATCCATATTGTACTATTTGTGACAGGCGAGTAGCACCCCCATCACAATTTACGTGTCCCTTCTCACCGGCTATAAAAGTCCGAAGCGGTGATTTAGTCGAGTTTGTATTTAAAAACCACTAATAAAACCATTTTGTAAACTGTACCTACTCAAGCAAAATGCGATTGGTTTTTTGACTAAAGCCGAGTTGCTCCACTAGTGCGAACGAGGCTATAGGCTCTCGTTGTGAATACCATTCCTCGAAAAATAATCTTCGTCGAAGCAAAGAAGTGATGTAGTGTAGCTGAGGTATCGGAGTCTACTCGTGAAGTTACGCGAAGAAGCCTTGTTCGCACTCGTCAAGTAAGTAATTTAGTCGAGTGGCGAATAATATCGGGTCCACCGAACACCAAAAATTCAATCGAGTAGGTTACTAAATCGTTTAGTCAAGCAAATCCATTGTTCGTTTCGTTCATACATTTAGCTACCTATAAAATTACTCGTCACTCGACTAAATTACTCGACCACTGTGAGTGTGGTGTCGAAGAGCCGAAGCGAGTTACTCTCGTTAATTTCGTACTTTGATCGTATCATTACTTTTCTCTATGGATCGTATTATCAAAGGTCTATGGTCGACAGACACGTCAATTTAATCTTTGTTCACAACTCTCCAGTCTATGTCTCCATTGATAACAGTTATCAGTTTTCCAACTGTATGAGTATTGTACAGCTTAAAATAACTTTTATATTACTATTTTCATCTATCTCTTCTATTTCAAAGCAGATTCGTTTAAGTTTTCCGTCAGACTTGATACATAATATAATTATACAGTTGTGTTTGTTATTGGTAACGAAAAAAATCCACTCACTTTCACACAACTTTTTTGTGTCGTATTGTGTTTTGTTGCTTGTTATTCCGTCTGTCACCGTCAGTCACTGTGTGTCATGGTGGTTATAATTTTGTACTATTTAGTTAGTTAGGTAGGTATTCACTAAAACTGGGACTGAGTACATGTGATGTGAATAATTAAATGAATTCCATATGTTTTTATTTTAATTTTTTAATCATTTTAATTTCAAAATTGTTACCTTGGTTTGTTCGAGCGTACTGCTAACTACCTACTAGTCATTTAAAAATATTGTGATATGGTGATAATGGCATATCGAGTGGTGTTGTTAATTTTTATTTTCGCAATATGTGTGAGCACGGAAGATGAACACACTACATCGAAGATGACAAAAGCAGAGAGACTAATGTTGAGGTACCTAAATACCTGCCTATTAACCTAATTTAATGTTTTATTAAGAATTAATTAAATGTATATTTCTGCACATTTGTTTTAATAAACATGTGTTTTCAAAGTAAGGTTGCTCTGCAATTTTTTTTGCTTCTTTAAAGTTCATATTAGAGCATAAAAACTGCAATGTCAATGGTTATGAATTAAAATTTTAAAAAGTTTATTTTATAGCTATGTTAAACTATTTAAATTATTATTTGTAGAGAAGAGGCTAGAAGCATGTTCTACCATGCATATGATGCATACATGTATAATGCATATCCTGCCGATGAACTAATGCCCCTAAGTTGCAAGGGTCGATGGAAAGGTATAACTCCAAGCAGAGGGGACATGGATGATTCTCTGGGAAAGTAAGTACATTCACATTACACCTCATAAATTCTTTTTGAAATTGCCTGCTAGAAAATAAAAACCATTTCGAACTTGCAGATTTCTAAAAACAATTAACGATAACAGAAATTGCTTTCAAGGTTATCAAACCAATCTTATGATGGATATTGCTTGCATAGTTATTTTATTTTTCTCTAAACCTTGAAATAGTATGTAAAAATGTGAGTTATTATTGACATGTTATTGATAAAATTAAAGTTCAAAATGTAAGGTGCAAAATTAACTGTTTTGACTATCTGTAATAAAATGTGGGAATTTATGATGTTCATCCAGAAAAGTCTTCATTTCAGAGTTCCTAATGGTGTTTTCTTTTGCAGCTTCTCTCTCACCTTAGTTGACAGTTTGGATACTCTTGTTGTGATGGGGGATTTCTCAGAATTTAACAATGCCATCAAACTGGTCATCAAAGACGTCACTTTCGATCACGATATTATAGTATCTGTGTTTGAAACCAATATAAGAATGCTGGGGTAATATTCTTGAATTCAACTTCTCAATTTGTATGTTGGTTTGAGATCATACTTAATCAATCATATTATTTCAGAGGATTATTATCGGCTCATGTATTAGCTGATGCCTTGAAACCAGAAATACCAATTTTGCAATGGTATAATGGAGAACTATTGGCCATGGCTGAAGACTTGGGAAAAAGATTGTTGCCTGCATTCAATACATCGACAGGAATACCTCATGGACGAGTAAATATTTTTTTCATGGTTTTGTTTCATGGATATTACTTGCTTATTAATTCACCTTTAATAAACAATCATAAACTTGCGTTTCGCAAAGTAACTGCGCGTTTTGTTATTATTGTTTACTAATTGTTAGTATCGCGAGAGGAAGTTATCAGAATGCTTATACTATTTTTAGTTTTATTGATGTTTACAAAAATATTTTAACAAGGCATTTAAGAAGCTTATCTTTTTCCATTTCACAATTAACTTTGGTCATAACATTAATTTATTGACTTATTAACACATACTATGATTTATAATTTTGTATGCCCTAGGTAATGAGAATGTAGTTGTATCGAACTATCGACCTATGGCATCGGCATGAAGCAATCAATAATCCTGACGAACTTTTATTTGTTTCGAAAATTCGATTTTAATCAAAACCAACACGCCAACTTTTTCTACAAAAGTCTATAGACTTTCGTGTGTATCGCGTCTGTACTGTATCGCTACAAATGCGCGCTATAAAACGTTGTGTAGGCATAGGCCCTAAGAGTAATTTTTTTTCATAATTTTAATTTTCTTTTAGATAAACCTCCGGCATGGGATACGAGGGCTCTCGGAGTCCCGGGAGACGTGCACAGCCTGCGCGGGGACCATGATTCTGGAGATGGCAGCTCTGTCGCGGCTCACCGGCAACCTGATCTACGAACAAAAGGCTCATAAAGCAATGGACAGGCTCTGGAAAATCAGACATAGGTGAGTTATTGAATCATTGAAAAATAAGAGCCTTTTTAAATAGAGTTTCCAATGTGTAACATTTGCGACTGAGCTTTTAAAGAGCATTTTTACAAGTACCTAAATATTTTTACTCATTAACCCTACCACTGCTTTTGTTTGAAGTTTTACTCGAGAAACAGGTGCCTTCATTATGGTTCTTGCAAAACTGCTGAATAAAACCCTCATGTACATTGCCCAGCTATATTACGACAGCGAGCTATTATGGTGACACCAGTGCAACAGTGTAACCACTTTTCGGTTCGGAAATTTTGTTACCCATTAAAAATTGTCGACCTAACACTATAATTTCGTCCATTGACTTGCTGTATTGACCATGCGATTTCTTTAATTGAGTAAGTATGCATGAACGAACGCGATCACGCAAACAAAGTCCGTGTTCGTAAAACACAACAAATTAGTTCGTACTCGGCTTTACATTGTAAAATGTTACATAATGATAAGTGGCCAGTTTAATGGACAAAGAAAAAATGTTTGCTACTTATGTAACATGGTCACAAAATATTGAGAGGTACTACTACGTTGTTGCTATTGCTTAAAACCTTATAGCGATATACTTCTCTTGATCAAATACACAATGATAAAATTTCTGTCATTGTAGGTATATGTATAACTTTAACTTATATCTGTGTGACTGTGTCGCATAACACATTACGATTGAAACATGGCATTTACATAATAAACTAGTTAATTTGAGTGCTGAGAAAGACATTTTACATTAAAACTAATTTTTATTTATACAACTGCGTCGACACTTACTTTATTTCGTTTACAACAGTCATCGTTCGATTCTCTTAAAGCCACAATGTTTTGCCATATTTGTTGTACGTGTGTTACGCAATGCTTGAAAAAGTAGACCAGTAGGAAGTTTTTTAGTCTGCACAAAATATTCTAGTCTACGTACGGATGTTTATGAGCTAAATGTCATTCACAAATAATACTAACATAGTCTGGATAATAATTATTAAGACATTTACTCATAATGTACTGCACGTTTGTAAATAGTACAAAGTATTTTTTTTCTTTCGTTAACTGAAAATACCCCGATGAAACCGAATAATGTTAAAATCGTGCAGTACTATGTGAACCAAGTCTCAGCTGTAGCTATGTACTGTCCCTAGGACGTCAGACCTGATGGGGACGGTGATAAACATCCACGTGAACCTAGTCTTAGTACCTGTGTACTGTCTCTAGGACGTCAGAACTGATGGGGACGGTGATAAACATCCACGTGAACCTAGTCTTAGTACCTGTGTACTGTCTCTAGGACGTCAGAACTGATGGGGACGGTGATAAACATCCACGTGAACCTAGTCTTAGTACCTGTGTATTGTCCCTAGGACGTCAGACCTGATGGGGACGGTGATAAACATCCACGTGAACCTAGTCTTAGTTCCTGTGTATTGTCCCTAGGACGTCAGACCTGATGAAGACGGTGATAAACATCCACGTGAACCTAGTCTTAGTTCCTGTGTATTGTCCCTAGGACGTCAGACCTGATGAAGACGGTGATAAACATCCACGTGAACCTAGTCTTAGTTCCTGTGTATTGTCCCTAGGACGTCAGACCTGATGAAGACGGTGATAAACATCCACGTGAACCTAGTCTTAGTACCTGTGTATTGTCCCTAGGACGTCAGACCTGATGGGGACGGTGATAAACATCCACTCGGGCGACTGGGTGCGCAAGGATTCGGGCGTAGGCGCCGGCATCGACTCGTACTACGAGTACTGTCTGAAGGCCTACATCTTGCTGGGCGATGAGAAGTACTTGGCGCGGTTCACGCGGCACTACAACGCCGTCATGAAGTACATCAGCCGGGGACCCGTCATGTTGGCGGTGCACATGCACAGGCAAGTCATTAGAAATATACAGGGTGTTACCTAAATATTTTCAGAACACAAGGTAAAAGTTAAGTTCCAGCAACCTTCACCAAATCTTCGGTCGGTCCACCTAGTGAGAGCTCTCAATCTAAAGGAGGATTCCGTCAACTGGGACCGCAATTAACTGGGACCGCGGTCCCAGTCGCCGGATGCGTAAAAATTAAATAATTTTCTTCCGGCGACTGGGACCACTCATAGATTTTAGTACTGTACCGATTTTGGATTGAATAATATTTTCTTTTAAGTTATCTATGAGTAGTCCCAGTCGCCGGAAGAATTTTTTTTTTATGGATCCGGCGACTGGGACCGCGGTCCTAGTTAATTGCGATCCCAGTTGCCGGAAGCCTCTCTAAAGTACGGCCAACGAGAAGCGATACCAAATGTAAACAAACCCAATGTCATGGGTGAAACCGTCTGACTTTGACATATTTTGGCGGGAGAACGAGACATTACGACAAATACACAAGATGGGAAGAGACAGAATATATTGTCAAGTCAACTCGACAGTCGTATCGACCTTTTGTATCGCTGCTAGTTGGCCGTACTTTATCTTATTAGATCCATTCACTAGATCCAATATGGATTAGATTAGATTTCATTTTCCAACTAGATCCACCGTGGATATTTTTTCATTAGATATAACTTTTTGTTATGGATATAGTGAGTAGATGCTAATAATTAAAACTACATAGCAAAACCCTTATGATTATATTGTTATATCAGTCGTATATCTTTCACGAGTGACACACCCATATTCACAAACGATGTCTGCTTAAGTGAAGCAGCAAATCGAACGCACAGCGTTGAATAGAGATCTGTGATTGGTTTGTGTGTTTGTGCGTCCACGCGCAATTTGAGACCTCAGATGTTCTAAATATTAATTTGTGAATACGGGCGACAGTCTAGTTGACGCCCCTCTGACTGTTGATCGGCCCCACAGGCCTCATCTCCAGTCGCGCAACTTCATGGACGCGCTGCTAGCGTTCTGGCCGGGGCTGCAAGTACTGCTGGGCGACGTGCGGCCCGCCGTGGAGACGCACGAGATGCTGTACCAGGTCATGCAGCGCCACACCTTCATTCCCGAGGCTTTCACCACCGACTTCCAGGTGAGAGCGCACTCAGCGCGACGCCGATACCTTCTGGCCGGAGCTGAAGGTGCTGCTGTCTTAAATGGCAATGCCAGATTTTGTATGGAAAGTGGCGTCTTTTTTTTTTCGCGCGGCCATCGACCAAACTTTGTTTTTTTATTACAAAATAGTGTAATAAACCAAACTTACTATGGCATGTATACCTCTAAACTCAGTCTGCACTGAGTTACGAGCATTAGAAGTTTGATGATTTTCATACTAGATTTGCTTTTTGTGCGCAAGTTTTGTAAGAAATTGAACAAAATATTGCGCTATTTTTTTATTGCGCTGATTCTGCTTCATACTGATGTCTGGTCTGGAGCCTTTAATGGATGGTATTGTTTGTTTACACATACAATCTCACTATTTTGTTGCAATTTCTTACAAAACTTTGCGCGCAAAAAGCAAATCTAGTATGAAAATCATCAAACTTCTAATGCTCGTAACTCAGTTCAGACTGAGTTTAGAGGTATACATGTCATAGTAAGTTTGGTTTATTACACTATTTTGTAATTAAAAAACAAAGTTTGGTCGATGGCCGCGCGAAAAAAAAAAGACGCCAATTTCCGGCATTGTCTTTTGTTACAATTGGAATAAGGTTGTATCATCAACTTATTATTGGCCACTTTGGGTGTCACGAACTATTTGACGCTGCTGTACCATGGCCATGTAGTGGTACACCTTCATTCCACCTTCCACAGTCGTGAGAATAAAATTAATTACTGGTCACGTAATTGGAATGATGACTGGGTAATGAAATCGAAATTCTATTTAGTTCTTCATACAGATAATAAAAAAATATTGGGCACGTATCTTTTTAATTTTTTTCATAATCGAATCATTACAGTATTAAATTGAGTTGAAATGTCGCGTGACGTCACGTTTGAGTAAAAAGTCTACTCAAAAGTGACGTCACGCGACATTTAAGGCGTTGAATTTAAGCCATTAGTATTTATTTAGTTATAAAAAAAAAACGAGACTAATGACTATTTTCTAATTATCTTTCTGACGGACAAATAGTTGAAATTTTGTCATCTAGCCTATTTACAGGCGACAATAGCCCAATGATCAGTCCGAGATGCCCACACTTTCATTCTAGAGGTTGCGAGAAGAAAACAAAAATAACAAATTAGGCACATTTGATCAAACTTGAGCATAGGGTATGACGGGTTCTGCTGAGATTCTGAAACGGATTTGAATAAACGAACAGTATCGCTCAAAGTGGAGATTGCCAGAATAATGGAATTTTTAAACAGACGCTCCTCATTTCTTACTCTTTATCGTATTTTGCAAGACGTCTTACAAAGTTACAAGCTATTTACATTTTATTGTATTCCAAATCCGTTTGAAAGTCAATAGGTATAATTAAAAACCGCAAACAATGAACAGTTTTTGTTTTATTTACATTAAATAACGAAGGAAGTTTAAATAGTTCAAATTGTGTTCAGTTGTCCTTGTTTTTAAAATACACTATACAGGGTGGATGGAAACGATAAGTGATCTCACTCGCTTAGTATGTAAGCTGGAAACATTGAATTTTCAAATAGTTACAGTTTATTCTGTAACCTATTATTGATACCGTTTGATAGAGCTTATGAAGCACTTTCAGGATCAGTAACCAGATTTTCGATATCTTGTATAATTTAGAAATAATCGAGTGAGATCACTTATCGTTTCCACCCTGTATAATGGTAGGTACTGACTTACACAAGGTAAGATAACGCTTGTTAAGCTAATTATTCTGATGCCTGTATACTTCTATTGATTCCAAATGGGAAGGAACGTGACCATTTGTCGAATAAGACTCTCTTGTCATTACAAATAGAATGATTTGTCATTGTCTTTAGGTGATTAACTGACTGCTTCTATTGTAACTAAACAAGATACCACAGTGGGTATAATGAAAATGAGCATCAGCAGGACATGGTCTCAACAACCTTTTTAAGTTGGTGAGTTACCAAACAACGGATTCAGTGTTGACCTACAGGGTCATGCCACATGTCCATATTCTCATCCATCATTAGATATAATCGTTTGCTAATTCAATCGGAAATCGATATCAGAATCTATGACCCACTGCATTCAAGGCGATTCGCAACGTTATCGGACAATCGAAGGTGCTTATTATCGTTAAAAATGCATAGGTTTAATAGGTTTACCTATGTGAAGCGCAACACGTGGTAACCTTGCTTAAGCTATGTAAATTAAAAGTCTTATGTGATATTAATTTTCATCCTTTTCTATAATATTTATTAAATCATTCAATCAGGGGGCTTGTGTGAGTTTACATCAAACGTATTCGTATATCGAGTGCGAAATAAAAGACATTAAATGTGTGACGGATCGTACAGCGTCCCTAGCGGATACTTTCAAGAACTAAAATCTTCATAGATTTTTTTGACGTACTCGATGTTGTATACTTACAATACTTATACAGTGTGTCCGGGCATGTAGTGATCAAACTTTAAAGGCGTAATCTATGAACAATTTTATCGATGAAAATACTTCAAATTTGGGGCTTGACCCATTTCTCGAAAAATTACATCGATTTAAGTTTTGAATTTTTAGTTTACACCTCTTCTTTAAAAAACAAGTGAAAGCGTGGGTAGCTTAACATTAATAGGCAAATATTTTATATCATGCGATAGCCAATATAATTATCTATTAGTAGAAGAAGAAAAGAGACACAAATTTCATACATTTTATGGGAGTAAGAATGGATTGAATTAGAAAAATACGTTACTTTTTTCACTTCTTTTTCAGTTATTTTCCAACACAAGAAAAACCGGGTCGTTAAGGTATGTTTTATTTGCATTGTATTATTAGTATTTGAGCTATTCTACAAAACGAATGTAAATTTATTAGTCTACGTCTATTAGTTTCGACGTAATTGTTGAACAAAGATACCCCTTCCCAGCGGTTTCCATAGCGCACGCGACATGCGAAAATGCACTGCNCCTATAAAATGTATGAAACTTGTGTCTGCTTTCTTCTTCAACTAATAGATAATTTTATTGGCTATCGCATGATATAAAATATTTGCCTATTAATGTTAAGCTACCCACGCTTTCACTTGTTTTTTAAAGAAGAGGTGTAAACTAAAAATTAAAATCTTAAATCGATGTAATTTTTCGAGAAATGGGTCAGGCCCCAAATTTGAAGTATTTTTATCGATAAAATTGTCCCTAGATTTTGCCCTTAAAGTTTGATCACTACAAGCCCGGACACACTGTATACTATGGTAAGATGAAGATCGAAAAAGGATTTGCCTTGTTTGCGTCGAGATCGATTCAATTTAGGTCATGTAGGTACAAAGATAAAGCTAAACGCAGGTCTCATAATTGTAAATATACTGTAATAGCAGCGGATTTGCAATAATCGCAGTGTTATGTATTTTTGTCTGTAATTTTTATTCTAAACAATCGTCAGTATCAAATATTGGTGACTGAAACAAGAATTGGCGCATTTTTTATAGTACTCGCACTAGTAGGCCACAAAGGTAATGATGCATTAAAGGTCGCTCCTCTTCTCTTAATAATGATAGGTATTTAGATATTTTATTAATGATTTTTGTATAAACAAATAATTTGACTTAAGGTGCCCATCCGAAGTTGGATTAATATAGTGCCCAAAAAATGATAAGTAACTCGTCTTGGATCATTAAAATATGAACCTCATGTTTTGAGCAGTATCGTATTCACGCGCAGCTGATCAAAAGTGACACATCAAAATGTATTATTATTGTGTGTTAGAATATATAATTAAATAGCCACACATACTGTTTTTCTATGAAATAATTTAATTATAATCAGCCTCTATCGATTCGTTGCACTATCAATATAAGTTTGATTTTAAGGATCGATATCCACTTGACTGCATATGCTGCTGATACATAAATGCTGACACATTTTTATTTTAAACGGCTAGAAGTATCAAATAAGTCTTTGATTGCGACATGTTAACCTCTATTCAGGTCAACCATTCTCTATGACTAGATTTCCTAGACTCCAAATAATTTCCCTTTCCACACGATAAGTGACGGTCACTGGATTCTATCGCTTATGAATAAAGGTTTTAAGGAACAAATTGCTTTCTGTCCAGGTTCACTGGGGCCAGCACCCCTTACGGCCGGAGTTCCTGGAGTCCACATACTTCTTGCACCGCGCAACCGGCGACGATCACTACTTACGCGTGGGCCGCGCGGTGCTGAAGGCATTACAACAGTTCGCGCGCGTGCCCTGCGGTTACGCGGCCGTTAACGACGTGCGCACGCGCTTACACGAAGATAGGATGGACTCCTTCGTGCTGGCCGAGACTTTTAAATACCTGTACATGCTGTTCGGGGAAGACAAGTAAGTGTGAACTATGATCGTCATTTCAGACTCCCTGAACAAAGATCTGCACCAGTCATTTCCTCAATGACCGGCCCTGCACTGCCTGCATCCAAGTGCTTCCCGCGACCTTCGCTAGATCATTGATCTACCGAGTGTGAGGCCATCAGTTGTTATTTAGCTAAACCAAAAAATATTTAGCTAAACCATAACCTTGAGCCAGCACAGGTTGATTAGACGACGCCTGTTTACTTATCAGTAGTATTTAGTGACATCTTGTTTCCCTTGTGTCCAGGGATTTGCCCGTGAAGTTGGAAGACTACGTGCTGACGACGGAGGCTCACTTCTTGCCGCTGTCGCTGGCGGCTGCCGGCAAGAACACCACCTACTTCACCCTGAAGATTGACGATGAAGACGAAGACAAATTCAGAAAGTTAGTACAAACATGTTTAGTGTTTGTGTAATAATACTTTTCCAACTAAACTTAATAGTCATACCAATAGTCCAGGGGTGCACTAGACCCTTGTCAAATTTTATTTCCATTCATTTAAAAAGAAATGGTTTTAGATTGTATTGAGAATTTGAAAAACATCGTATTAAAAAGAGTTGGCTTAATACAAAAAAGTTGAACGGGCGGTGAATACTGGCTTAAAATGACATTTCCATACTAAATGTCAATTTAAACTAGTGATTAACGCGAGTTTAAACAACCTAGCGCACTAGGCAGCCTGGTGTGGCCGTGTATGAATACTCTTGGCGCGAGCTCCCATTCATCGTCATATTTATGTTCGACTGCGGCAGCCAGGCTGCGTAGTGCGTGGGACACCTAACTTTTTGTAATAAGAGGGAGAGAGTTTTCACAGACGCCTTTCACGATGCTCTTTGAATCCCATTTGATAATATAGTCAGGCCTGTTCATCTCCGCGAGTTCACATCGAAAACAAAACACGCACGATGGCCCACCTACAGGATACTATTCGACAAGGCCTCACATACGAGCGAACATTGACTCACGCACGCGTATTCTTGTGTATGATGGAAGAAAATAAAGAAAATGGTGTACTAAATACTGTGCAGTATTTAACCGCCTAAATAATAATAAAAACACAGAATGTACTTTTTTAAGTTGCCTCAAGACACTGAGAGGTAAATAAGTAGTTAATATTATTCATGATAATTCATGCTAAATCATGTATTTCCTCCGCCATTTTCTGCAGATTGGCACCTCACGTCACATCATTTTACCGAAGTCAGCCCTATAGCTTCGGCGCAGTGCCGATCACTGACGTTTGTCAACAAAATGGTGCTTGACTCTTGAGACAGGCTAAATTACACCATATTGTTAATGACATTGAGCATACATTTTTTTAAATACCTTCGCGAAGTAAAACTTCTGTACGTAGTACTTATTATTATTCTGTGATATAGTCAACATTACATTGCGTTACAGTGTTTTGAGTTTTTACTAGTAAGATCTACCTTATCGATACGCGTAGCAAATCATAATATGGAAAAAACTGTTTATCAGCGATAATATTAAAAGCTAAGCACTTGACGCAACCAGCCAGTGTTCGATATCGCTTACATAGTACATAGTATATGAATCTGTTGGTTCATGGATTCACGTATTGAACTTTAGGTGTAATAGATGACCCCGATATTGCGGTTACTAGGGTGTTGGAGATATCGGGAGATTACGTCAGGGTTTTAATACCTTAGAGACGGGTTTTAATTATGTATTTACGACTTTGTTGCGAAGAGAAAAGCAGCTTAAATTAACTGCTAATTAAATTACGTCTTGACAAAGGAGTTGTCAAACTGAACTACACAGTCATGCAGAGTTTCCTTTTTTAATGTAAAGAATTCGCAAATGAATGTTTAAACTGCACTACGCAGTCAATTTTAACCTTCGATATATTCAAATATGCGCAGGCTTTATCTAATGATAACGTGCCTTATGTCGTCGTTTACTTTTTCATGATACATCATCATTAAATTGGACAAGAATAATTTATTCAATTCCAGAAGTGTATCATGTAATGACCCACATAACAAGATACAGTTCTTGCAAAATATTCAAAATTGCGATTATTCGAAAGCTGTTTATTTTCGTCAATGATAATAAGGCATGTTAATCTTTATATATTTTTTACCTTATCTCCTACTGAATTAAAGATGCGCGCAAGCTGACATGAAGTAAATAAAGTATATAGTTTGAGTTTTGAGGGAGTAGATGCAATACGATGACCATTTTTATCGCATAAGTTTCTGTCTGCAATTTTGTATTGTATTGTACCAAATAAATTCTATTCATTCATTCTTGGATGCAATGAGGACTGTATTCAGTAGTCATTGCATGGAAAAGTATTCATTGTCACTAATATTAGTAGGATAGAATAATAATATGTCTTCTCAGCACCAGCCCATATGTAGCCTCGAAGTGGTGGTAAGGCAAGCTATATTTTGGACGTGTTTAAGCGCCCTATAACGGGCCTAAGTACTGAATGAAATCTTTGATTTTGAATAACACTTAGGTGCTTGCTACTTCCAGGACATGTCCGAACACGGCGTCTCTGGTTCCTGAGAAGGTGCGACAGCCGATGCGTCAGCTGCTCGGCTCGACGGCCGCGCGGCCGCCGGCGAGACTCCGCCCCCTCAACGACCCGCGACAAGTGTTGGCCCTGGCCGATATGGGCATATCCGTCCTCACGCTGCCTGATGGCCGCGTACAACTGCTTTACACAACCTCCACGGTAAGGTCCTGGCTTAATAAACCAGTGTGGTGTAGCTACTTAAAAGGTAGACGGCGCTGTGTATTGCCGGCGAGACTCCGCCCCCTCAACGACCCGCGACAAGTGTTGGCCCTGGCCGATATGGGCATATCCGTCCTCACGCTGCCTGAAGGCCGCGTACAACTGCTTTACACAACCTCCACGGTAAGGTCCTGGCTTAATAAACCAGTGTGGTGTAGCTACTTAAAAGGTAGACGGCGCTGTGTATTGCCGGCGAGACTCCGCCCCCTCAACGACCCGCGACAAGTGTTGGCCCTGGCCGATATGGGCATATCCGTCCTCACGCTGCCTGAAGGCCGCGTACAACTGCTTTACACCACCTCCACGGTAAGGTCCTGGCTTAATAAACCAGTGTGGTGTAGCTACTGAAAAGGTAGACGGCGCTGTGTATTGTCGCGGAACTCCGCCCCTTCAACGACCCGCGACAAGTGTTGGCCCTGGCCGATATGGGCATATCCGTCCTCACGCTGCCTGATGGCCGCGTACAACTGCTTTACACAACCTCCACGGTAAGGTCCTGGCTTAATAAACCAGTGTGGTGTAGCTACTTAAAAGGTAGATGGCGCTGTGTCATCATCATCATCATCATTTCAGCCACAGGACGTCCACTGCTGAACATAGGCCTCCCCCAATGCTTTCCATGTTGATCGATTGGTAGCGGCCTGCGTCCAGCGCTTCCCTGCTACCTTTACGATGTCGTCGGTCCACCTTGTAGGTGGACGTCGCACGCTGAGTTTTCCGGTACGCGGCCTCCATTCCAGAACCTTTCTGCCCCATCGGCCGTCAGTTCTGCGTACTATGTGCCCTGCCCATTGCCACTTCAGCTTGCTAATACTGTGTATTGTCGCGGAACTCTGCCCCTTCAACGACCCGCGACAAGTGTAGGCCCTGGCCGATATGGGCATATCCGTCCTCACGCTGCCTGATGGCCGCGTACAACTTCTCTACACCACCTCTACGGTAAGAAACTACTTAACCCTGGCTAATTGATCCAGTTAAGTATCCAGTGAGGACTCGTAGATCCTGCTTGCACAGAAGTTGCAGCGATGGGAACGAGAGGTAGGAATAGTCCGTTTTAATAATATTCACTAATAATTCCAGTGGCGTGCTACCTAAAGGTTACACCGTATTGAACTAACAGAAAAACAATCCCATAGTTAGCTAAATTAAGTTTTTACAGGTTTTTAGCACACCTTTGGCTACATACGAGTAGCAATGCATCTGGATGCATTCAATGACAGTAAAACATCGCACAAAACAAACGGGCATCAAGTTTCAATAAGTGGACTTAGCTAAATAATTGCAACCGATCGTTTATTTCGAACGGCGTGTGGTGCAAGCTTATTGTTCGACAACTGATCAATTAAGGCAACATAAATGGAGCATCCGTAATGTAACGTAACCAATCATTTATAAAAAGCTAGCTGAGTCCAATACAATGCAGCCATTCACAAATATGTATGAACAATTAGAGCGGGCATAATAATATTTTTTATCGTGTTTCAATAGTTATAAAAACATAAAATAACATATTTGTTCATAATTAAATACGTCGAAAAGTAGTTTTTTAAGTCTTGATAACGAATTAACATACAGATATAATCTGTAATTGCGATGGATGCAATTTGATAAAATTGGTTGGTACGTATTTTAATGCTAAGGGATTTTATGAAGAGTTACGGTAAATAGCTCGGTACAAGTTACAGCCAACTGCTGTTTTGATGCTTGTTTTTAGACCAATAACCTTTTTAAATTATCTTCTTCTTCTTAGGCTGGGTTGCACCATCTTACTTTAACTTTGACAAACGTCAAAAATAGGTCAAACTCCATACAAAACGCACCGGTTATCGTAATAGTTACTGTCAAAGCTAGGTGGTGCAACTCGGCCTTAGTCTTCAATATTACCTTTATCAATCTATGAAGGTAAGAAGAAGGACCGCGTAGACTATGCTGTCTTATCAGGCCTGTTCATCTCCGCGAGTTTACATCGAAAACAAAACACGCACGATTGCCCCCTACAAGAGTACTATTCGACAAGGCCTCACATACGAGCGAACATTGATTCACGCACGCGTATTCTTGTGTATGATGGAAAAAAATAAAGAAAATGGTGTACTAAATACTGTGCAGTATTTAACTGCCTAAATAATAATAAAAACACATAATGTACTTTTTTAAGTTGCCTCAAGACACTGAGAGGTAAATAAGTAGTTAATATTATTCATGATGACTGACGGCCGATGGGGCAGCAAGGTTCTGGAATGGAGGCCACGTACCGGAAAACGCAGCGTGGGACGTCCACCCACAAGGTGGACCGATGACCTGATAAAGGTAGCGGGAAGGCGCTGGATGCAGGCCGCTACCACCCGTGCGATGTGGAAGTCATTGGGGGAGGCCTATGTTCAGCAGTGGACGTCCTGTGGCTGAAATGATGATGATGATGATGATTTCCTCCTCCATTTTCTGCAGATTGGCACCTCACGTCACATCATTTTACCGAAGTCAGCCCTATAGCTTCGGCGCAGTACCGATCACTGACGTTTGTCAACAAAACTTCTGACAAACTTGCTTGACTCTTGAGACAAGCTAAATTACACCATATTGTTAATGACATTGAGCATACATTTTTTTAAATACCTTCGCGAAGTAAAACTTCTGTACGTAGTACTTATTATTATTCTGTGGTCTTATACACGGTGAATATGGTAAGGACGCAAAGTAACACCGAGTATAAAAGTTATTTGCATTCTAGGCGAAATCAGCCAAAGACGCAGCGGAGGGTCTGACATTCATGCGGGAGATGTCCAAATGGAATTCCATGAGCGACACCGACAACGGTGTGGTCGCGGCCGGCGTCAAAGTGAACGACAGGATATTCCCCGCGGGGCCCGGCCACTTCGGGCGCGAGCTCGGCGACGCGCGCCTCTCCGGCCGGCTCGCCTTCACCGTCCCCTCCGACGCCTGCGCCGAGATACAGAACCCCGCCGACGTCCGCGACCTATTCGCCGTCGCCAAGCGCGGACAGTGCACCTTCGCGCAAAAGGTACGCAACATACAAAGCGCCGGCGCCAAACTCGCCATCATACTAGACAACATTCCCGACTCCACCCACGAAATCACAGCCCTGTTCGCCATGTCCGGAGACGGAAAGGACGACATTCACATACCAGCCGTATTCTTATACTCGAAGGAAGCCGAGTATTTGACGGAAGTTCTCTACAGCAACCCTGAGCTCACTGTGATCGTCGGCGACCTTAAATCGCTGAAGCGCGAGTTCGAAGGCGAACAATGCGACGGCGGCAACTGCGAGGCCGTCATCGAATCCACTGACGTCAGCGCGGACAAGGAGTCCTTCGACCATCTCAAGAAAGTACTCAATCAACTTGTGGCGCAGTTTGAACTGTCTCTGTCGAACGAAGACCAGGTACGTCAAAAGAAGTCCAATGACGATTTAGATCTTTTCTTCGCGAAATCAAAAGAAAAGTTTATTAACAACAAGGCCCGAACTGAGAACACTCCGGCTTGTACTGCGAACAGTGAACCCGCGAATCAAATCCGAACTCAACCTAGTAGTGAGGACAAAAAGAAAGACGCACTGCCAGACAAAACTCCAGGTGATTTCTGACACAACTTTACAAAGACTGTAAATAATAGTTAGGACGGTACAGTGTAAAAAGTATGTAAATATTCGATTGTAAGCACGATACTCAATGAATTTTTGTGCCTTTAACATCTGCTACATTGATTTGTTTTTTTTTTTTAGTTTTATATTCTTAAATTATTATTTCGATGAACACAAGACTGTCATCAATGTTTATATTTAATTTGATACTTACTTAGTATACTTTAGAAATAAGATATCTTGAAGTGTTTGATTTATAACCATCTTAAACAGTTTTCTTTATCCTTCGCTGTACTTCTGTGCAATAATGTTCATCACAATTTAATATACTACTGTAACACTGGTGCCTACATAAAAAGACAGTTAACATATTTTCCTAAGTTGAATAAAACTCATTGTAAATAATCGTATTTTTACTTTAATAACGAAGTTATTTCATTCGGTTAGAAAATAATCGCAATTAACTTAATTATAGCCTGACCAGGAACATAAAAACCCTGGCATCGATCGAGAGGCGCGTCAATTGCATTTGATAGTGCAACACTGAGTACAGTCGTACCTGTGTTAAATTAATAGGCTAACTTTATGTATCAGGATTCAGGATTACGGGCTAATTTGATATTTTCATAAATTAACGAAAAAATATTATTATAGGTAACCTGATTTAAATAAATTAAATGAAACCATCAATCGAGCTAGAAGAATTTATTTTATTATTCATCAATAATCAAATTCAGAACTTGAATATTCAACTGCAATGTCTGCTCATGAACGCTTCAAACTCGGTACTTCTTTCCCAATCCCATAAAATTCAACACTTAGAAAGTGACAAAAAAATTTAAAATAGGTAGTTGAAACAAACCACAGCTAATTTTCATAGTGGACTGTACTATACGATAAACATGTCAGTCAATTTGACAACCTTTGTCGGAAACATTAATCAATGAAAATATTGTCCGAACCCTTAGTATTTCTCTTCGACAAATACTTTAACACATTGTGAACCACTTTTCTTTCACGACTATAAAAATATTTTAGCAATTTAATTCATAAAACCAATTGCGCACATTTAAAATAAAGTTTGTTTACACTTTGACAGCAATAGACTGACATGCAAGGTGACATGTCAATGAAGTTTTCAGTTACTGTTGCCATTAAAAGAAATTAGTACCATTAGTTTTCCGCAACATGGCGAGGGTTTTTATGTTCCTGGTCAGGCTATACTTAAGAACTAATTTTTTTTAGTACTTAAAAGTTTCATGCGCACCTTTATTAACTATGCAGGGTAAGGCAATGTTTAAGTAAAAAAGTCGTATGTAAGATGAAAATATTTATTTTTAAACTTAATCCAATCTTGACATTTCAAGTAAGCCAAGTAATACGTACAAAATAAACAAGGATTGTTATAAGAAAGAAACTAAGTAAATAAAATGTTAATGAGGTATAGTAGTCGAGCAGGGGAATGTTAACGAGACTAATGTTAGTGTTAAATGCATTACGTATAACTTAATTTAAAAAACAAATAAAATATAAACAAACGGGAGGAGCATTTTAAAATTGAAGTAGTATTGGATTAACAGAGCGTTTTCAAAACGATATCACCAAAGTACGCTAGTAGTCTACTAATACTATAATTAATATGAAACAATTTCATCACTGGAAATTCTTTCACCAAATACTATTCCTAGGTGTTATAGCCTTCAATTCCTGAAATGAACCAGCATCCAGGAGGTGCTCAATCGACTTAGTCAAACCACATGATTGCAGTCGTGGGAAAAGACAAAGTGTAATTACATGTAGCCAGATTTGAGGGCTGGTTTGAGGCGTCTAGGGGTCGGGCTATAGTCGGGCGCCGGTACTGGAGGCCCATTGGAGCGCCAGGGGTCTCGCCAGCTGTTCTCCACGGCTGGAGAGGGCGGAGGCCTCGCCGGAGCCTGCCGCTTGGCCTCTTCCAAGTACGAAAACGGCCTGCCGCTACTACTGCCGGGCCCGTGCTGCCACGAGTACGATCTATCGTAGCCTACCCTGTAATGCAAAAGCAAAATATATATTTTTAAAGACATTTCATTATTTCATTTGAAGTCACAGCCCCTCGTGGTAAGCTAAGTAAATGCTTGTTACGAGTGGGCTCTTCACAATAGTCGAACCCGCGTTCCTCGGATGTCAAGTCGTCCAGGCCGATCCCTTCACCATTCAGGCTATCGTGGGTCCAATTCAAAATTAATCATAAAGATTCCGGATAATTTTATTCATCGTTAGATATCATAGATATCGCAAGAAAATTTACGGATTAACAATATAATGACGAATCTAGTAATAATTTATAAATAGATAAGTACACCGAGGTATTTCTGTTATCAGCCCCAGCAAGCATGATTGTAAACATTGTCCACGCATTAATTCCTCGACTTTATTGCGGTAAGCCATAATAATGGTATTTGATAACTACTACGAGTATATTCGTTATAAAGGACAGGTATCTGCCCACATGCACAGGTATCCCCATTCTATACTTTAAAAAAATAATGATTTAGAAATGAATCAATAAATTGTGATAAATATTTACCCAGAGTAATCCGACCGGGTAGTGTCGCGCATAGGGCTTCGCGGTGGTTCTTCATCACTCAAGTACCCATAATTCAATTGCTGCCTAAACAATTAAAATGTTATTGTTTTAAAGCAAAAGTTTTTTGATAACTCGATTTGTTGAACTTATCTTACCCTCTAGGCGGCTGGTAAGTATCGCGATGGTTATGTTGGGGCTCTCTGGACCGCTTTGTGCTGTAATTTAAATTATCACTAATTAGTACTGCTTGGCAATAAAATTAAATATGTTAACGCTAAAATATTACGGAAACTTACTCGTAGGCTTTTAATGCTCCCAATTTATGAATAGAATGCTGAAACAAAAAAGTAACATTTTAATTCAACTATTCATAAATGGAGAGACTTTAGGTCTTTAATGCTTGCAAAGTGTCATATTATAAAGACAGTATTAAAAGTACGGATGTTATGGATATGTAGTTTCGGTTATAGATACGGTTACGGATATAGGAATAATATTATACCGGTTACGGTTACGGATATCTGTGCTTTAGAGTGTAATTTGCAATAGTGTTCCAACACGGGTCATTCATGGCCGCACACTTTACATCGAATAATAAGTAATAAAAAAATAAAAATTGATACTAGATGGTATTATAAAGTAAATCAGGCTGTCATGCCTTTACATAATGCTATACAAAAAATAATTTGAACTGCCTACATCCGAAACTATCCGAAACGTTTGAATCGGTTACGGTTACGGATATCCATAACATCCCTGATTAAAAGTATCGACTATCGTAAAGTAGGTAGCCGTTTCTTATCACATTTTTACACAATAAGTTTACTCAAACGTTGCATCAATGTGTTATGAATGATTCGTTATATCGAATATAGGTATCACTGTGTCAGCTGTTATAAGCGAATCTATAAATATTTATTAATTACACGCGTAATTAAGACATCGAAAATACATGCCTCCTGTTTATCCAAATCCGATGAGTACTGAAGTAAGTACACGACCAATAAAATCAGCAATACTATGTTGATAATGTGCACAATAAATCCTTTGAGACTTATCACCATAAGACTAAAGGCGCCTAGACGTAACAAGTCCATCATATAATTCATGCTGAGGCCGGGCGATGATTCATTCTGAAAAAAAAAAGAAAAAATGTAACGTAAAAAAGAAAAAATGTAATGTAACGATTTAAAACCGAGTATGATCTACCTATGGAAGAAAATTATTTTCTTAAATAAACCTGCTTGTAACCAATGCCACAGAATAATAATAAGTCCTACTACGCAATGCTTGTAAGTTATTTTGTTCTTCGTATGTAGTCAGCGTCAAATAATTCGTGACACCCAAAGTAGCCAAAAAGTACGCAACTAGTTTTTGTTAGGTATAGAATAAGGTTGTGTTCAGGGCCGGATTTAAGAGAGGGCAGCCGGGACTACAGCCCCGGGGCCTCCAGAAAAGAGGGTCAATAGACTTCGAAAAAAAAATGAAATTCAGACCAGAAAACAACTTTTTCTTTGAGATTTTTTTCACGTTTTACTTTTATCTACAGTACCTACTTTGTACAAACATGATTGTATTATTTGACAATTTTATTTGGAAGATTGGGCCAGGGGGCCTCGTCTCTTGTTGCCTCGAGGCCCCCAGACCTCTGAATCCGTCCCTGGTTCTGTCATCAACTTTTTGGCCTCTTTGGTTGTTACGAACTACTGACTGTATGAGACGCTGGCTTTTCTGAGGTAAACTCACTGCATAACCTACGTGGTTTCCGAATACTTACTAAGAGACCGTTGAAATGTGAGTAGTCCATCCCAAAGTGTACGGCGACAGTCAAATCGACGGTCAGTGAAGCAATGTACACTCCTATGTGCCCGCACACAACTATTGTGAGGTACTGAATCCCCCGTTCAGTTGTCACCACTGTAAATAATTGTTTATTTGTTAAAACATGGTTAACTTAAAACTATGATTATTATATTAAAATCTATAAAAACAATTCACTACCTCATCCGTGATGTGTCATGAAACAATGATTCACACGATCTATTTAAGGTGAGTATAGACTAGTAATGTATTGTTCTCCTACGAATGCTCGCCGCTCTGTTCGGCGTAATGCTCATAGCGAGGCTGCATTTACCCGTAACACTTTTGTACCTTGCGGTCAGTCTGTGGAAATATGCATCGCCCGTGCAAAGGCTCGACGAAATGTTACTCCAATACGCTCGTTGGTTTGTATTAGGTGGTAAATAAAACGGAGGGCGTACCTACTCGAGGTTTGGTTCGTGAAGGGGATACTCTAGAACAGTGTTTTTCAAAGTGTGGATTGCGAACCCCGTGGGGAGAGGTCGTAAAAAATCAAAGTTATAAAGATAGATTTATCCGAAAACCATAATACAATTATATGTAGCATTATAAAATGCATGAAAAAAAGGGAACGGTCGGGGGGTTTGAAAAAACACTGCTCTAGAACATAGCATAGAACTGCTCGTTGTTCTGTTACAGGTAAATGCTCTAGTTTGTACTCACCTTTATATATTTTAATATCATAATATATAAAACTCACCTGAAATAAGAATAGAGGCTGCGATCAGAGACACGACTGAAACGACCAGAGTGATCAGCGCAAACACGAATACTGAATAGTCTTGGGTGATCTCCTCATTATTGAATGCATTTTGACATCCTCCATCTAAAAAATCAAGTTACATGCATTACAGGCATTACTAGTATATTTTACATATTTAGACATTTCACCTTTTATTGGTCCCTTAACGAAAATTGATCTGAAGAAAATAGGATATCGAAAATGTTGTGGATTGATTTAAACTCCAGCACAAACAAAAGTAATAAACAAAATTATACAAACAAACGTACCTACCTAATGCCGTAATGTTAGGTAGGTAATCACGTGAACTAGTAGCAAAGGAAATACATAGTTCTAGAACCCCTGTCGCTTCGAAGATGAAGTTCACAATTCTACAATATTCAGCGATTGTCATGATAACATCCATCTATGATTCACGCGCCATTCTATTTAAATTAATTAATCAAATGGCAATGCCAGATTTTGTATGGAAGGTGGCGTCTTTTTTTTTTCGCGCGGCCTTCGACCAAACTTTGTTTTTTGATTACAAAATAGTGTAATAAACCAAACTTACTATGACATGTATACCTCTAAACTCAGTCTGAACTGAGTTACGACCGTTAGAAGTTTGATGATTTACATTACTAAATTTGCTTTTTGCGCGCAAGTTTTGTAAGAAATTGCAANGCCTTCGACCAAACTTTGTTTTTTGATTACAAAATAGTGTAATAAACCAAACTTACTATGACATGTATACCTCTAAACTCAGTCTGAACTGAGTTACGACCGTTAGAAGTTTGATGATTTACATTACTAAATTTGCTTTTTGCGCGCAAGTTTTGTAAGAAATTGCAAGGTTTGGTCGATGGCCGCGCGAAAAAAAAAAGACGCCAATTTCCGGCATTGTTATAATCAAACATACCTAAGATGTAAGCTCTGTACACAACATCCAGAAATAGACCCGAACCGCTCACGTTCTCTGGTTCCTTCGCATTACATTTGAATCTGTATACTAACGCAACTATACTTAAAGAAAAGTAAAGTAATGATGCCACCTGAAAAATGATCAATTACAATTAAATAAACTGCATTACAACATGTCTGCAGGTCAAAAGAAAAAACTCCCTTTCTCCTTTCAATTTTGAAAATAACTACCTACCTAAATAAATTTATATTCAACGTGTAAATGCACAGCAGTTTATGATTACTTTATGCATCCTTAAGCAAATAGCTACGAAAATATTTACATTGTAGGTATGTAATAAAATAGATATATCGCAGAGCTCTTGCATTGCAAGTGGTATATCTTTAGAAAATAATGGACAGCTATAGGAAGTTACTAGAGAAACAAATATTCGCGCAGACTCAGAAAATAATCACTACACGTAGATATCAAAATATAATACGTTGAATGCGATGCAATGAAAAAAAAAATCAATGAGATATACTTACTATCGTTATAGAACCCGTCAGCACTGCGGTTAAAACTAAGTTCGAAGGAAGCTTCGGCGCCGATTTACTATTATTGTTGTTGGAATTCATTTTGTAATTTTTCACCCTTTGATAGCCAGTAAACACGTCATGTCGAGCTTAAGTCCGTCCACGAAGGGACAAAACAACGCACGTATCAATGTTAATCGCATCATGATAATTGTTATCGGCAAGTATTAATGTGCGCACTATCTACGTGTATACCACGCAGCTGAGCCGATGCTGTTGGCAGCAGCTTGAATGTTTAATGACAAATTGGAAGTCAGGGTACGCCAACCGACACCTGATTACTGAAGTGGTAATTATGTGTCTTGTTTTTAATTTATTTATCAACACTCGCGATGTGTTCGCGTGAATTTGTAAGTAGGTGTAGTTTTGAAGGTAGGTGAAAAAATAACATTATGTATGATTACTTACCCTCCAAACTTGCGTTTATAAAATGAGAATTTCGGGTAGGTAATCTCTGAATCGTAGCGCAGTAAAGCACGATCGATGCTTTGGACGCTTGGGACGCGCGTTGGGTCCCGGGTTCGAATTTCGCTAGATGAGGATAGATAATTTAAATATTACATAAGTTTTAATGTATTTGTGTCTAACATTCTTAAATATATCTGGTAGTTATGGAAACTGCAACAGTAAACTAACTTTTGGCAATTTCGCAACTTCGTGTCGTGGAATTATTTGTACCTCATCACAGGGTTAGTTAGTAGATACATACTTTCGGGGCCCCCACCACTTAAGCACAACTCCGTCGAAGTCGAAAACTTAGGAGAGTCTTAATGGGCAACCAATGAAGCCATTAAAGCAAAAAAATCTTTTGTAGGAATTATTTCCGATTTAATCAATTTTTGTGTTTAATTCTACTGGCCTATTAGAAAATGTGGCTCACGGAACGTGATATCTAAATTATCCTACATGCAGAATGATTGTCTTTGACTAATTACATAATCTATGAACTTGTTTGTTGCTTTGTCAGATTATGTCACTCAAGACAAGACCAAACGAACCCAAAACAGAGCCCCAATCAACCAGTGTGCTTCATATTCGCACCTGTGTTCGCACCATTGAAGCCATTAGACAGAATAATATAATTCCTATTTATATTTCCTATAGGTGCAATGCAACGACATGTGAATTGGTGATATGTTTGACTCAGGTAGTGTCCTGGCATGTCTACTTAACGTGTTCTGGGTTTGGCGTATTTGTGCGTTCTTCTACTCCAGTTACTCCATATCAGATGTGCTGACCCCTCAGATCATAGAAAGAGAATAGATATGATGTCGCGCGTAACTACAACGAGAACCAGTGTCCCCACATTTCCCCCACCACAGCTCCCACACACACATTCAACTGTGTAAAAACAAAGCGACTGAGAGTCTACCACAACATGTGCAACCGGCTTAAAAGTGCTGTGATTGGCCAGAAGGCGTGCCTTATGGCCAATCAATGGCCGCGTGACGTGACGCACACTTTGAAAAAAGCAATTAGAGAGAAGAAAGATAAAATGNCTGACCCCGACGTGCGGCGGGTGGGTGAAGGCATCCGTGATGTTCTGCGTCATGGCCACGTCTGTCATCTTCCAGCTGATCCCCCTGACAGAGTTCCCGAGGGTGAGCTTGGCCAACAGGATCATCAGCATCCCCTTCCAAGCCTATTCCCTATACTTCGCCCATAGGTACATCGGGCGCACGCTGGACAGTCGAAGAGTAACGATATTTTTATACATTATCACGATTCTGTCCATTCTGGAGACTTTGTACATGATCAATTTGGATTGGAACAAAATCGAATAGAAGAAATCGACCGTGCATAAGTGTTTAGTCGTACAGTGGTATTGACATTTTAAATAAGTAGGTATCGTAAATGTAGATAGTAATCACTTTATGGTATTAAACTGTACTATTTTAGTAAGCATATTTTTATTGCAATAGTTCTCAAATTTGTTGATTCAGTAATATAAAGGAGAAAAACAGTGCAATGGTTTGGTCAAAACGGTAAGCCACATTTAGGAGGTTTGTATATTTATTATTTATGTGGGCCAGGTATTTTAGGTGGTTTTTACTTTCATGAGGATCAGCTATATTTTTAGCTTTGTCACAAGTTTTTCGAAGCACGGCACGGCTAGGGAGCTACGCATTGGCGTTTACCTATCTCCGTTCTGGGTATATTTTGTTAATGTTAATGTAAAAACCAGCAGACCTTTTATAATCAAATTTATTATTCAAACTTACATTTATAATGCGAACTTGACATTTAAGTAGGACGAGCAAATAATAATTAATTCGTCGCGCAAATCGTCGAGGCTTATCAGTATCTCATCAAAAATGAGATCTGAAAGCTGATATAAACAATTATGTTTATTTGCAGAGTGATAGGTAATTATTGGATTTTAATAATATCAAAACTTGATTTTTCTACCTTTTCACATTTTCAAAAGGTTTTGATAAATTGAGAGATACTTTAACATCGAATTTCTCGCCCTTCTTAAACACTTTTAACTTTAACAAACTTATACCTAACACAAATCATCAACAATAATACCTTTTGTATAAAAATATTTACAATACTTTGGCACATTGCCTCGCATTACACACATTAAATTAATTGGATGGAAACGAATGCATGAAAAAACTGAAAAAATACAAATCAACCGTCAAATAAACCAAGAAGATATCGTAATAATTACATATTCTTTATATCATCACCAAGTAATCTAATACAGAACAAAATCTATAATTGAATCATTTTGAACACATACATATGTAGATAGGTATTCCCTATTGCAATGAAACTACTTCATAAACTTAATCACTTAATACTCAAATCGCTCGTCTTCAGGCATCTTCTCGTTTCCTATTCGCTGATCCGTTTAATACAACACGTCTGACTGTGTTATCGTCGCTGGAAATAACAATTGGGCATAAAACTTGCAGAAGCTGTATCAAGTTGTTTAAGCAAGGTTAGAGTCTCGAGCATTGGGAGTAGACGTTATACTCACGCCGTGACTGCCCCAGCGCGTCTCGCTTGTACGCTAGCGAGCTGAGGCTGGACGCTGCCCGGTGGACGGCTGGAAATGAAAAAATATATACTCATGAAGTCAGGAAAAAAACAAGGCATAGCCCAGCCAACATACAAACTCCCGACTGGTTGCACTCAGAGAAGGTTTCAAATGTTGACTCACTGGCTTTAGTAGTTCAGTCAAAGAAGATTTATTGAATCACAGGGGCAGAAAGGTAACATATAAGCTAGTCTAACATAGCGTCCTCATGAGAACTCCAGAGAGCGAATGGCGGTTCAGTCGAAGATGTTTGTGGACCGGTTTTTCTGAAAGGGGCAGAAAGCTAACATGGGCGAGACTCCTGAGAGCGGTTGCGGGAAGTCATAGGAAGGTTATTACGAACTTACAGGCCTTCCTGAAGAGCTGGATGGCGGTTTAGTCGAGCAGTGGCATACAGCATCATACATAGAGTCTACATAGCAGCTGGTCGCGCATGCGCCGCGCCGCCGGAATGTATGCCCACGGCAGTGGCCCCTGGAGCTTGTACTCAAAGAAGATGTGTGGACTCACAGGCCTTCCTGAAGGGCTGGATGGCGGTGTAGTCGGGCAGCGGCACGGGCGGCAGCTCCTCGTTGCCCCAGCAGCTCATACTTAGGGAAGATGTGGTAGACTCACAGGTCGGGATGTATGCCCACGGCAGCCGGCCCTACAGCTTGTACTCAAAGAAGATGCGGTGACTCACAGGCCTTCCTGAAGGGCTGGATGGCGGTGTAGTCGGGCAGCGGCACGGGCGGCAGCTCCTCGTCGGGCGGCAGCTGGTCGCGCATGCGCCGCGCCGCCGGGATGTATGCCCACGGCAGCTGGCCCTGCAGCTCGGCTGCTGTGCCGCGCCGGCTCGAGATCCTGCCGTCACACAGACTTCAAATAGTAGAAAGCTCCGTACACCTCCTATGTGCTGATTAATTTCATTGCAAGTCCAATAATGTTATCACGTCAGCCAATGATTTCGCTGCTATATCCTCTCGCAAGGAAGGTTACATAGCAAGTTGAGCATGGATGAACCCTTATTCAGAAGTCGTTTAAGAATATGGCTTACCCTTGAGGCTCCTCCTCGGTCGTGGAGGGCAACTGTGGAAGGGACTGCGAGGCGCGCGGGGGGCTGTTCCGGCCGGCGGTGTCGATGACGGCGCTGTCCAGGCGCCGCTGCTGCTCTGCGATCAGGTTCTCTAAGCGCTGCGGCAGCGATAATAGGTTTTCGGGAAAATTCACAGTTCGCTTCTTCTCTATGTCCACATGGTGAGCTCTCGGCGATCTACAGATAAAAGTTGTAGATTCATACGTAATACCTACATTACGATGGTATGCAGTGCAGTGAAACCTTTACTGAGGTTCCCTGATGGCTTGCAAGTTTGCAACGGTGCCTACATACAAAAATATTGCCAATGTATTCTCAGTTTTGGAATCATGGCTTGCAGTAGTGATAAAACTATTGTCAGAATAAACAAACGTCACCTGTTAGGCGATGGGTTATACGATTCGGGGTTGGACGTGGACGGCGGCACTGGCGTGGGCGACGGCTTCCTGAAGAGGTACGCCTTCATGCGCCGAAACGAGCGGCTGAGTCCCGGCCGCGGGAGGCGCGCGAACATTCGCGGCTCGCTGAACGTACTGCTCTCTTCCACGTCCTTGTCGCTCGTGCTCACATCACGCATGCCTATCGGCGCCTCCACTTGCTGGAAACAGCAGTTGTTTGCCTTACCGTCATAGTAAAATACGAGTAGGTACCTACTACAATGATGATGAAAAAAGAAGATACCGAGACAAAGTAACATTTCACAGATCTGATTAGTTTCTAGCTTCATGCGCTTTTGCAGGTCGACAAGTTGAATAAAGAACTCCATGTTATGATTAACCCGTGATTATTTATAGTTTCATTACCATTTTTGTCAAAACAGGAATTAAAAATTAACAAGATTCAGAATTTAAGCAGTAATATCTCTAAACATAAGCTGATATTACATTTAGGGATACTTACTGTCCCAGTAGTGATCGGTAGTATAGGGGCGTTGCAGTCCACAATCACCATGACGACGAGGATCACGTTGAAGAAGAAGAACACAATGAACCTCGCGTAGACGATGACCATGATCCAGGAAACCCATGTGGTGTCCAGATTGGCGTTGGCGATACCGCTCGCGACCCCGCCGATGAATTCCATGATGTCGGACAAACTCTGGATGAACAAAATTCTGAATTTTACGAGTATTTAGTCAATTTCGATGAATTACAGTAAGATCAAATAATACTAATTCATAATATAGGTACATTTTCAATTTAATTCATTGACAAGTCTTTATTCTCTCTGTGCTAAGCCTAATATCCATTCATTTTATTCGTGAAAAACAGCCTTGCTCTCAATATCCCCATAACCCAAGGACCTTACTTTACGTCTCGTATGCCTGCCTGCTCCAATGACTTTCGCATTGTTGTCTGGAATCTCAGAATACGATCGGATAAAGTAGAAATAATACGACGGCGACGAGCGTTACTGTTTAGTACACTCATAACTTACACACCCTAGTGTAGAACGAGTCGTTGGTGTAAATGACGGCCGCCACCAGGTCGACTCCGCTGGCCATCACCGTCACCATCACCCATGGCCACCGGACGTGTTTTGAAGCGGAGTTCTTAGCGCCACCCACTGAAAAGATAAAGAAATGGTTTTGTATCGGGGACCACCTTTTATGATCTAGGGACACTTGTCTTATCAGTGATCCTGGATTATCTAGATTCCCACTGGGGACACCATTTTCTGCTCGGTCTGGCTGGGGATAGAGTTCGTTCCAAGTCCGCCTAACTAGCTTCTTTAGGTTTGTCACAGTAACAACAATGTTTATACGGTGTTTCACCAGTTAGAGTTAAGATAGCCAGTTTGAGGATGTTGAATTGTTGATGCCAAATTTTCAGGAATATACGTTCTTTTTCTATGGGATTTGGGTTTCTATAGTCAGTTAATGCAATACAGTAATAAATTCTCACTTACTTATTAAAAGGATGCTCGCAGGTATCCAAAGCCCAGCAATACCTAGGTTGGTGCAGTTGATGATGAAGGTGCGGTAGGCAGTGAGCGGCTCGTTGTTGATCAACACAAAGGCCTGGTCCACGATGCCCTCGATTGCGGAGCCGATGTTGATGCGCGCTCCACACGGCACAGGATCTGGAAGAAGGGCCTGCATTGGTCACACCGTTTAAAGCCGAATTTATATTTATCTGACGAGAGGTGGACCGACGACATCATAAAGGTAGCAGGAAAGCGCTGGACGCAGGCCGCTACCAACCGGGTAACATGGAAAGCATTGGGGGAGGCCTATGTTCAGCAGTGGACGTGCTATGGCTGAGATGATGTTGATGACGATGATGACGAGAGGTGTCGTGACGAATCAGAACGTAACCGGTTTCAACACTAGGTATTGTGTTGTGTCGGGCTTCTGTCGTGCCGGAACTGATTTCGTTCTGATACGGCACGACACATCACGTCAGAATAATTTAAATCCGGCTTTACAGACTCGTCTGGCAATGATGTGCATCGTCAGCAGGGTCAAACTTACTGTGGAAATACATGATTCTGATGTATAACAACATCGGCAGCTCCCGCAGAAAATCGACCACGCAGTAGTACTGAGCCAGGCCGAGGGTGCAGAAAACTATCTGCCCAACAGCCTGCAACTAGAAATAAGAAACAAAAGTTAGTACAGGACTAGAAATTGTCCAAATTAAGTTTGTAAGTGTACTACATGTCATTTTATACACTGCAGGAAAAAAGTGACTCTCACAGCTGATCACTAAATTAGAAAATAAATTGTTCTATACATAGCACTTTTTCAGTATCTAATGACCTGACCGAAGAATAAGTATTAGGCACCTTATCTAGGTATACAGGATACCTACTCAATACTTTATTGCATACCATTTGGAATACAGCTACTAAATAGAATATCCAGTGTACTTAAACGCTATTTATGAGTTCTTATCGTTAGTTTAGGGTAGATATATAGGTAGGTACTCATTCTAAACCCATCATCAAAGCACATGACGCTTCCACCAGTCAACTTTAGTGTTATTTTCCCAAACCTGTTCCCATAGCTGGGCACCGTTAATCAAATAGTTAACTTCGTTAATCGTTAAACCGTTAATAAAAAAATTTACTTCGTTAAACGTTAAAACGTTACATTTCACAAGATTTAACGCAAGTTAACGTTAATCGTTAGTCCGTTAACACATGATAATAAAACGAAAAAAATAATTGTATGCAAGGTTCAAATAATTTCGAAAGCTTGTATCGTGCATGGAATTTATTCCTCTTTTTCAGGGTTCCGTAGTCCTGACAAGGAACCCTTATAGTTTCGATAATGTCTGTCTGTCTGTCTGTCCGAGGTTTTGCTTGGAAACTATAAGCACTAGGGAGCTGTAATTTTGTACACACATCGTCCCCCCCCCCCCTCTAAAAACTAAAATGTTGGCTTGAAAAATCTCGAAAAATTCGTGATAATACTGCTATTCATGAACTTTCAAGGAAAACTATAGCGGTTAAGATACATCAATTAGTTTGAGAGTAATAGTCATTTAACTCATGTAGTTATTACAAAATTTCTTAACTAGTGAAAATTCCTTAGAAAAAAAAATGAAAAGTGACTTTGAATGTAATGAATTGCTTGCTTCTGAAATATACTGTGGTAGCGACGGACCACTACGGAACCCTACACTGCGCGTGGCACGACACGCACGCACTTGGCCAATTTTTTTTGTTTGCGCTACAAACTTTCGAAATTATTTGAACCTTGAATAAGTACAATTATTTTTTTCGTTTTAGTACAACTGCATTTCTTAAATAAAAGCTTGTTTTTAAAAAAGTTTTTTAATTATTATAATTTTATTTTACACTTTTTAGTAGNCCTGTTCCATACCACCCAGTATACAGGTATTTAAAAAAAATTGTGTTCGGAATTTTTTTTTAAATAAAGTGCTCTAAACTCGAAATCTAGTCATTATTTTCAAAAGTTTGTTTACAGATAAATTAAGCGATCATGTACAATTAATATTAGTAAGAAAAAAGTAAAAATAAACACCAAACTGTATAAATATAAATTGTAATCCGTTTTTATTCTGAATGTAACAGTAACCAGATCATGTACTGTAATATTTTTGGACTAAATAAATATCATTTTCATTTTCAAACGCAGCAATTTATAGCCAGATACTTATTTAGGCAAAGTTGATTTATTTTCACTTTTTCAAAAATAATTTTTGTTTCCTTATGCGCTTAATTTTTTTTTTATATTTTTTAGGGATAGACTTTATTAGAGCTACCTCCCCTAGCAGTTTGATTCACCCATTTTGGGACACCCTGTATACTATTAGATACGGATGTTAATACTACGTTTGCTTCATGCTTCAACAGTCTTTTTCTGGATCAAAAGTTTCGTAGATAAAGATTGGCTATACAAATAATTGATAATAAAACATTTTCCGACTTGGTTTTATGCACTTGACACTTTTTCGAGATCCGTAAAACTTTTGAAAAAAAGCAGAACCCCGATCACACGCAGGGCGGAAACCATAAATTCTTAGGACCAGAGACAATTTTCTATCCCAATTTCTATAAAAAGGCTTAATATCTCATTAGGTACACTAATTAACAATTTGATTGAGCCCGCAAAGTCATCTTGCCTTCTTTCTTACGGTGCATGATAGTATTCGGTTCATAATTTCACAGAAACTGTAAATTGCATGACAAAATTAGAAATTAAGGCCGGGTAACAGAGAAAATGGCGAAAATGAGGTTTTCATTTTTCATTTTTGAGGTACTAAACAGTAAAATAAAAGGCTAAGATTTTTTTTGAGCATAGTTGAGGATATTTTCTAGGGCTATTAACGGATGGAAACAAGATTTGATGAAGTTGACTCGATAGAATAAATTCCCAAAGTTACCTCTATTCGTTTTCTAATAATGGTTTTATTTCTAAAATAAGCGATTTGAGATTCTGAATCTTTTACTAAACTAAAGTTCAGAAATAACTTGAGGGCTTTTAACGGATGAAATTTTTATATTGCGTCTTATTTAGTTACTATGTTAAAAAATGTGGAAAAAATCGCCCATGACGGCTTGGACAATCTCAATCAGTCGCGCGGTGGCGCTTACGGAGGACGGACGCGTCTGTATTTATTCCTAGAATTCCCCAAACACCGTCAAATTACCCTTTCGAATTCAAGACAGTGCAGTTTCCCATCAGTCTGCTTCGTAATGACTATAAACAAAGCTCAAAGTCAAACTCTAGGGACCTCTGCTTAAACTCCCATGAGTGCACAGAGGTACGCAGGTAACCGCGTGTGATGCTTATAGCAATTTTCGATAGGTACAGAACCCCGTACATACGTCATACATATTATAGAAAGAAAACACCCAGACCAATACAAACAAATATGTTTCTGCAATTTTAGTATGATATTTTTATTTATTAATAAACAAAGAGACTGAACAAAATTGATGCGTACCTATACTGATTAATGTTATTAACCACATGCAAAGCTTCGTGAATTGCAACAACTATAATTAAATTTATTATCCAAGCTCTAAATAATCGCTACTAAGAGTAACTTATCATAAAAAAAATTCAATCGCTCAAGCTCCCAAGGGCCTACCGATAGGTCGGGTGACGTAATCTTGAAATTCTTTAAGCCGGCGCAGAACTTCCAGAAGGTCGGGCGACGCCACGGCCACTTTGAACAGTGTTTACTTCTGCAGTTATATTTTATATTTATTCGATTCTAGAATATATTCCCAAAAAGTCTGAAAGGTGTTTTAATTTGTATCACTTGGATATGATTTCTATTAGAAAGTGTTGTGAGTGTGACGCTTGAAAGGAAGGAAGTCAACCTAACCTAACCAACTGCGTATTTCTATACTGTGTAGCTGGAAATTGTGGCGGGAGCTCTTTGACGCGCTGTTTTCGGCGAAGAATTGCGCGCGCAGATTTTGACAGCGCGAAATACCTACTTTAGAAGAAATACCAAGCCTTAACATGAACTTGATTTAGTTAACCAATACAATAACTTCAATAAATCGCGATACAGAACCATTAAGCCACGAAAATACTCTCACTTGACCGGTTGTGTATGGTCTATCTATGAAACTATTGGAAAGTAATCGTAATTGGTTCGTGGTTTGTTGTGTTACATCGTATAAATACTAATAGTTAACCGGACATTAAACTGTAACATGATTGTGAAGTGGAATCCCAATTTGTTCGACGTAAATTTTATCTTGATGTGATAGGTTTCGTCACCGGCGTCGCACATTTAAGAGAATTTCTCGTTGATTAGGCTGATACTATCAATATGATAAGATATGAAGTACTTAGGTATATCGGTAGAAAGTTTGTGTGTGCGACTATAAGTAAGTGCCTAGCAAAAAGAATTTCTTTTACCAACTAATATTTATTTAAGTAATTCTTTACCTAAAAAAACATTGTACCTACTTATTAATTAAGCTAGAATGAGATATTAGGTAGGTACTTTAGTAAGTATGTAGGTACTACAAACAAAACAGAAATTCAGCTACTAGGTATTGATTGGATTTCCTTATAAGATACTATTATCGTAAGTATTGTTTAGAATATCTAATCGCATATCAATGAATTATTGGCATTTTTCATAAAAACGTTAGTGCTTAATAATTGCCTGATACAATATTATGTTATTCTATTTACTTAAAATAATGTTTTGATGACCACATTTCACACAACGCTAATGATCCACATTTGATTTCGTGTTCAATACTTAATTAAGGGATAATATAGAATTTCAACTGTATTTTTATGCTAGTTTCTATCATTTTCTGTCTTGAAATGTTAAATGTGTTTGAGATAAATATGAGAGATAAGTATATACAGTTTAATAGATACTTAATTCAGTTAAGATGGTAAGTAAGTAAGTAAGTACCTACCTACCTACTTGGTGATTTTATGGAATGGAAATCAAAAAGAATTGATTTTGTGTATTGAGTAAGTATAATCATATTGATAATGAAACGACACTAATAATTGAATGCATGCTGTAAGTACTCGTAGGCCTAGCTAATACAGGGATTCCCATTCTGTACAGAAAATAGTTGAAGACCAACATTAATTTTATTGATCGCAAACATGCGATCGTTTTACACTGAAATATCGAATTGAGAACAAAACAAATGAAACATGTTCTAAAATATGGCAGTAAAGACAAAAAAAAACTAAATATCGAATTCGAAGTTTAGCAAATGGTGTGCAGCGATGTCCTAATTAATTAAGTACACTTGTCAAGTTATCGATTTTACGGTGTAGTAATTCAGAATAACTGTTTTGTTAGCTACTTACTAAGCTACATACATTGTATTTCGTTACCTATTTATTATGTAGGTGTGTAACATGTATTTATTGAATCCTAATTAAGTAAGTAGGTGGGCTAAATAACATCCCCTGTTAAATTACCAGGAATATTCTATATTAATGAAGAATATTGTGTGGTATGGGTATGGTATAGTAATTAGTAAAGTAGCATATTCATAAAGCGGAATGGTAATAGAGACTTTAAGTCAGATTTTGTATGTCATTCATTATTAAGTGCAACAATCTGGTGATACATTCGCATTGCGTTTGTAATTTAAAAAACAAACATTGATTCATTGTATCAATAAGTGATCGCCAGCGAAGACATGTAAGTAACATCAATCAACGCAGTAAAAAACGTTTAAATGACTTACTAACGTCACCACTCCCGCGCAGATGAGGATTTTGTTCGCCGCCATGGCTCCTGCGCGTGCGGTGCTATGGAGAGGGCACGGGACTACCGCGGACAGTCACTGTCGGCGGGCGCAGCATCACACTGGGACACTTGGACCCGATAACTCCACTGACGCCGCACCCGCCACGCTCTCCGAGGCGCGATCCGTACGATCATTGATAAAAGATATGTGACATTACGATAAAGATGTGTCATGTGTGCCTTGGCTAGTGTTTCATGAGAAAAGAATTCCTGTTGTCAACAGATAACTGTTCACTTTCCTACAAATAAGGAATTTATTAAGTATAAACCCTGAAAGTATTTGTGGTGTAACATGCCGTGCCAATCTCACCTGCACATGCCCATTGATCCTGCCGATGTCAATATCTGTGAAATGATATCACAAATCAAGTGCCTACTTATGCAAATTAATGAACCTATACCAAGTTTAGTTACATCCAAGCAGTTATCTAAAACAAGCTTGTTACGGTAAATGACAGTACTTAACAGGTTTGAACTCTGAAAGAAACATAAACCTCACTTAAAGGGCGTGTAAGATTGTCCTGGCTGGTACTATCGTGGAAAACTATCGCGAATTTCCTCGTAAATAATTGTAAAAACCGGAAACAAAGACTGGTCCATTAATAAAACTGCTTAATCAAATAGGGGCCGTCCATAAATTACGTCATCGATTTTTTCAGATTTTAGACCCCCCCCCCCCCCCCCCCCCCCTAATTTAAAATGACGTAATATATGGACGGCCCCATACCTACTTTGATAAAAAAAATACTAAACTAGGTAGGTATGTGTAGGTAACTGGTAAAGGTCGCTGAAGGAACCTAAGTACATCCTTAGGGAGGTCTTTGTCTTTGTCCAGCAGTGGACGTCATTTGGCTAAACACCGAAAACGAGGTAGCTTTATTTATTACATTGCTATCATACAAACTAAACATACTATTAGATATACTAACTATGTAACTATCCTATTATTTTACATACCCTTGGACTTGTCGTAGCTATGTAAAGTCAACGTGGTCCCTTTAGTGTCGATTAGGAAGAATTTACATGCTCTCGACAAGGTGCAAACTAAATGACGTACTTAGTTTAAAAGTATAAAAGTAGTCGCCTTTAACTGCTGAACTCATTATTAATGAAGTTGAGGCAGAAATATTATTTGAAAAGTTTAATGCGGTTATTAATATGAAGAAATTGGTAAGTTGTTCAGTGATTAGCATGTTCTAAGAATGCGCACAATGCTTGAAATACATAGGTACATAGTAAATAATAAATTGTTAGACTACATAAAGTAGGATTTATTTCAGTCTAATAATAAACTAAGCTGTTCTGATAGTTCCATGTTAAGATGGTTGGATGGCTATTTTTGGTAAAATTATAAAAAATCATTTATATTTCAGACAAGGTTTGCTTGGGCGCTTCTGCCATTACTCGGTGGAGTATTGTGTGAAAATAATACTTCTACGAATTCATCGGATCCTAATAAGGATATGTGAGTTTAGTGTTTTTCTTGATATTAAAATAATTATTACGATTATGTTTATTGCTATGCATCAAATACAGACGAAACCATAAAAAAGAGAGTGATGCCCGTTTTCACCATCAATCTCAAATTTTCAAATGACCCTTATGAAAACAAAATTCAATGTGTTACCATAGGGGTCACTTAAAAATTAGGGTTTGATGGTGAAAACGGGCATGAAACTTCTGAAACAAGAGTTTGTTCTCAGAATCCAGTGACATCATAGCTATAGAAAAACTCCATTCAAGGATTTAAAATATGATTACGTTAATTTATGCATGTATATCTATAGCAGAGGAAAACCAGCCTCCATGATTCAATCTCAGTAGCTAGTTACCAAATATAACTTAACATGCTCTAGGTACAATCTACATGGATTTGTAGAGTTTAGAAGAACCTCAAGTCTCTAGCTTATTATTTTATTTTTTAAAGGTATGTCATACACGCTATGGTGTATCAAGTTGGTATTTTAACCAACAAAACTGACGATAATGGTTCTAACGTTACCATGTAAGTGATGAATTTGCCAAATTTTTACAACATTCAATTCTGAAATATTAATGAAGCTTTCCAAATTTTATAGGGGAAATCAAGAGGCTCTTACATTCTACCACACTAACGGCTCCAAAGTTGATTTGAGTAATATCCCTGCTCCATTGCTGACCAACGTGACGGCCCAAAGCATGGTCCAAGTGGCTCCAAAGCCCACCAGTGGAGACAAGTCACAAGTGTCGTGGTCAGCATTAAAAAACTTGGCATCTTTACCGCAATTTGCCCCGGGAATCAAATCATCAGGTAACTACCTAAGTAATAAGAAAGCATAGATCAAGATTTATAAGAGTTAACTTGTCGTCGTTTTCGTAATGAAAAGTTCATTTGCTTCTCCTTAAACACTTTTCTTCTTCAGGAAATGTACCTATGAACATCGCAAAACGCAGCATATTTGATGAGGACATGCCTGAAATGATGGGTGAGTTAGAGTACTTCGATGTTCCTGGATCAGCCATTAATAAAAGATCAGCTGATAATCTTAGAGATCTATTTAAAAGGGACGCATCTGACAAAGCTACGGTCAAAGTGGTGAAGGGCGCAGCGCTGATACCCCAGGGGGCGGGAGTGCAATCGATCGCGCTGCCGCCGCTGTTGTCGCTCAACAATAACCTCTCCGACATACCGGTCCCAATACCCAACACTTCGATAGTGCACTACGCTAAAATCAGCACGGTCGTACGCAAACCGTGAAACTGCGAGATATGGGACTATGATAAGGACGATCGGCGACTTATGATTGTTATTCCAAGATGTAGTTCTGTGGATGACTATGATCTGTATTTTGTCCATTTTCTGATTTTTAATACCTACTTATTTCACTTACCTACGAGTAGGTCTTATCTATGTAATTAAAATTTTAGCAATGCAAATAACGTTCGTCTACTTACTTCACTGTTCGTTTCTTCTTCGTCAAACATAAAAACATAGTATAGTAAAGTTATATTATAATAATTATTGTCAATGACGTAGCTATTTACTTTTTTAATCATGATGAAATTAGGTCACTAACTCCTACGAAGAATCTTATCGACTTTGGCGAATACTACGCAATAAACGTAGTGCATTTGGGATGATATAGATGTTGCTTTACAAAGAAAGTAATTTTAGCATTCCGTTAAAATTAACATTATGTTTATTTAACAATAAGTAACATAATAATTAAAAGTATGTCATACAAAATAGTTGAGCATGTTATAAGAAATACTTAAGTAAGGTTGGTTTGTAGGAAGTAGGAAATTAGCCATTGCTGCTTTTTAAAAACTGATTTGGGTTAGTGAAATCTACATTCTAATACTTATACCTTTGCATCTATTACATACCTACTTATGTACAATTGCATTGCTATTGATCGCATTATGAAGGCTTTCAATTCCAAACCCTTAAGGTCGATGTACTGAAGTAGTCTGCATATCCTATCTTTATTCTAGATATTACGGAATATGTACATAAAGTTCAAATTCAAAGCGAACATTTGAACTCGGTTGACCCAATGATGATTTGCAAGGTGTACGTAGCCCGAAGAGCGCATGCCCGGCAACCCCGTACGGCTGAATGCACATTAAGGACTAAAACATAAAATTGAAACACTGCATTACGTGTTGTTTGATGCAGTTGCCAATAACTTAACAAAGAAAAAAATAAATATTACTGATTCTTGTAAAAATCGCTTAAAAATAAAATAAACAAATTAATGTAAAGGAATTCCACGCATGTGCGGATCTCACGCATGCGCCACCTCGCCTTAATGATTTGCCTTGCTCAAATGAGCAGGTAAATGGTCTCAATAGAAGTATGATAGGTTTAATTTAGATCATTCGCTAGAAGTTAATATAAGTGAGTAGAAATAAGTGTGTGGGGCATGCCTTTTAAATTCCGGTAGCATCACTCGTCAGAGCCCCGTAGGGCGCGAGTAGCCATGAGTTCTCCGAAACTCAATGAACGGTGTCCAAGCAGCTTGAGCAACGGCAAAAAGCTCCTAAGCAATGACTCCAAAGAAGACTCCTTGGACAACTCGGTAAGTACTTATACTTGAAAATAGTTTAAAGCAGTGCTCGAAAAAGTTTTCCTTTTTTATAAGGTTAACTTCGTAATCCACTTTACGCTCATAGCGGTAACAAAGAAAAATCCACTCTTATTAACAAAAAATAAAATATGCATTTAATTTCTTAGATGCGGGAGTCCGCAAAGTCGGAGAGAAGTGGAAAAGGCGAGGAAGACTGGAGGAGACGCACCATCATCGTTGAGAAGAAAAACGGCACTTATGGTTTCACATTACAGAGCTACGGCATACATTACAAAAAGGTAAAAAAACAGTTTTCTACACAAACTAATAATGTATACGCGTATGTTATGAGCGATGCGAAATATAATATTTCCAAACACGTAAATAAAATGTAGCAATAAGTTGTTCATAATTATGACAAGTTTTGAGTTAATAGGTCTGTGACTAACATCTTGTGGCCACGCGATTTATAATAAATCTTTGTCTGTTAGTAGTTAAGACAGTTCGCGGTTTCGCACACTCACTTATTTAGGTCTAGATTTACATTTGCCGGCAATGAGACAAGCGATAACAAGCGATCGTAATTAGAACAACTATAATCAATCGGCCATATTGAGAAGTTGGTCGGTAGTTTGGTGATATGTGACGTAATGAGATGTGTTTTTTCACAGGAGCAAGAGATAGAGGTGATCACGTACGTGGACCACGTGGAGGCGGACGGGCCGGCGGCGCTGGCGGGCATGCGCGAGGGCGACGTCATCCTGGCCATCAACGGCGCCGACGTGGAGCGCGCCGACCACGCCGCCATCGTCGACGCCATCAACAACTGCGACTCGCGGATGCGCATGGTAGTCATCTTCGAGGACTGCGTCCGAAAAGTCGAACTCCACCTCAAATACATTAACCTACAACGAGCGATTCAGTCCAAAATGCGCGAATTAGATCAACTCACCGTCCGCGAAAGACAACTTTTTGATTCCAACTGGAAAACGCACAGTTTGCCGTCGCAGAAAAAGAAGAATTCTCCTTCAGACGTTATTTCAGATACGGAGGAGAACAATGCGGGCGACGGGATCAACTCCTACAATCGGCCTACGCTTTCCAGTGAAAATGTCACTGCCGCCAAGCCTCCTCAAGCGAATGTGTTCATGTACCAGTATCTGGACCCGAGATACGGAACGTGTGTCATACAGCCTAACATAAGAACGGGAAGCTTTGTGATCACCGTTGGCTCTCCAAGAAATAGGCGCGATTGCCATCACTACATAGTGAAAAACACGAACGAATGCCATCGAGCTTCAGAAAACTACAAAGTAGCAAACGGGAAACATGGGAAGGTTCACAGAAATAACCATAGCCACAGCTGCACACCGTGCATGCCCAATCACAACAACCAGGATGCGAACAGTCTCGAGGCTTACGACCTCGCCAGTCCCTGCTGCGACCCACATTGCGTGCCTAATTCACGGAAGAAAATACGACGCAAGAAGGAGTGTTCGAAGGAACACAAACGAAAGGAAAAATGCCAACAAGTAGACAAATCTACTCAGAAACCGGATGGATGCTCCCATACGCGAGCCAAGAAAGTTTGCTCATCCGGACACTGTTCAAGCCGCTACAGATATTTAACTACGGAGTCGACACAGACGAGTCAATGCAGTTTACAGTCCTACGCTACCAGTAATGCTACAGTACCCTGTGATAATTCTGCTTCCAGTTACAGTACATCTCTCAGTAGCGACACCCTTTTTTGGGATAACGATCGATCGGAGGCGAAATCCTCACCAAAGATACAGTATCAGAGCTCTCACCAGCACGTGAAGCCTAAGTCGTGGGATAATTTGACGACCAAAGCATTTGGTGGGTACGGTTTCGGTTACGGGTACTTGGATACTAGCACGAAGCAGTCGAGCCGTTCGAAGAGCCACGGCCGGAGCCACAGCGGGCGCAGTACGCAGAGCCACCACGAGTACCAGCCGGCGCCGAAGCACGCGCACCGGCAGAGCGCGGCGCCGCACCACTACCCGGCGTACGGCCGCAGCCACAGCCACTGCGCGCCCACCAAGTCCACCGAGAGCCTGGTGCTGGTGCCCAAGTACCCGCTGGAGAGCAGCGGCTCGGAGACGCGCCTGGCCTGCGACTGCGCCGACGCCGCCGACTACTACCGCCGCGCGCCCAAGGGCTCCGCCGACCCGCACTCCGCCGGATATTACTCCCAACATTTCATCTACCCGACGCATTCTTACAAGAAGAAAGAATCAAACATTAGCTCAGAAATAACGAGGTTATAAATCTATTGCAATTCTTCACCGCTCAATGTTAGGCCTAAACTTGGCAATTAGCGTTTTTACATCAAGTAAGTAGCGTAAATGTACTTAATTAGGCCCCAATTTTAACGGCTTTATACTTGTTGATTTATAGTTTTTATTAATAAACAACAAAGCGTCAATGCGTTTTACTTGTTAGTTGCTAGTGTGTTTGACACCTTGACCCTTTTTAAAATACAAAGCAATAAGATACTATCTACTACACACTATTTTAGATACTAATAGAATAATGACAAACAAAGTAAGAAATACCTGAAAATATTATTTAAATAACAATACCTCATTTACGAGTAAATACATTTATTTTCTAGTGCTACAGCAATACTTAACCTACTTTACATCATAAAGATGAACCAAGTTGCCAATAAGATTAGTTACTGGTGGATATAAATGAAAGTACCTATTAGTCTAGAAATTAATAAATAGTGAAAAAACAGTCGATTCACGATAATAATAACAGATAATAGCTGAAAAGCTTTTCTTGTTTTTAAAGGTTAACCGTTTCTCCAGCAAAAGTCACACTTCGTCTAGTGTGAGAGTCATCATTATGATATGGATACTTGCCTACCTACAACATATTTGTTTTTATTACACATACAGAAACTAGGTACACTACCGTTAGCGTCTAGGCTACCTTTTCTAAAGAGGTATACCTAGGGAGATTTGCGAGAAACTAAAATCTAGGCGTGCAGTGTCGCGGGTAGAGGCTAGTGACAGAATCGATACGAAATATCGCCCGATAGAGATTTACTTCCTTGTGTGCGATTTAGAAGTGTGGCGAATTCGTGCGCTATCGCCGAAATTGGGTGGGTGAACTTATATCTGGTGCGGGTTCATCTTGGGTTGCGGGCCGGCGGGTCACGCGAGCGCGCCGCGGCAGAGCGACGCCGCGCACCAGCCCAGCGCCATGCCTCCAGCCTCCGCGCCCGCGCTACGAGCCAGCATCATCTGCTTCACACTCTCAGCAACCCTATTCCTCACACCAGTAGAGAGCATTCCGACAACTCAAGTAAGGATACTCCAATACTCAATAATCAAACCAAAATTCTTCTTTTCCGATTGAGATCTAACACAAATCTCTTGCAGCTGTATGTGGTGTGCCAAGACGCCGGCTCGAAGATATGTGTTACATGGCCAGTGGATTTTGCAACAGCTAATGAATTGGAAAAGCATTTCTATCGACCAAATGACCGTGAACGCTGCGGATTTAGTGATCTAAATCGTATCCCGCCCCACCGTAAATTTATAGCGGTAAGGTTATATTATATTTAGGCTGTTTTATTCTATTATAAACAAATGCGTATAGCTCTCTTACAAAGAAGCATAATATTCTCTAAAATCCAATACTCAAAAAATAAGCTATAATTTGACTAGCCCCAGTGCTTCGCGAATTAGTTATAAGTTTCATGGAAATCATTGAAGTGCTGTGCGAAAATTTAAATATGCCCCTTTTCTGTTAAAGACATATTAAATATCTACTTACTTTAAGGTATTCCGCTAACATGATCATGACTAACCATTTAAACCCCGATACAACTATTATCAATGTTTAACATAACGCTTTTAATGATCCCCACTAAGCACTTGTGACCTAATAAAATCTTACTTTAGATAAGTTATCAAATCATAAGACAATTAGATAGTAGTAATAATTACTAAAATTGTAATTTAGACTGTTGGTTTTTTTGTATAATCTGCTGTACCTATCTATTGCTATTTATATTAACCTGAGTGAATGCCGATTTGAATAGGTATTTTTCGTGGCACTTCCCTAACCGGCAAAAATTTAAGATTTAAATATAAAATCGACATAAAATAATTAATTGCATCATGATCGAGTAATAATTGTTCAACTGTACTTAAGAAAAAGATATATTCGAAGATTTGTGTGCATTTTATTAATCGCTTCTTAGCACTTGGTTTGATTGATTGTTGTAATAATATACCTACCCAATTGTCAAATATCTAAGCTGCAAAAAACATGTTTTATCGTAATAAAAAATAATGATGTATTTTAGGAGATAACTTCTTTCTGTCAAGGCTGAGATTGTTCCCTTGGCCTGTTTAGTTGCACAATTAAGTTTATCATAAATAGGTCGATTCATAAAATACCATATCAAGGTCTAAGTTAAATTAAGTAACTTAAGACCTTTGTAAACACGTTTACTGAAAAATATAAGTGTGAGATAACTAGATTAGGAATAATGTACCAATTTAAAAATAGAGGATCGGACATTATTCACAAAAAATAGATACTTTAATTTATGTTCCTAAGTAATGCAACTAAGTAATGATTATTTTCTGTATCCTACAGGTCCAACTTTTCAACTCCAAGACAGATCGCTTCTTCTGTAATTCAATAAAACTTAAAACTGGAGCTCCGATCAGCCCCTTAGAGCAGAAAATAATAAGAGCACGAAGACAAGCTAACTATGGGTTGAGAGGGAGGTACAGGGGTCAGACACAGTCGCAATACCTGTCAATAGATAGAGGAAATGGAAAAGATGAAGGAAAGGCGGAAGCGCACTCAGCAGCTGATTCTTCAAGGGCAATCGTCAGTAAGTACCTAACTCAAAGTAGTTTTATTTAACAACGATGCAATCTTGTTATCATCATGCATGACTTACAAAAATAAATTATTCCAGGTGGCAACAGTGGCATGGGACAAGCGCAAAGTCAAACAGTATATGATCCAAGTTGCGAAGATTGTGTTGGCCGATCTGATACTGAGTTGGCAAGCTTAACACGTGGACCAAAACCACCAACGAATGGTTTATACAACCCTAATCTTAAAAATGATTACAACAGGCCAGGCCAAAATATACCCAGTACTGTTTATCCAGGTTTAAATGGAGATGGCTCCGGATCAAACATGCCTGGTGGAGGCCTAAACATAAACCGAAATAATGATCCTCGTTTGCCTAACAATCAACAAAACCCGTTAGGTAACAATTATCAAACTAATCAGCCGGGAGGAACCAACGGGCCTAATGGGTTACCTCAGTATGGTACACAGCCAGATCAAAGAGGGAGAGATGGTACGATGAATAACGGTAACTTGCCAAATCAATCAGGTAGATTTGGTAAAACTGATCAACCATTATCTTCTAATATACCTCCCGAAAACATTGCTAATCCGGGGGTCTTTGCGAATAATGTCCCAAACGGACCCGGTTTGATAAATCAACAATCACCGAATGCAAACACCCACTGGACTAATGGAATTCCAGGTGGTAATATAGATATAACCAGGATACCAACCAATGGAAATGTGAATGGTGGTCATGGTGGCGGTCCTGGTGGTGGTACTGGTGGAGGTGTACCAAATAACGTTCAAAACGGGAATCAACCCAATAACGGTTATTCTCCTCATCAGACAGGATCAGTAAATGGCGGATTACCACCAAATCAAAATGCATTATTACCAAATTCTATCAACAACCAACCCGGGGCACCTAATGGTAATACTTTAACAAATTTTCCGGGCTCAGGTGGCGTCGTGGGAGGCGGAGGTAACCCCTTTAATTGGCCAATATTATCAGATATATTGCGACAAAGAGGGCCTGGTTCTACATATTTTTGCTGCGTTGTAGGTCCCGATAGTAATATTCAAAACATATATGGACCTAACGGCAATAATTTATACAAACAGCCACCATATGCCGGCCTAAATAATATACCGAGTGGAGCTAACGGTGGCGGTCAAGCTTCCATTGGTCCAAATGGAGGAGTAGGCCAAACTCCTACCGGGTCATACGGAGGGTCGGGTCAACAATCTCCAGGTCAATACGGAGGATCGAATTATATACCAAATGGTCAATACGCAGGAACTGGTCAACCACCTATTGGCCAATATGGGGGGACTGGTCAAACGCCCACTAGTCAATATGGAGGAACGGGACAAACTCCCACTGGTCAATATGGGGGGACAGGACAAACCCCCTCTGGCCAATATGGGGGGACTGGTCAAAGTCCTATTGGCCCATATACAGGATCTGGTCAATCTCCAAGTGGACAGTATGGAGGAACTGGTCAAACACCAAGTGGTCAGTACGGAGGAACTGGTCAAACACCAAGTGGTCAGTACGGAGGAACTGGTCAAACTCCAAGTGGTCAGTACGGAGGAACTGGTCAACACCAAGTGGTCAGTACGGAGGAACTAGTCAAACACCAAGTGGTCAGTACGGAGGAACTGGTCAAACACCAAGTGGTCAGTACGGAGGAACTGGTCAAACACCAAGTGGTCAGTACGGAGGAACTGGTCAAACACCAAGTGGTCAGTACGGAGGAACAGGTCAAACACCAAGTGGTCAGTACGGAGGAACTAGTCAAACACCAAGTGGTCAGTATGGAGTAAATGTACACGCTCCAAGTGGTCAGTATGGTGGAAATAATCTAATACCGGGTGGTCAGTTTGGAGGGTCCAGCCAAATGCCAGGTGGTCAGTATGGAGCAACCGGTCAAGCACCTGGTGGTCAATTAGGAGGAACAGGCCAAGCTACACCTGGTCAATACGGAGGAACAGGACAAACCCCTACTAGCCAATACGGAGGGACAGGTCAAACTCCAACTGGTCAATATGGAGGAACAGGGCAAATTCCCCCTGGTCATCAAGGAGGAACCGGTCAAGGTGGGCAATATGGAAACTCAGGTCCAAATCCTCCTGGTCAATACGGCGGAACAAATCAAGGTCCTACTGGATCATATGGAGGACAAACTCCAATAGGGCAATATGGAGGGACTGGTCAAACCCCTACTGGTCAGTACGGAGGCGTTACAGGCCCTACAGGTCAATATGCAGGTCAAGGTCCGACTGGACAATATGGAGGAACAGGTGCAACTCCCACGGGTCAATACGGAGGACCAAGACAAATTTCCAATGGACAATATGGTGGAGTAGGTGTTACTGGTCCATACGGCGGTTCAGGTACCACTCCAATTGAGCAGCTCGGAGGAACTGGACAATACGAAATACCAGGTCTGAATCCAACGGGCCAATACGGTGGGCCAGGTCAAACTTCAACTGGTCAATATGGAGGACCAGGTCAAACTCCTGAACAGACAGGGGATAAAAATCAAATTTCCACTGGACAATATGGAGGACCAGGTCAAACATCAACCGGACAATACGGAGGAACTGGTCAACCTCCTAATGGACCATACGGTGGCACAGGTCAAGGCCCTAATGGACCCTATGGGGGTACAGGGCAGCCCATTAATGGACCTTACGGAAGCACAGGGCAAACGCCCAACGGGCCGTACGGAGGCACAGGACTCGCTCCAAATGGTCAGTACGGAGGGTCAGGGCAAATGCCTAACGGACCATATGGAGGCTCAGGACAAACGTCATCAGGACCGTACGGCGGCACAGGGCAAACTCCCAATGGACCGTACGGGGGCTCAGGACAAACTCCTACAGGAACAGGACAATCGTCAACTGGGCCGTACGCAGGCGCAGGAAATAGTCCTAACGCACCATATGGAGCGACAGGACAAACACCTAACGGACCATATGGAGGTTCTGGTCAGACAGTCGACAAAGAAGCGGTAAGATGGAATATTTGTTATTATATTAATATAATAATATGTATTTGTAAATGTGTAAATGCATGCAACTGAAATTATTATTATTAACTTTTTAGTGCAGATATGGTGTTTACTAGTTTTTTCTAGTCTATAATAGATGTCTCTGCTCTCGGGAAAGAAAAGCAATAAAAAATACTATTTTAGACAGTTTTCCAATAACTCGCTTGGTTTTCTAAAAACAGTTATATTATTTATGTTTTCAGAATGGAGCTGTAGGCAATGAATACGGTGGTAATGGTAAGTTTTACAATTCTAAGAAATTAATACATTTTAAACAATTTAAACATATTTATCGTGCGTAAAAACACTTTGAAAAACAATAGGATTTTAAGGTTAAAGTAAGTTATTACAATGTGTAACATCCCACTATCTATTATTTCAGGTGTGCCCCAAAATGTTGTAGACCCCAATTCAATATCATCTACGTTTGATGACTATGACTCGGAAGCTGAAGCCAGTGTAGCACAGGCTGTCAATGGCACAACCGCTTTGGCTTCTTCCAAAGGAGGCAATGAGAAGGGACGCGCACAAACACAAGTTGAAGGGACCTATTCGGGAACCGGATCATTTTCAGCTAACGCAGAAATAAGTGACGACAATAAAGCAGCACAAAGTCACGTATCGGGAAGCAAAAAGGGTGCATCAAGTAGTGCAGAAGGCAGAGGGCGTAAAAATAAATCTCAAGCTTCAGTTAAACTCGGATCAGAAACTGGTTCCATACTCACAGATTCTCAAAGTAGCGGAGATATGCATTCATCAAGCTCACAAGTCCAAGGCAGTGTTAAGGGTGGCATGGCCGACGCCCAAGCCAAAGGTCCTGGAAGTACATCATCTCAAGCACAAATTGGATTTACACCTTATAAAGACGAAAATAAAGAGCAACATGACAAACTAAAGGTACCGTTTGAAGGTGGTGGTACATCATCTGCTCAGTCAAGTCGGAGGATGGGTACATCACAGTCTCAACTACGTGGGACATTCAAATACGGCATTAGTTATAACGGCGCAGCTCAAGCTGGATCTAGTTTGGATAAAGACGCAGTCTTTTCAAATCTTCTTCCTTTTGACAAAATAGATGTGTTTGATGACAAGAATAAAAATATTAATGTCGACATTACCACTACTGAGAAAACACCCGAAATTTTTCTGACTAAAACTGAATATTACGAAGAAAGTACCACCACAGAAAAGACGGATATTGAAAACGAATACAATGAAAATATAGAAAACGATTTTTCCGATCATCGACATTTAGATCATCACAAAACTGAAAATCAAGAGAATGCTACAACGCTTGCTCCTGCTGTAGACAACAAACGATCTTTCCAGACTAATTATGCCAATAATGGGGCAGATTATGAATATCCTATTGATAAGGATGAAACACCAGACGAATATGAAATAGACGACGGTTATGGTTCAGATGGTAATGACAACGCACCTGTAGAGCAAGGCGAATATGCAAATTACGATGATATAGCCAGAGATGCAGAAACCACACATCAGTCATTGCAAAGTGCAAACAAGAAGGCCTATGAAATAAAACAAACAACTGGTGGAAATACACAACACATTATTTTAGGTTCGTTGAACAATCATGATGCAAAAATTATTCAAAGAAACTCGGAACATCCCGACGAAGCTCGTGTTTATCAACCAGGAGAAAAAGTACCTGGTATGGGCGGCTACACAATCCCCGCTGGGTTCACTGGTAGTGTGAAATCAGTTGCCTCGAAAGACAAGACGTACGTGGTAGGTTCTAAGTATTCACCGTCACAAGCGCAGACTGTCAAATTAACTCCGGGGACTGGAAAAATTAAATATGTTTATCCAAATAACTATGGAAAAAATGTTAATCCGAAAGAGTTGAGATCACTTTATCATCCCAAAACCGACGATAATCGATATGTATCAGTTTCAAAGTCAGTGACTCGCGATTTAGATAGCGAAAGTAATATTAGAAAACAGTACTCACATACTTATTACACCAAATCATCGTCTTGTGGATATTTCACATTCTCGTGCACCATGGTAAGCAGTGCCGAGGGTAAAAAGAAAGTATGTAAGCCTAAAATTCCAACTAATCCAGATGGTACTCCTATGAGATGCTAACATTGATTTTAATTGAAAGTAATTCAATCAGTTTTAATAAAGTTTATATAAGTATTTAAATAACATCACCCCGGAATGAATGTTTAATTTACTTTAATTTTAATGTCTAGTATTTTCATGGTGGCTTTGGGGCCGACTGACGGCTTGGAGCGCGGATTAAGAATATGAATAACTGATTATGATTGATCTGAATGAAAGTATATTCGAGTGATAAATGTTTAAAAAAACACGACGCACTACAAATAAGAACATAGTTAATATTATAATATTCCATAGAATAAATTTTTTGATTAAGTTAATTTTGGTTTTAATTTCATTAACCTTAGAATAACTACCATCATTTACTCCTACCGATATATTTTTGAAAAAAATACTGACTAGTAAACTTGATTTAACAAAATAATAATACAATATGTAGGAGTTGATACAGTTTATTTGAAATAATTTAGTTAATTACACTTTTGAGATAGTACGAGTATAGTACATTTAATATTAGTAATAATAAAAGTACATTTCCATCAACATCAACGTGTAACGTTTGTCGGTATAATTTTAATAACCATACATAAACAGATAAGTTATATTCCAAATTGTATTAAAAAAACAACACAATCTGATATAAATGAGAATTTGTTTACAATAATTAAATATACGTTGAAATTCCTCAAGAATCAGAGTAAGTTATAAAGGTAATTACATATTATGTATTACTAACAGACATATTTTACCTACAGCAGACTAAAACCAGCGGTGAAGCTATGTTCATGGACACAGGATATGGCGCTCTAGGCAGGCCGTGAATATGGTTTCCTCGCCAATTTCCTTAGCATGGAAAGAGGTATGTTATTTTCATAGGCTTAACACGGTAATTCTTTGGTGACGCTTTTGCTGTTCTGTTATTCAGTACCTGCAGGTACTTTAAACATTATGTCTTAGGAGCCAAATATCTATTTTATTTCAAAATAGATTTAATGTAACATTAATCATAACTTTCATAGTAAATCCCTTAATCGGATCATAATTGTATTTCTTCGCATTCAAGCAAAAGGCGTCCAATTTCGATACACGTTCCTGATCTAACAAAAATGCGCGTGGCTACCAACTGCACATTCTGCTTTGAGCTATATCACGATCCAAATAAAGTAGGGCTACGTTAATGCACACGGAGAACAAAGCGCGGCGCGAAACTGGTTTCCACACACATTTTAAGTTCAGACGGGTTAAATTAAGTGTAACGTGCGCATTTATACAATATGCAATTTGAGTAAATCTTTTTGCAATGCAAAAATGCATTTTGGCTTTCAACATGAAAGTGAAATATGGAAACCAGTTTCTCGCCTCCACTGAAATCCGCCCCAATCTTCGATACTTGCTATGTTTGTTCTAATATTCAGAAAAATACAGTATTGCATAAACGAACCGAACAACTACTTTAACTCTCATGTACTGATGTGTTAACTTAGCTAACGAAACTCTTGTTTGTTCAAAACTTTGCGTCTATGACTTTAGCAAACAAAACATTTTTCTATCTACTGTAGAACATTTTTTACTTGTTGAATGTATATAAAAACCATATTTTGCTTGTTATCCCATTATTGGGCTCGTATTTTGAAACAACACACACAACTAGATTCAGATTTAAGCTTGTGATTGGTTGAATTCCAATATTAATCAACACCAATTACAGGCTTTACTTGAAACAATTCTTCGAAGTAGAATAATAGCCGTGATAATAGTGTTGCTTCAGAATACGATAAAAACACTTAAATGCTATACAGGGTGGAAACGATAAGTGATCTCACTCGATTATTTCTAAACTATACAAGATATCGAAAAACTGGTTACTGAACCTGAAAGTGCTTCACGAGCTCTTTCAAACGGCATAAGTAATAGGTTACAGAACTAACGGGATCTATCCGAAAATTCAATGTTTTCAGCCTCCATACTAAATGTATGCCAGCCACACAATAATAGAAGTGTCAATTTTTTTTATTAAATAATAAACACTTAAAATAGACTCGTAAATTGCATTCTTATTTAAAATTATTCATAGAAAACGTTGGTTTTAGTCCTTACTTGCTATGATATTATCAAGACATGAGTGCCATGACTGTGGCAGTACTAAATGTATGGAAACTGGAAACATTGAATTTTCGGATAGATCGAGTTTATTTTGTAACTTATTATTGGTACCGTTGAATAGAGCTTGTGAAGCACTTTCAGTATCAGTAACTAGTTTTTGGATATCTTGTATAGTTTTTAATATTATGTGGTTTTACTAAATGTATGGAAGCTGAAAACATTGAATTTTCGGACAGATCCAGTTTATTTTGTAACCTATTACTGGTACCGTTGGATAGAGCTCATGAAGTACTTTCAGGATCAGTAACCAGTTTTTGGAAATCTTGTATAGTTTAGAAATAATCGAGTGAGATCACTTATCGTTTCCACCCTGTATTTTAATGGTGGTAGAAACTACCAATACTTTCAGTTTTAAAACATCTTTACGTAATTGAAAAAAAATATGGTCAACTTGTTATGTAGCAATAGATTGTGATTTTATACAATTTATATTAACATTAACACGATTAACTGACATAATTTGAACCCTATAATATTTCAATATATTCTTTTTTAAAATCTTACGAGAAATGTGACAATCAAAAACCTGCGCATAACCCCTTCAGCTTGTAAAGACAATAAATTAAAAACATGCAGTATATATTCCTAAAAGATATATTTCGCAAGGAGCACCAGAGGTATTATACTTATACATTATGCATTTTTTACATAATAATTATAACAGATGAGTACTTTTATGATTCGAGCAAAAGCTATCCAGGGCCATGCATTTTTATAGGAACAGACGCGCAGATCTGACAATATTATAATCAATATAATACTGATGTTACTTTTTTAAAATAACCATTAATTAAGTTATTCTGGAATGTTTTAGGTAACAAGTTTCAAAGCAATAATTATAATAAACAAAACGTAAGTACTTATAAAGTTATTCACTCGAGAACTAAGGAATTATTCTAAAATTAATGTTTCTGTAATAATATCTAATTTACCCATATCGTAGCTACATCAGGAAATAATGGTTAAATCTAAAATGGCAACGAACATTTGTACAATTAAAACTCAAAATTACAAATTACGAGTTTTTGCCCAGAATCGTCCCATTTTAATGCTTTATTTCGACGAGTAATCTCAAAATTACTTATTATTAAGATTAAGCTTTATAAAGGACATAAACCATCAACTGAGTTTTTCTTTTTAGTTTAAGTGACATGAACACTTTAATACTGAAACGATGAAAAAGTACACAATAAATGTACCATCCATAAAGTATGCAGTGAGATTGAGAGCGAACCGTTAAGGAACCAAACGATATCAGTAAAAGAGACCAGATATGCTTTATACATTTTATGTATAGATCAAAATCCAAAGTAGCCGGCCAAATAAATGTTTAGCCACGTGATATTGAACTACTAAGGGACAGAGGGACGTGGGGAGGTATGCTAATCGTTATCCAAGAGAAGAGGTAGGATAATAATTTTGACAGCTCCCTCTACTGATAGATTGGTAGTCTGCTAACGGCTGCGAATATAATATAGCATTCCGTCACCAACGACAAATGATAAGCAGTCTTAATTTTTTAAACAGAATTTCAAGACAGGTTTATCGGCAGTGTTTAATGTTTATTTGGCAATTTCAAAGTTTCCTTAATCTAGGAGTATTACCGAAGTAAGAATCATTTGGCAAGGTATCTTATTTTATTTCGTGAAAATTTTAATGGAGTACCTAATTAACTCTTAAATGTCGAAGGTGACGATGTGGCGAAACCAGTGTGCTTAAAATAAGCACCATTGAGTAGAAATTCAAAGACATTTTAAACATTACAAAGAATTGTAACAATAACGTTGTAGCATGAAAAAATACGGTTTTTTTAATATATATTTTTACTAGACGTGAAAACGGTTTTTTTATTTGCCCCTTTACATAAATATTAACTAAGTAGTATACACATTAATAATTATGGATTCAAACTTTTCAAAAATACAAATTGTATAAATAAAGTGAAATTTGTACTTACTGCCTAATATTGTTTTATTAATAAGTAGATATATTTTTAAGCAACACCAATTTTCAATCAAAGATTTGAAATTGAAGAACGTGCGCAACAAACAATAAAATGTTCACACTCTTTACCACTCTGTCACAAATTATACTCACAACTCACACGCACATTTAAATACTCAGTAAATACACTAACACAAATAATCAAAAACACTCTTGAGATATAATGCAACTTTAAAATGAGATCAAACTTCAAGTACAGTTAAATTTAATTATTAAGTACATTTATGAGATTCATCAAAATGGCGAGATGAAAAGCATTTAATAAATACTGATGGGTTAAGGAACTTGGATTGAATGGCTTCATAAAAACAGTGATACGTATTAATTTTATAAATTACTCGATTAACACTTAGTCTATTGACTTTACCAAATTCCATAGTTATGTCTACCTAATAAATAATGTTTTTACTCGAAATAATTTGAGCCCGTAAAGTCCAGTTGTATCATGTACGCTTACGCTCACATAAAATAGTAATATAAGTACTGCCCCACTCTATTTTTAATATATTTTGAGTTTTTGAGACTAAACAAACTAATTAATTGGTCCATAGACGTGTGTAGATAACAATACCTAAATATGTATAAACTTGCACGACGTAACACACAATAAGTGTCCATTACTGGATAAACTTTACATTTGTAACAGTAAATCCCAGACATAAACGTAGTAAATTTTGCTTTGGATACTTTGTATAACAATTATTTATTTAAATGTGCAGACTCAAATAAATCCAATTAAAACTGAGTAAATGGGATTTTTGCGAATATTTATATGTAGTTACGAAAATAAAAGAACGAAGTTATAATATCATTTGGGACACACCGCGGATTTTTTCATTAATCAGTAAACATACAATAATAATATACATTCGCACTCGATAACATTAATAAGTACTACAATGATTTTTAGGACACTATGCTGACAGTCATAATGCAATAGTTACGCAGTTATTATGGGTACTGTTTTTCCTATATGCAGAATAAGTTTTATTTAATTTAACTTAATTACTAAATACTCTGTATTATTAATGAACAAACAATAATATATTTTAAACTACTTTAATATTGTTGAGCGGAGTCTGTAATGGACCAACAAGTTCGCAAGCATGGACTCGGA